GATGGGACAGCTGGCCGGCGCCCGGGTTCAAACCCCGGCGCCGGCGGGATTGTTCGTGGAAAACATTGACGGCCGTGGTTTCCTGGAGGACGCGGCCGTGCCGTGGACTCTGGACTCCGGGCGTTGGACTGCGCGGTTTCCTGAATCTAACGAGCGCTGTGAGCGCAGCTATCTTGTAAGGGTCTTGACGCATCGTTGTTTACATGCTCGCTGCTTGGAAGCGTGATCCTCTTGTCCGTGCGTCTGCGGTCGCGGCCCGGTGGCTGGGGTCGCGTGGGGTCGCAATATCCCTCCACATTGTAAAGGAAAGAAAAACACGTTCTAGTGACGCAAAGATAATTTGAATTAAAAATTGTGATTTTTTTTTTCAAATATAGTGTCGGGCTGCTGGTTGTTGTTCAGTGCAAATTTGAGGCTACACTGTTGCCTGAATCTCCACGTGTTCGGACACAGCTGTGAATCGGAGGGACATGCCACGCCAAGCCGTTGGATGCAATTGGATGGGATTGGAAGCGATACCATCCGAAAGGACATCGATTGGCTAGCAGGCTAGCAGTGGCGTGCGCGGCGAGCTGACCACCGATCACTCGGCAGATACACTGCCCACGTGCCCACACTGTATCGAGCTCCGTCTGCTGCACGGCCAAGATCAAAGCGGGATGTGCCGCGTCGCCGCGTCGCATGTCGCACGGAAGCCTGGCTCTTCTTTCAGGGGACCCAACCTCTGTCATCCTTCAATCGGGATTGTCCTCTAAAGGTCAATAAATTAATGAAATTCACACCACCACAACCAGCTCTTCAAAATCACGAAAGCTGCAGGCCGCAGTTTCGGGCGTGTATTCGAGATTGGGGGTTTGTTTGTTGTTCGAGTTTGAGAATCAACTCTACAAATCAAAGAGTGTACATGGTACGCTCTAACTGGAGCATGCCTGCAAGCACGCTCTAGCTAGCGCATGCCTGCCAAGCATGCACTAACTAGTGCATACATGCGATGTACACGCTAACTGAAGCATACATTTACTGCATAAGGGATAGGGAGTTTTCTGCACCAGGAAGCGTGTACATGGCATGTATGCACTAGTTAGTGCATGCTTGGCAGGCATGCGCTAGCTAGAGCGTGCTTGCAGGCATGCTCCAGTTAGAGCATACTATGTACACTCTTTGATTTGTTGAGAAGTTGAGGAAGCCAAACAATCCGGAGCTGCCCGTTCCACGTCCAACTTTCCCCCGCCCAGCCTCGGGTTCGATCCCCGGCCGGAGTCGAGGAATCAAGATTCCGGCATCGCGTTTCGCGGAAACTAATTCCTCGCTCGTTTTCTGTTCCGCCCCCTGGAGAAATTCAAGGAGACCAACAACCCTGTGTACACACTACTCGCCCCGCAGCACAGTGGGCCAGAAGACCGGTGGAGGCGGACAAAACTCTAGACGCGTTTTGAGCTCCAGAGTCGCTAAATGGGACTCGAACCGACCGTGTGCACTCTAAATGTCTTACAGTGAAATTTGACCTATGTTATTCGAATGTTACAGTGAATTCGGCGCAAGCATAATACGAAGCAATATTCCTTCGTAATACGAATCTTTTTAGCTTTTTCATTGTAAGATACAAAGAAAAACCTTCGTAATACGAAGAAAAACCACCTTCGTATTATGCTTGCGCCATTTCCTTCGTATTATGGGAAATATCTTCGTAAGACATTTAGAGTGTGACCCCACTTTTGGATTGCTCTCCGAGCGAGGAATCCATTGGTGGGGTCACACGTTCGGTTAGAGTCCCATTTAGCGACTCTAGAGCTCAAAACGCGTATCCGGGGTTTCGCGCCTCCACCGGTCTTCTGGCCCACTGTGCTCATTTTTCGCTCTGTGCCTCGCTCTCGTGGTGCCCTGCTGCCTACTTGGCTGCCAGTCTGGCTGCCAGCTTGGCTGCCAGCTTGGCTGCCCGGCTGGACGATAGCCTCGCGTGCGTGTTGGCTATCGCGGCGTTCGCATGCAGCGTGCCAGCCCCGCCAGCCCCGCCAGCCCCGCCAGCCCACTGCGTGCACTGACTGTACACTGACTGTACCGCGATTCCAGCAGAATGGAAGTGACGCCGTTTTCAGCGCGGTGCTGGACCTCCGTCAAACGGGTCTCGAATCGAACGCGTTGGGGCACCAGAGGATGGGCCTCGCTACGAGGAGCCCGAAGGTACCCTCATGCGCTCCATTCCACCCCGTTTGACGAAAGTAGATGCCGCAGCGAAGCACGCCCCGGGGCCACGCCCCCGCCCCTCCAGGCCGCGCTCGAGGCTCCGTGTTTCAAGCTCGATCAAAGCCTCACGCCCTGATTTCATTACCGCCCCAGGGGTCCCGGGGGCCCCACGGCGACGCTCTCGACAATTAGAGGACCAGCGTCGCAGCCCTTGCAGCGATGCGCTGTCTCTCTCGCACTCATGGGCCGCCATGGGCCGCCCGCACGCGTGCGAGAGAGACAGCGCGACAGTCTTGCGGCGCTCCACTTGGCTCCACTTGGGGCCTGTGCCACTCCCCCTCGTGCACTTCCACCCCACGTCGGCGGACGGCTTTGTTACATGCACAGCCCACAGTGGATTTGCCAGAAGACCGACGGAGGCGGCCGAAATTCCAGACGCGTTTTGAGCTCCAGGCCGCTAAACAGGACTCGAACCGAACGTGTGACCCCACCAATGAATTGCTCGTTCGGAGAGCAATCCATCGGTGGGGTCACACGGTCGGTTCGGGGACCATTTAGCGACTCTGGAGCTCATAATGTGTCTGGAGTGTCGGCCGCCTCCACCGGACTTCTGGCCCACTGTGCAGCCGTTCTGGCGGGATGCGTGTCGGGTTCCGAGGGGGTGGTTCCGCATTTCGCTTCCAGATACAACAAAGACAGCGAGGCGGCGGGGTGGCGAGGCGGGCAGAGGCCTGCGCTGCGGTCAGAACGGTCAGAATGGTCAGAATGGGTAATGGGGTGGAAAGAGCACGGGCAGCGAAAAGGAAAGAGGGGAGGAGGGGGAGGGGGGACACCCTGGAGAGAGCGAGCAAGTTTTTTTATGCAACGGGGGGAGCCAGAGAGATAGGGGGTACAGAGGGATAGAGGGGGGGGGGGGGTCGGGAATGGGGAGGTCGTGTGTAACGTCGTGGAAGGGGTATGATCGCGCTCGTGTCAGGCCGACGGGGCAGTGTTGGCAGTGCCGGCGGTGCGAGAGAGACAGCGAGACGGCGGGAAGCGAGAGCAGCGAGAGCACGTTGATGGGGGTAACGTGATGAGGAACATGTCGAGGGGAGTTTGGCGCCAAGCTGGTCCGCCCCGGTAGTTGAGGCTGAAGGACCAGGCCAGGAGAGAGAGAGAGAGAGAGAGAGAGAGAGAGAGAGAGAGAGAGAAGAGACTAAATGTCAGGGACTTTTTTTGTCCCACGATTATGCAATTTTAAGCACATCCGACGCTGATACATTTTGTTCCCGTCTGGCTGCATTTGTCCGGCGCCAGCTGCAACTTGTACTTTCACTAGACAATTTGTCCCGCCTGGCGGACACAAAATTGCATCACCACCGGATGTGCTTAAAATTGCATCATTCGTGGGACAAAAAAAGTCCCATGACATTTAGTGTAGAGAGAGAGAGAGAGAGATTTAAGCGCAGCAGGTGTTGCGGCCTTTCGCGATCTGAAAGGGAGAGACGTTCCCGTCGGGGAAGGACATGAAAGGGACAGACAAAGGCACTTGGGCTGCCCACCCCACCCAGCCCCGCCCCGCCCCGCCTTGCACCTCTACGGGTGCATCATCGCCCACGGCGCAAGGGCAGGCCAAGCCAGCCCAACCCCAACGCAATGTAAAAACGAAAGAGAAATATCCGCGTGGCTTTTTGGCAGTGCAGTGCCTCGCGTTGCGGCGATTTGGCGGTCGTTGGCGACCCATCGCCGTGGAGGCTGTTGCAAGGCAAGTCCAAGCCGATATCGGGGACGCGCCCTGTCTCTCTCACACAGTGCCCCTCTTTGTCCTTCTTCGGGCCTCGCCGGCCTTGCCAGCCCATTCATCACCACGTGTTCCTTGTTGCAGCGCGGCGCCGCGGCGAGGGAGAGAGACAGAGAGCGAAGGACGAGAAGGGAATCAGTCTTCACCCTTGCCCACGCTCGTGGGCATGATTGGCTTCACACCGGTGCCAGGTACGGTTTTCTCTGCAGTTTCCGCCTCTTTCCCCTCCTTTCTTCCTCCCATCTCCCAGGCTTTTTCTCCTCCTCCTCCTTCTCCCTATTCCTGTGTGGTTCTCTATTTCCCCGACCTGTCCGTCTCCACGGAGCGGTGCACTGCCTCGCCCCCCTCCACCGAGCCAGACGAGCGGCTCGTCGCTCTGTCTCTCTCGCACCCTCACGAAGAGCCCCCTGCGCGCGACAGAGACAGAGCGATGAATCAATCAGCCTGCAGGGTCCGGGTAGCCCCGCCCGCCGCGCACAAGTGTCTGCACGCTGCCTACCTCGCCGGGCGCTCTGCCCCGCTGTGCACAGCGTGCTGGCCCCGCTGGAGCCTGGGGCCTGGAGCGCGCGGACACTGTAAGCCCCGCGAACGGAAGCCGAAGAGGAAAGAAGGCACAGTCCGCAAGGCGAGGCGAGAAGTGGGAACCGTGTCCGGGAAAGCAGGAAAGGGGCAGGCTGTCTGGCGGCCGCGGTCTTGGCGCCTCTTTCGCGCGACGGAGTGCCCCTCCGCGCTCTCTCTCTCTCTCTCTCTCTCTCTCTCTCTCTCTCTCTCTCTCTCTCTCTCTCTCTCTCTCTCTCTCGCACCCTCCGGGACGCCCCGCGAGAGCGACGGAGACAGAGCGCCTGTCGTTGTTGGAGAGGAGCGCGCCGCAGGGCACCGCAGGGGTGGCGCTACTCGAGGAAGGGGGAGGGGAGGGGCGGCAGTGCAGGGCGCCGCAGGGCTGCCACGACAGCGACGCGATTCAGTGGACGGCTTGGCGGCGTGGCGGCGTGGCGCCCTGGCCTGCCTTGGCCCGCCTAGGCCCGCCTTGGCACGCACTCGCAGTGGCGTGCTTTGGCCGGCACGCCCGTGTTCGTCTCCCGCGGGTCCCGTCCCACCCGCGAACCGCGAGCCGCGGACCACGACTCGCGAACCGCGAACGAACCAAGACCCGCGAACCAAGATCCGCGACCCGCGAGAAAGGACAGACCGATTCCACGATTCTACAGTGCAGTGGCAAACGGATGGCGAGTGGTGCCGCCGAGCTAAATGGTGCCGCACTGTTGTGACTGCAGCGACGACGCGCGGTTGCAGCATGCCGCGCTGGACGCGCCGCGGCGAGTGTCACGAGCTTCTCCAGCTCCGAGGTGAGGTCGGCGTCGCACAGTGGGTTTGCCAGGAGACCGGTGGAGGCGGGCAAAACCCCGGACGCGTTTTGAGCTCCAGAGTCGCTAAATATGACTCGAACTGAACGTGTGACCCCGCCAATGAATTGCTCTCCGGACGAGGAATCCGTTGGTGGTGGAAGTTAGACAAGCCCCTCCCCCTGACAGTCCTGCCACGTGTTGTGTTGAATATTCGTGGGGTTGGCCAGCCTGACTTCCACAGTGGCTTATTATTCGGACAGAACTGCCAACGACCTGAGCAATCGAACAACCAACAACATCGATTTATTCGTTCGAATAATCGAAGACGACCTCTTGACCCCTTTAGTCCGCGCCGTCCGCTCTCATCACAGCATCGCGGCCCCGCTTAGCGCCAAAGTTTCCCTGCTCTCATCACAGCACCGCGGCCCCGCTTAGCGCCAAAGTGTCCCTGCTCTCATCACAGCACCGCGGCCCCGCTTAGCGCCAAAGTGTCCCTGCTCTCATCACAGCACCGCGGCCCCGCTTAGCGCCAAAGTGTCCCTGCTCTCATCACAGCACCGCGGCCCCGCTTAGCGCCAAAGTGTCCCTGCTCTCATCACAGCCGCGGCCCCGCTTAGCGCCAAGTGCCTGATATGCGGGCGTGCGTCCAGGCCGTTGACGCGGCGTTGCGCGTTGCCGTGCTGCGTCTCGCGCGGCGTGCATGTGCCGTTGGGCGTGCTGGCGTGCGGCGTGCGTGGCGTTGCGTGGCGTTGCCGCGGCGCTGCCGTGGCGCTGGCTGGGCGTTGCGGCGATGTGGCGATGTGGGATCGCTCGTCAAGCGGTGACCGTAAACAAACAGACAGCCGGCCGAAGTGTTTCTCGTCTCTGTCACTCTGGGGGCGCGCCGGCGCGAGCGAGCGAGAGAGAGGGGGCTGTCTCGGCCGCTCTGGCTGCGCGGTGCGAGAGAGAGGCAGAGAGAGGCGGCCGGTGCAGGGCAGGGATGCACCGCCATGCTCTGCGCGCCCCGCCGTGCCCCGCCGTGCCGCACCGGGGGTACCGGGCCACTCTGCCAGAATTGCATCTTGAATTAGACTGCAAGTGGCTGCCTCTGCCGCGGCACGCTTCGAGCGGGATATATGGGTATATTTACACTTTCGCTCATCCCGGCTGTCGGGCTGACCTACTCAGCGGAAATAAAGGCTTTTTTGGAGGCGGCCAAAATTCTAAACGCGTTTTGAGCTCCAGGAGTCGCTAAATGGGACTCGAATCGAACGTGTGACCCCACCAATGGAATGCTCTCCGAACGAGGAATCCATTGGTGGGGTCACACGTTCGTTTCGAGTCCCAGTTAGCGACTCTGGAGCTCAAAACGTGACCCTGGCCAATCCAATCGCATTGTGAAAAATTGTCGTGTTTTCAAAGACTCCTGGAAAGTCTTTTTCCAAGTAGGACTGACTTTCCTGGTTTTCCTTTGAATAATCGTCACGAAGAATTAATGTGGAAAACGATGCCGCAAAATAATTCTTTATGCTGCATTTTACGGATGTACTCCGGCTCTGGAATCTTGATCAACCTGCTGCTGACTTGGAAAAACTGCAAATTGGTTTCTGACAGTGTGTTGTCTCTCTGTTCCAGGGAATGGATCGTGACACCCAGCCAGGGCCGAGGAATCGCCACCTAGCCAGACTAGGAGCTTGACGGGACAGGATGCTCCCCAGCTGGTTCGCCCTGGGTAAGCAGACACGAAGTGCACAAGCACTGCCACTTTTTCGGGGGCGGTGGCGCGGTCGGCGACACCAAATGAGGGGGACGTCGCTCTGTCTCTCTCGCACTCAAGGAGCGTTCCGCAAAGGTGCGAGAGAGACAGAGCGACGACTCTCAGTCTGCTTGCAAAGTCTGCGTGACATTTTCCTGTTGTTTTGACTGTCCCGTAAGCCCTCTCGAGCCGACCACACGCGTCAGTCTGAAACGAGATCTCGAATGAAGCGAGAGTCCCGAACGATTCCTCCTCGCATCGGAGCGTGTCGAGCCGACCGGGCAACGACAAAGCGAGTCGCGCACGCATCGCGCAGACCGAAGGACTGTTCTACGAAAATACCTTCGCGGCTTTTCAGTGGCTTTCCTATTTTCTGACCACCTCGCCGGCCGCCCCGTCGGTCCGTCGCCAGTGAGGCGCGCACCGCGCACGCGACAACCGGACGTCACAGTTTGACGGACTTGGTTTAAACTTTTCGTCTGAATTGCCGCCATCTTTGTTGTCACCTGTTGCGTTCAAACTAACGTTTCCCCCGCCGGGTTCCCCTCCCGAGTTCCGACGCCACGGGTGGATTTACCTTAACCTTGCGTATCTATTTCGGTGCGGTCACACGTTGAGTCGAATTTGTGGCGCGCGGGTGCAAAATTGCAACGTTCCGTCGCCCCACGTGCTTTGTCCATGTAGTGTCCTCTGCACGGTGGATTTGCCGGAAGACCGGTGGAGGCGGTCAAAACCCCGGACGCGTTTTGAGCTCCAGAGTCGCTAAGTGGGGCTCGAACCGAACGTGTGACCCCACTGTTGGATTGCTCTCCGAACGAGTGATCCATTGGTGGGGTCACACGTTCGGTTCGAGTCCCATTTAGCGACTCTGGAGCTCAAAACGCGTCTGGGATTTTGGCCGCAGCCACCGGTCTTCTGGCAAATACACGGTGGACTTGCGGGACAGGAGCCGGTTGTGCGTCGTGTCCGCGTGGAGCGTGGAGTGACTCACGGTCGGAGCCGCCTAGTGGCATGCTGGCGGGGAGGAGGGGAGGGCCGGCGTGCGTAGAGCAGCGTAGAGCAGCCCGGGGCCAAGGCAGGCCAAGGATAATCTCAGTTGACTTTAGCCGGGGATGCGGATGACACCCAGAGCCTCCCGGGGCCCGGCGGGGCCCCGCGGGGGGAGGGGGGACCGGCCGAGGGGAGGGGGACAGCGTCTTATTTATAAACGGGTCCGAATGATGAAGATTAAGGCGGGAAAGGGGCCCGGGCCGGCGGCGGGCCGGCCGGTCAGCTGGTCGCGACGGCGTCCGAAACCAAACGGCATCTTCCGTCTCTCTCGCTCCCGCTTCCGCCTCGAGCGAGACGAGACGAGAAAAGAGATGGAGTTATTCTTGCGGCGGCCTCGAACGAGTCTCGAACGGCGGCTTCAAGACGTATCGTTTCGCGACGGGTATCTTTCAGCCCCTCGCGGCCCGGCCCCTCCGCCGCGCCACGCCGCGCCACGCCCTGACACTGGCACTAATAATTTTTCAAGGTTTCGTAGGAAGGGGAGGGGAGGGGGGCTCCCTCGCCTGCGGCGCGCCGAAGACGCGGAGTGGCGGAGTGGGTTCGGCGCCCGTTCTTCGATCCGCGGTGCAACAATAATCGGCCATTAATCTACTTTCCCACTAATCATGCCGCTGCCCTTTCCCAGAGAGTCCACGCGGCGACGCACAGTGGGTCAGAAGACCGGTGGAGGCGGCCAAAAATCTAGACGCGTTTTGAGCTCCAGAGTCGCTAAACAGGACTCGAACCGAGCGTGTGACCCCACCAATGGATTCCTCGTTCGGAGAGCAATGCATTGGTAGGGTCACACGTTCGGTTCGAATCGCATTTAGCGACTCTGGAGCTCAAAACGCGTCAAGAGTTTTGGCCGCCAGCGCCGGTCTTCTGGCCCACTGTGCGACGTTCACGTCATCCGGGTCGTTTGTCTCTGTCGATGGCTGCTCATGTTCATGCCGCATCCGTCGGCCTGTCACGCTTAACGGTTTACTCTGACAACCCCCTCCCTCGCCCCCCCCCCCCCTCCCTTCTCATTTTCTCTTCCTCGCTCTGCCTTTCTCGGAGGAAGATGACGGATCTCTGTAGGCCGGTACAACAAGCGTCGCTTCCTTCCTGTGGGGGAAAAAACATAATTATCAAGGCTTTTGTTTGCCTAGCCTCTTTATTGGCTCGGCCCGGGAATCGCGTTCCACCGGTTCCACCCGCCAGCCGACCGATTCGGAAGGGTCGTCTCTCTCTCTCGCTCCCCTAGGAGGCACTCCACGGGTGCGAGAGAGACAGAGCGACCAAACCATCCTTCGGAATCGGGTGCCATTTCCCGCGAGGCGATCCGAGACGAGGCGAGGAAGTCCCGAGGGAAGTCCCGAGGGAAGTCCCAGGCCGCGGCGATGGCGATGGCCTCCCGTTCCAGCCGGGGTGTCTGCTTTCGACCCGACATTAAAGCACGGCTGGAACGCGACACACTGGTCTGACAAAAGAGTTCCTTTCTTTTTTCTTTTTCTTTTTTGTTGTTGAAAGGTTATTTCCTCCCCGGAGCAAAGGCCAGCCGAGCGGCTGTTCGGAGAGGGCGGTGGGTCGGATGCCCCGGAAGTTTCCGCGCGGTTTGCCACACAGCGACCCGCGCGCGCCGCCGAGTTCCGCGGTTCGAATCCCCGCCGCCGCGCAAGGAAGGGAACAGAGGCAAAAAATAACGATCGCCCCGGCTGCGTCGATCGGAGAACCCTTTGTTTACGAACGTCTGAATCGCCTTGTACAGCGTGTGTCCGCTCCGAACGCTGCGAGCGGATTCGGGCCGGCTGCTATTTGTTTACCTCTTCTTTGTAGCGGTGACAAAAGAGGGAGGGGAAGGGGAGGGGTAGAGAGAGAGAGGGATGGGGGGGGGGAGAAAGAGAGAGGGGCTCCATGGCGACCGATGGCGACGGTACCTCAGCACCCGGTACCTGTTACAGCGGGGTTGTTCGCTGTGGTTGGCCCGGTCCACGTTGCCGGCAGGGGCTGCTTCCCTGGTAAGTCAGTGGTTGTTCTCGCTTCCCCCCCCCCCTTTTCCCTCCCACCCGCCACACCTCCTGGCTATTTCTTTGCAACGACAAACAAATGGCGAGGAGTCCGACAACGCCCGCGTAGGCGGGGTGGTTTTCTTGACGCTGCTGTGTGGCTTGTTGTTAACAAGGGGTTGCGGACGCCCCCCCCCCTTTCCGCCCCTTCCTTCGCGCCACAGCTTGCTGAGTGACGTCACTGTGTTGCATGGCCTGGCAGGACAGAGGACCGTGGGCCAGTGCACAGTGGGCCAGCAGACCGGTGGAGGCGGTCAAAATCCCGGACGCGTTTGTAGCTCCAGAGTCGCTAAATGGGACTCGAACCGAACGTATGACCCCACCGATGAATTGCTACTCGAACGAGGAATCTATTGGTGGGGTCACACGCTCGGTTCGGGTCCCATTACGTGGCTCTGGAGCTCAAAACGCGTCCGGGATTTTGACCGCCTCCGCCGGCCTTCCGGCCCACTGTGGTCGGCACGGGACGCCCAGGATGGCTGCGGCGGACGACCGGGAACGGCTTCCCGCCTTGAATGCAGGGCGTGCCAACTTAACATTCAAGATTTTAAAAAGTTACGCACAGGACAACATAAATTTAAAATTTAATTTTGAATTTTATTCATCCTAGGCATAACTTTTTAATATCGATCCGTTTACGAAATAAAACTGTTAAAACTGTTAAAAATGTGAAGTTGGCACGCCCTGCTGGACGGCCGTGACGGCCGGGACGGCCTCTGTCCACACCCCACCGTCGACACCCTCACAGCCCACCTACGCTCACATCGGACTGGCACCGGTTTTCTTTTCAACGCGGCAATCGGAAAGCTCGGAGAGCAGAAGCTGGGATCCGAGGGGACACCAAGTCGGCCGCCGCCTCGCTGGGACGTCGCAGGCACAGCATTTTTTTTTGTTTTCTTTGGTCCAAGGTCCGCCTCGCAACCGGTGGCGCTAGGCTGAGGTTGGCAACCCGTTCGTCTTCGGTGCATCCAGTGTGGCAGCACTCAGCGAACCCATTTGACGGTGTAGGCCCTTTCGACTAGCACGCTCGCGAAACGACAGGAAATTCCATCATTGTGGGTGTTTTAGTGTTTTAACAAGGCCATATGGCATGGGCTGATAATCGTGTGGCTTTCCACTGCGCTGAGTCAGGATCACGCGCAGTAACAAGGTTTTGGTTTTTGTTTGAGTTTTCTTTTTTTTTTTAGTAATAGATTTGTCGTGTTGCTCGACTAATGTGTGACGTGTGCGGTGTGTGGCTTGTGCCGTGTTCCAGTCCTGCTCCTGGCGGCTGTGCACCTGTCCCAAGAGGAATGCCAGAGTAAGTGTCCCAAAAACTCGTGCTGGATTTGGCGACCAGAAAATGTTTCTTTATGGGTAAAGGCGCGTGACCCCTTGATTATTTTTTTTAAGTTGGCAAAGCCCGTTTTGCATTCAACTAACTTGCATGCGTTTGACGCACACGGGGCTGGCACTCGCTCGGACACTTGCAGCAGAGTTTGTGCACATAGCGACTCCTGGTTTGGCCAAGCACAACTCATTCAACTGTCCATTCATAATTACTCATTTCTGTCAAGGGTCCCCGCCCTATGCTAAGAAATCGGTTCACTGGTCCACTGTAAAAATTTGTCGTCACTTTATGACATAATCATGGATGTTGAGTTAATGAAAATTGACACAATGCCATGACAAATTCATCGCATTCTCGTCAGGACAATCGACCTTGCAATTGTCATCAAGTGACAACCAACATTTTCACAGTGTTTATAGATTTTTGTGAAAAAAAAAGAATCCCCCCCCCCAAAAAAAAAACAGATTAATTTTTTTTCAGCGAAAAAGGAAAAAAACAGAATGGTTTGTTGCAGCCCGATCCATCTACTGCTACGAATGTGACTCCTGGAAGGACGCGCGGTGCAAGGACCCCTTCAACTACACTGCGCTGCCCCGCGACCAGCCGCCACTGCAAACATGCAACGGATGCTGCGTCAAGATGGTCCGAAACGCACGGAGCCGTGAGTAACGGAGTGACGGGGCGACCCCGCCAGGGTGGAGTTGGTCGAAATCCCGGACGCGTTTTGAGCTCCAGAGTCGCTGAATGGGACTACAGTCGTACTAGTGACCCCACCATTGGATTGCTCTCAGAACGGGGAATCCATTGGTGGGGTCACACGCTCTGTTCGAGTCCTGTTTAGCGACTCTGGAGCTCAAAACGCGACGAGAGTTGGCCGCCAGCGCTGGTCTTACTGTGCTCTGGCGCGCTTGAGAGGCGAGCAGGCGTCTTTGCGTGTTGGTTCCTCCGCGAGAAAAGAGCGCGTCAGTGAGTGGTCGTAACGACTTGCGCACGAGCTTTGTACATAGTTACGAGTCCAAAAAAGCATTCAGCGCCTCCGTTGGGACCACTGAGCTGGCCGTAGTTGTAGTAACCAAATGCACCCCCTTCTTTTAGAACTTCTTCTTATCTGCTTTGTAATCCAAGACGCTCCGAAGAAAGTAGATAGAATACGGAAAATACATTTTCCGAGTAAATGGAGCGCACAATGGGTGGAGAGGTTGCTGCTGGAGACTCCATGGAGCGACTCCAGGGTAAGAATCCAGGGAGGGACGGCCCCTAGCGCCTGCGGGACGACGCATAGGCCGCCCGCTCCGCGACCGTGTCTGCGGGTTGCCTACCCGTCGATGGTAAGGGGCTCCAGCCTCTTGGAGCCGGACCCGCAGTGGGGCCTGCCCTTGGGCCTGCCCCAGTGCGGGCACGGCCCCTCTCGTAGTGGCGTAGCGAGTCGTAGTGGGACGTAGTGACGTAGTGACGACGGCGGTGTGCAAAAGTGATTCACTCTCTGTCTCTCTCTGTTCTGCTCCGTCGCCCTGTTCCTCCTGCTCTTCCCGGACGCCGTCGTGCCCGTGTCGCCCTCCGGGACCTCTTCGCTCCTCTTGGCTGCGGACGCCCTCGCCCCGCGCTCGCCTCGGTGCCGCGTCGTACGTGTTCCGCACTCACTCACTCTAACGCACCGACACCGTCTGTCTCTCGTGCGCCGTCTCGGCGTCTTGGACCCGTGTTGTTCTCACCGTTGTTGTTCTTGTTTTTTCTACACTCACCACTCACCCTCACACACACACAACAAAACACTCACACACACACACTCATCGATACAACACACTTGGATCTACAGCTTACGAGACGGTGCGAAGGACCTGTACATCACAGTTGCAAATTAACCTATTCATGGTGGACCACGTTTGTATGATGGAAAGTAGTGGCACTGGCCATATGTGTTTCTGTGAAGAGGACATGTGCAATCCCGCGACCCCTAGTTCCCGGCCTGCGCGCTTCGCCGTGCTGCTTGCGTCCGTCCTTCCCGCCCTCCTCGCGTGGCAGTGCGTGGCCTAGGGCCGCCTAGGGCCTCGTGTTGTTGTTCGTGTTGTTGTTTCGACTGGGGGACGCGCGTCGCAATCGGGGACCCCGGCACCCACTCCAAAACTACTTGTCGACTTTGTTCCTTCCAAAGTGAGGCCGTTTTTGGCGGCAGCGCTCCGCCAGTTCGATGGAGACTGCGGGTTCCCCGGTCGCGACTTGCATGTCCGTCAGTCCGCCCGCCCCCCGGCCGGGTCCTGGAGGTCCTGGAGGTCCTGGGCGTCCCGGACGCGGGCCGGCCGAGGACCGCTTGCTGGCTCTCGCGCGCCGCGGACACACCCAGGACGCCTTCGCCGCGAACCTCGCCGGCCTCGCCGGGCACAGCCTGACTGGCCCGTCGAAGCCGAAGGGAAGTGCCGGGACGCTCCCCGCCACCTCCCGGAGATGACACCCGCGACCGGGGCGTCCTGCGAGTGTCCCGGAGAGAGAGAGAGAGGGAGAGACAGCCAGGCGCCAGCGGGGTGAAGGCTTGGTGTCGTTTTGAATGGAAAATGTAGAGACGATTTTTTAGTATTAAGTGCAAGAGCTGTGATATGTAGATGGTGGCAAACAGTAATTGAAGATTTTTTTTCGTAAACCAGCCCGGGTTTTATGCCCCTTCCAGACTTAAGCCGTAGCCAGTATCGACAATTCTTACAATTTTCCTGAGAGATCATTCGGTCTCAAATGGAACGGCATGATACCAATGCAGCCTCGACGCCAAGGCTACTAAGGGAGGAGTATTTGATTTCGGTCATCCTTGTTCCACAGAACAAAGGAAGGACAGGCGAAATCCTGTACCACTCTCAAAGTGCTCGTTGGGCATGGACATGCTGACGGCGAAAATGCAAGTCTTCCTGCAAGTAGCGGTGCCGCCTCCACTGAGAGACATGTAGATCCATTGCAAAGAGCGCCTTCCTAGGAGCCAATTGTTTCTATTAATTCTGTAGATTTTAACCAAAATTTTAGCGCATATGTAGTTTTTAAATACTGCTTGTATTTTGTCAGCCGTACCGTAATTCGGCGGAAAGTAGGAAATGATTCTGTAAAATATCATCTGCCACAGTAAATTCTCGGCAATAATATTGATACTTAAAAGAAATTATGGGGTACTTCAGTTGAGAGTTCAACGAAAGATCATGTAAGAAATAACTTGTAATGAGCATTTCCTCATTTTGACCGCCAAAGTGATAGATGTCGCACAGTTGCTAGTTATAGAGGAAAGAGAACTATTTCCTCACATTTCATTAGTGCTAGCAATTTAGAAAAATTGAATTCAATCGTACTAGTAGAACAAAAGGCAATAATGCGGTGTATGAGAGAATGTGATAAAGTGTCACAGTAACTCATGCACTGTATTTTTTGCCTTATTTGGTCACAATTCATGTAGTACCGCAGAAGCATAATGTCTCTCAGTAAGCAGAGAAAAAGTTGACTTGTTCCTGACCATACCATACCTTGTACTCCTCTTATCTGAGAGAAACCGTCTGCTCAAAAGAAAACAAAAGTTTCAGCCAATTGCAAACCACAATCTCAGCAGTATACATATCAATAAAAGTGAGGCAATACCCTTCAAGCTCATCTATTTTTCTTACATGATACTATACTTGACGGTTTCTGAAGAAAGATGTACTGCTGGTCTGAGAACAAGCAACTGGTTTGTCTTTGTGAGAAAAGTAACGAGTAACCTTTAATGATGAGGGCAACTATTGCTATCTGTTGGAGCTACTTACAAATTCAAAGCACATCCATTTACTGTTACTATTCAGAAAAAGTCATTAAATTTTTCACATTTTACTTAAATTGTTGGTTTGATATCTTAACATATACTGCTAAAATTTACTTGTTAATTTCCTTCTTTGAAAAGAAAAATGATGGTTGTTCCAGATTTTAACAGAGTCACTGATTTAAAATTAGGGCAAGTACAAAATCATTTACATTCTTTGTGATCTGTAGATAGCAATGTAGTTTACAATGTGAGTAATGAGAGGAATAACTCCTCAACATAAAATACAATAATTAATTTTCTTATTTAAGTAGCTCATATCAAGAGTATTATAAATTTATGAAGGCAAATTCATAACTGCTCAAGTTCCAATATGGATGTGAAGTGGGGTGTTGAATTCATTTACATCACAGAAGGCTATTTTAAGACAAGAAGCTTGGGAAACTTGAAGAAAACATTGATGAACAGTGTTAGGCTAATTCCGACTAACTTCATTCAATTTCAATGAGGAGGAGAGCTAACAAATGCATGATGCAAAATAGAAAAAAAATGGCATCCTTTTTATTGCATGGAACATGCAAATACAGCCTGGAAAATAGGGCCATATAATTGCTTCTGGAGCCTAAAGCAAACAGCACGCATGTATCACATAGAGGGCACAACATTTTTTGCACAACCCAGCCCAACAATGAGGATCAATAGCTTAACTGATTGCTTGACTTTGTGATCAATTTGATATCTTCAATTAGCTAGCTAGAACTTATTGAATGAGAGAGAAAGCTGACAACACCTAGCATGAAAATGGAAGTGTATTCTTCATCAATGAGCTTGAAAGACAAGGCTTTGAAGGCATGCATTTATCCTTGTTGATTGTTGACTTTTCAGGTCATTCAGAATAACAGCAAACATTAACTTTCCAGCTTACAGCTACGCTCCAAAGGAGGATCAGAGGGACACAAGGTTGTTAGATGATTCCATCTTCATTCCAACTCTTCAACCGTGTCACTTCCTCTTTCAGAATCAGCATGATGTAGATTTTCTATAGAAAAAGCAATTGTGATAGTAGGAGAGTTGTGGCATCGGCCAATCTCAGCCAGTAGATACTCAAACAAACTTTGTAGTTATGATGTACCCTGTTTGTATTTTTGCGGTTCAAAACCATCCCATTTTTAACAGTTGCATTAGCTCAGAACCACTGTATATTTAAATGATGCTGATTGCACAGATGTAACTGGCTTCAAATAGTTCTAGATGAAAAATGTAATCTATTTGAACATGCTCCTACTTTTGGTAGAAGTGCTCCCATTAGCTGCATGCTCTGCAGCGCCATTTAGATAGCCAGTTCTTCTACCATCTTCGAATGGTAGTTGAGGTGGCTGTTAAAACCTGATTTTCACTTCAACAGTCTCCCAAAGTAAGCAAAAGTGAGACTAACCAAGTTCTCCTCGAGTTTAAGTCAAGAGGGACTTACTTGTTTTGTCTCTATTGCAAAACAGTTTTTCTTCTCCACATTGTCTCCTAGATTCGTGGGTCTCCCGGACGTACTTTTGATGAGGCTTCCTCAGGCGTCTCAGGCAAAAGTAGACACAGGGCTGATCCATGCGAATGAATTCAACTCTGGATGACAATGCAGCGGGTCTTTAAATCAGTCAGTAAATCAAAGGTTGACCCTTGGAGAGGAAGAGCATGTTGTCCCCTTCCATGTGGCCTGTTGTCAATCTTTTCCACATGTCAATTATCAAAGCCACTGTGAATGGAAACTGTGATGATAAGTCTTTTGGCTGACCGACTTCCTCAAAGGATAATACCAATTCATTTCAATATTCAGAAAGATCAAAAAGAGCACCCGTCTTCGTAAAAAACATCAACTTCAGTACACTTGGTAGGCTTTGGTCCAGTTCCTAAGTGATAATCACTGTTGAAATTCTATGTTATTTTAAATTAAATACGTACTTCTACTTGATTTGAAACAAGCATCGAGCTTGATTTTTATGTCTAATTTAAAGGAGTAGAATTGACCTGGTTTTATGTTCAAAGGAACTAATTGAGTTAACAATTGACAACTCTTATCTCAATTAACTTGAAAAGAAATCATAATTTATTCAACAATGTTATGAAATTACACTGTTGTTTAGAATTCCTCCATCAATCATAGAAACCTGCAACATAGAATCGACAACAACAACCTCAGCAATCCATTACTCTGCTTGCAAATACTGAACAACAACAACAACAACTAGTGATCGCAACTGCGGCATGTGGAAAACAAACACAATGCTTTCCCAGCTGAGAAAAGATGCATTAAATTGTAATCAATGTACGAACACACAGCAATATAGCCAGGCAAATAGCTCAAAAATGTCAACAGATTTGTGGGGAAAAAATACATGGACATTGTCATTATAAAATTATGTAGGGATACAAATTGTAAAATTATGAGCTATACTTCATCCACCTTCTCGAACATGGATAAAGAATGCTTTCGATGACAGCAATAAAATGTAATTATCATATTAAACTTTCTATTCAGTTTAGTTTTAACTGAGTCCTATTGATGGGTTCACGTTCATTTGAATCATTTGCTGGTTTTGCATAAACAGTAACAGAAAAGAGCATCACAAAATTTCCATTAAAGGGAAGAAAAGGAAGTAGATTGAAGTATCGGCTTAAAATTTTTCTTTTCCTTGAAATCTAATAATGTGCAATTTTCAATAAAGACTGTATATAAATTATCAACTTACTTTACTGTCTGTTACTTTTGTGTTTTATCAACTCTACCTACTGCCCTGCCACACAGCCAACCCTAGATTACACGGAGATACCTACACATCACATTGTAGGATCAGGAATACCCAGATGGTTGTAAACAGCTTCCACAAGCTCTGCTTTCTTCATTCTTGTTGTTTTGATTCCCCATTCACCCAGATAACTCTTGAGTTGGTCCACTTTGAGCTTTTCCACCTGAACAATAAATCAAATTTATGCCGCAAAAGTATCCAACTCCCAATCAGAAACTGCAACTTGATCAGACTAAGAACTCACCAATCCTTGCCTGGCCATATCTTCCAAATCCATGTTTTCCAAGTCTGGTTTAATTTTCTTGGGAGCTGGAGGCTTTGAAGGAGCACTTCGTTTCGCTGCTTTGCTCACGACATCCTCAGAGAAACCATCAGGGAATGCCATTTCCATGAATGCAGTGGCCAAGTCAGCCATTCTGCCATCCATAACATCATGATCAGGAAGAGTGAGGTCATCCACAGGTTCAGGGTTTTCATAACCAAGTGCGAGGGCTTCTATTCCAGCCCACTGTGTTTGGAGTTTTGGGTTATCAATATTCCGGGGATTGAACTTAAACTTGGTTTTCTGAATAATTTTCTCAGCTAAAGTAACAAGCTCAGGCTCTGGATCAGGACACTTAACTTCTTGCTCACTTAGATCTCTGACATTATCTGAAAAGAAGATAAAAGTTGGACAGAGAAAATAAAATCAGAAAATATCCATGATTGGAACTAGTAATACCTGCATATGGAAGATACCGCAATATGAACCCTGGTGGTACAATTTGAGAATTGTTTTTGTCTAGTTTTTCCTGCTGAGGCCAAAGAGCTACAAGTTTAGGTCTTCCGCCTCTCCTTGCAGTGAAGAAACAAATAGGAGTCACATTCCTAGCAAGACATCTTTCATGCAAGGCAGCAAACAATGTGCGGCTCCCTTTCACAAGGCGTTCTTCCGGATACAAAAACAGTGAGGATTTTATTTGGTACCATAATTTAATTGTATGTGTTGGTTTGAACCCCAGCAAGACCAGACCAGGTTGAGAGATAAATCTCATTGTCTGCAGTTCTTCCTTTTCAAATGTCACAATTTTTCCTCCAATAGGGATGGCTTTGGACACTTCTGCTGTAGAGACCTCTTCTCCAGTGGTCGAATTAAAAGCCTGGGCTCGCGAAGTAACAATACTGTTTTTAGAACGCGTAATTCTAATTTTTTTGGGGAAGGGATCAGTGGCTTTAAAAAATGAGTATGCAGCAACTCCAAGCTGCACATCTTTACCAAGAGTCCAAAGAACTCTGGAAGAACTCCGTTTAGAAACCATTCCTTCTATACGAGACACAACATCATCGATAGTCTTGACAATCATCAAGTCAGTTACGTCCAAGTCATCATCACCACGGCTCGTCTTGACAACCTCCTGGGAACATGGAAACACCCATGAGTCCAATAAAACAGTACAAAAACAAACAGTTTTGTTTTCTTAATAAATTAAAATTTAAAATAATTTTTTTCTTAAATGAAAGTTTATGATAACAACAAATATATTACCTTGAAGAAAAGATCTGCATTGAAAGATATACCAAAGGGTAAAACTTTTAACTGCATCAACACTTGGTGAAGATCGTTAGCTCTGGTTCTGGTATCATGCTGCAACTTGGGATCTGAGGCGTGTGGATTGTCATTACAAGTCATTAATAGAATAGTCTTCTCATGAATCTTGGTGGTGCTATGAAAGGAAAAGAAAGGTAGAGTAGCATGAGAACGGAGCTACTGAAGCCACAGAAAAATTTTTTTTGAGAAGAAACACCGATATGATAAATTGTCTTACCAATTAGAAACAATTTTTAGACAGTGCCACAGTGCCTCTGCTAGGGAGAAATCATTGGAGTGACCATGCTCTCTTTCAAACCCATCAACATCTGAAAACAAGTACAGAGTGTTGTAAAATTATCATGGAAAAAAAAACATTACAGGAGAAAGTAGAATAATGTAAACACACCTGAAATAATATTCATGAGATCCTTAACTTGATCAGCATTGGGACAAGATAGATTTTGAAGTGTTGTGATGTGGTTTGCTTGTGAAGCCTTGCCCTTTTGTTTAGTACCATAAAGGACAATGGCATATAGATTTTTTGTTCCATTTACTATGTCCTTCAACAATATTGTCTTGCATGCCTGCAATGGTAGTTTGAAATAGAAGAGATCAGTGTCAACAAATTACAACAGATGTTACGCTGCGACAGAAACAGTGATTAAGGGGTGGGCATACTTACTTGGATAGCTGTTAGAAAGAAAGACTCATCTTGAACATCTGTTTCAAACATACGTTCTGTGACATCGATTAAAAAAATGTAAGCTTTCTTTCCTCCCCACATCCATGGTTCTCGAACATCCAAGTCATCTTCATCGTCACTGTTACCTCTCCAAGAGGCTCCAGTTTGATTCATGTTGAACGAATGTCCCTTGCAGTTACTACACGATGGAGAAAGGAGGTCAATATAGCGCAACGAAATTTAAAGAGTCTGACAAAGAATATGAAACAGTAAATTTTGAACACTATTCATTCATCTTTTAAATCTAACTCTTACTTTCAACAACGGCATGAATATCCAATGAGATTGACAACTTGCCAAGGTTTTCATAAACCATAGGCCATTCTGTCCAAAAAATCAAACGACAGAAATGAGCAACCCAAAGAAATATCTCTTCAAAACAGATCAGTCGCCTACAACATGCTTACACCGTACCGCGTAAACAAATCGAAAAGACGTCAGATCTCGAAATCAAATTTCGATCCTCGAAGAGCGATCGAGGCAATTGACAGGTGCACCAACTACACAACAGCTCAATATGGGTCGTCTTGAGAAAAAGTACCAAAGGAAGTGCACAGCAACAAACTTCTGATATTTTTTAGCAACGAAGCTACAGTCTATCATATCACATTCCTTTACAGGAACCAAATTCTGTGATAAAATTCACAAGCCGAAATGGTCAGAAATTTGGTTTCCGAAACTCGAGTAGTTGCCGCCCCTTCGAAAACTAGGGTTAGGTTAGGGTTAACTGCGGCGGAAAAACTCATCATTTATCTGAAACTTCTCAATGGCATGACGTAATTGTGTGGCAAGGCCCTCGAAGGCTGCTTGTCGAGCTCATACAGTGGCTACACTTTGCGCTAGTCCCCCGCCTTTGGGTGCTGCGTATTCCCCCTGGGCTCAGCGCGAACGCGAAACGGCCGCCGCTACCGCTGCCACTGCTGCTGCTGCTGCTGACCGCTACCGCAGCACTCGGGTCGGGGCTGCTTTGAGTGTGTGCGTGTGTGGTGTGGTGTGTGTGTGTGCAGCGACCAGAGCACCTTCTCTTGACGCCAGTGAATTTTTGTACCGCATCACGTATGTGTCAAGCGCACCGACCGACCGGCGTATGTTGACGGCCACGGTCACTGTTCTACCGCGCGGTGGTGCTTTTCGTCGGGCTTGTTCCGGGGCATGGATCCCGTGATTGCCTGGTATCAACCTGAGCAGGAAGGACCCGCTCGCCAACTGTGGTCTCGCATTGCAGAAACCCGCTGCGTTCCAATGACGGACAACAACAGTAACACCAAGGCGACCAAGGCCCAGGAGTTTATCCCCATAGACAGCTCGTGCCCCGACGACAGGACCACCCCGTCACACCACCCGCCCCGCAAGAAACTGGACAACCGCGCCAGCACCTTTAACCTTAATCTTGACCATGCCAACCTCATCGGGAAGCACGGGGGGTGTCCGTGGAGGGAGCTGCGCTCCAAATATGACAGAGGAGTCGTCGGGTACGTTTCCGACCTGTGTCGTGTCCATTCAGTCCTTGTCCCTCTGGCTAGAATGGGTTATTAGCGAGGTGCACAATTCTGGCCAAACTTAACCTCAAAGTCTCATGCCTCATATCCTGTCTTTGCGCCCTGTTGAAGAGGATTTGAGCCACTGTCATGTAACATCGGCTTTGACACTGTCATAAAATCTTTTGGGAGAGATGTCACTGCCATTCATCACCATTTAAATTTTGATCTGATAAAAGCTAAAGTTTAAGGCTACTTTAGTTCCATTGTAAATAATTTGACTTACTGTTTCTGTTTGTTTGTGTGTTTATTTAGATTACACCAAGAAATTGAAGACTTCCACAAATACATTAGCCCGACTCCTGAAGAAACGTATGTGAGGAATATGGTTGTCACTAAAATGAAGAAATTAATCAAAGAATTATGGCCTGCTGCTAGACTACAAATTTTTGGTAGCTTTCGCACAGGTCTTTACTTGCCAACTAGGTAGGAGTTGCCTATATTTTTCAGTCATTTTAGTTATTTGTACTTGTTTTCTACCTTTCTTTCTTAATTTCAGTGACATTGATTTAGTTGTGATTGGCAAGTGGAATGTAAACAACTATGAAAGACTTCCTTTGAGGACTCTGGAGCAAGCAATTTATCAACACAACTTGGCCGAGCCTGGATCAGTTAAGGTGTTGGACAAAGCCTCTGTAAGTATTTGTAGTTTGTTATGTCAGTATTCTATGTTAAGTGAATTTGTTCATTCATACTTTGTGACTGAACATATTTTCTTTCAGGTACCCATTGTGAAGTTTACAGAGAGGCTATCAGATGTAAGAGTGGATGTGAGCTTCAATATGAGTAATGGAGTCAAGTCAGCAGAACTTATAAAGAAATTTAAACTCCGCTATCCAGTACTGTATAGTCTGGTACTTGTCTTAAAGCAATTCCTTCTACAGAGAGACTTAAATGAGGTGTTCACTGGTGGAATATCCTCTTACAGTTTAATTCTAATGACAATCAGCTTTTTACAGGTAACTACCAAGTTCTTGACTTTCTATTGGATTGTTACTCAAAATTTGTGGATTGATCAATGGCTTGTTTCAAACTTTATCTTTGCAGCTTCACCCTAGACAATCTGCACTGACACCCGGAGCTAACTTGGGAATCCTACTTATAGAGTTTCTGGAACTTTATGGTAAAAAGTTCAATTACATGAAAACTGCTATAAGAGTCAGTGAGGGTGGTAGCTACATATCTAAAGAAGAGGTACTACTTATTTCCACTGTGGGCGTGGAGTACATCATTCAGTCTTCACTTTCTCATATGTTCATTTATCTTGGTGTAGGTTCAACAAAATATGAAGGATGGCTATCGACCATCTTTACTATGTATTGAAGATCCTCTAAATATTACAAATGACATTGGACGAAGCTCTCATGGAGCACTTTATGTCAAACAGGCCTTTGAATATGCTTATATTGTGCTCACTCAGGCTGTAAATCCCCTTAACTCTTACCTGTATGATCCAAATAAAGTCAGGTAAGGAATTGTTGAAATCTGATGTAGAATTCAATCTGAATGCTTTGTTGTTTCCCATCCAGTCATTTTTATTTCTTTTTAATCCCCTTTTGCAGTATATTGGGAAGAATCATACGAGTGACAGATAGTGTGATAGATTATCGCCGGTCTCTGAAGGAGTCATTTCCTGTTTCACTGCATCCGGAGATGTTGCTGAATGGTAGTGGTTCTTCTGATGGTGAAAATGAAGAGGAGCCAGACACAAGTCCTGATTCAAGTGCTCCTGGATCAGACTCGGTGAGATGGTACTTCAAATTTCATGCTTTGCTGGTGGTGGTGGTTATCCAGTCACAAATTTAATCCCTATTACATTATTTTTTTAATTTTTTTAATATTTTTTTTGTAAGTTTTGATTAACCTGTCAATTTTATCTTTTCTTCTCCTGTAAATAGAATGAAAGGAATCTGACCAAAGATAGTCAGTTAGAAATTCTTATTTCCTCCACACGTGCTGTGAACATTGGAAATGTATCTTTCAAACATTGCCCCATCTGCAATAGCATGGCGTGTTCTGGAAGGTGGTTGAACTTATTTCATTAATCACCTTGCTGATTTAGTGCTCAAGATTTCCTGTCATTAACTCTGGTCAGATGCTCCGTGACAAATTGAAGCAATGTTTGTTTACCGTTGCAGGACTCCTCCTCTTCGAGAGGGGACAGTGGTGTCAACACCAATACCATGGTCAGCCATCCTCCGTGGCACCATAACTCGTTCTTCCACCGCGCGGGTCGCGGAGGCAGCGGGGGCACGCCGGCCAACAACAAACACCGTCGGTACTCCGACAATGGAAATCCAGGTAGGTCTCCAACCCTCAAAACGGTTTCTACCATCATGGACCTTGGTCACTTATTGAACTCTTCCCTCTGCCCAGGAGCACAGAACGGCCGGGGAGGCATGCACCACAGGCAAGGAAGGGGTGGAGGTCACGGACACGGACGCGGCCGAACTTTCAGCAGTAGGAAGCGTCGGAAAAGTAGGGAAATCGATCCTCAAGTCAACTTGTGACACTCACACGCTGTAGGTTAAAACTGTTTGCGCTGTTAAACTTCGGAATATGTTGCTATATTCTGGTTTAAACTTATAATGTTGACCTGATTGTGTGTTTCTGGGAAGCACTGGTCCAACACTCAGCTGAGTGTGGTTTGCTGTTGCACTGGGACTCCCATTCATTCTACCTTCCCACTTTGTTCCGTGTCCTTCCAGCCAGCGGAGTTGCCAATGATAACCTCTGTTGCTTTCCAGCGTGTCAACTATGATTTGGCTGGTATGATTCCGTTGTCCTATTCCACATTCGTGTTTGTTTTACTAATGGATGTGTGGCATTTGAATTTTAATCCCCCTATTTTATAGTGTTACCCAGAGGCAGCCTGTCTCATTTGTTGCCGTATTGACCCTAGTACTTTGAAGTGGTGTCCTCATGTAGAAAAGTAACGTTAGGGACTAAATAGGGTTTGTTAATGATTACATGCATAATTGGAGTTGCGTGCTTCTGTGATTCCACTTTTTTTTCTTTATCTTCTTTTTTTTAAATGAATCTTTCAAGGTTAATAATGACTCCAAGTAATTTAAGTTGGTTACATCTCAGAGGGGGACGCCTCTGGAAAATGAAAGTGTTCCATTTTTGGTACAAATTTTGAAATGCTGGTTTCTGTTTTAAGACAACACTACTTTTGTGCCAAGCACATTTTTGCTTGAGGCCGTGTCATTGTGTCTTCAACTAATAAGCTATAGCATCTAAACATGTGACCGTATGGGTGATACTGTATCTACCTTAGTAAATTTTTGTATGTATAACAGACTACCAAAGAAGAGACATTGCACGTCTTTGAGAGAGACCCACAGTTTGTTATATTGTGGTTACTTGTTTCCTATTACATTTGTAGCCATATTGCACTGTTGAATTCAAGGTCGAAGTTGGTATGGTTTTTAACTACTTATCTTTTCTATACAGATTTTATCATTTATGGAAGATATATTTTTCCTATGCTTGTTATTTAAATTATTGCCGTAACTGCTGTGTTCCTAAATAATTTGTTATTTCGCAGTTCCAGTACAGCAACTAGGACCCTTGGCTATTGTCACTTTGTTAACTGGTGTGGAGTTTAAAATTTCTGTGTTCATCAGAGGAAATGTTTCTAAAATGACGAATGTGTTCTGCTAAAATGTGATAATTTTTAGGACTTTTTCATTACTTGGATGTAGTTGTAGAATTTCTAACTTTTTATCAAGCCTCAGGGTGCATTTTTTGATAAATTTACAGTCTATGAATTCCTTGTGGGTAAAGAACATACTAAAGCTCAGCTACATACAGTCATATTTTACAAAATGTTGGTTATCAATCCTCAATTTCTTCCAATTTTTTGGCTTGTTGCTGCAGTAATGCCTTTTCAATGAAGTCATTTCATGACATTTGTCATACTTCCATCAGTGACATCCTATCCTATATATTATTATTAAAGACATCTCAGTTTTGGGAAAATGAGAATGTTTGAGATTTTGTGTGCTCATATTTTTATAGTCATCTCCATTATAGACCTTCCCCAGATTGTGCTCAAGTATGATGACATAGGATTTTTCTTTACTGTTCCTGTTTGATTGTGTAATATTGTCGTCTCACAGGGTGTGTTAGTCATTTACCTCAGGCCAGTATCAATCATGATTATCACTAATTTGTTGGGCATTAGTAGTAAGCGTGCTTTTGAAATTTTGAAAAACTTGTGGGTTTTTTAAATGATATGGCAATAATTGTGCTAAAAATTGATACCGGTATCATTATAGACTTCTGTACAAATTGCTTGTAACTTTTGTGATTTTGCAGACTGCTTCAGATATGAAACAAGATGTGCATTCATGTGGTTTGTGCATTGTAGTGCTTCAGTGCTGGAATTTTTCTCTTGGCGTGTGTTGTATTGTCTGAAGCTTTCTGCTTGTTTTTTGATCTAGCTTTCATGAATTTAGAGAATTAAGTTATTGTCAGGTATACTGACTAAACATTTGCAATAATATGACTTTATCCAACAGTGGTGTTACAGTTAAAGAAGTCTGAGTATTTATTGGTACTTAACATCATTTGTTTTAGGTTACTTTTATTCTCAGGTAGGATTAATTTTTGAAACTTGATGGGCATAGCTTGCAAGCTGTTAACATAGAATTTCAGAAAAAGCATCCAACAACTTTTTGATAGCTCATATTTGCCAAGTATTGCTTTCCCAGTTAACAGTTGTGGTCAAGAGATGCCTTTCATTTTGAAATGCCAATATCTTTTCGTATCCATGATAGGCCCTGTCAGGTTCAAATCCAAATTAATTGTGAGCATTGTAATCCTATCATTGAATGAATCCTGGTGTTTCTTCCCTTGAGGGTGTAATTTGGATTAGTTCTTGAACTCATTCAAGAATGAGCTTCTTTCTTCTGCAGTTGCTCTCTGGAAGCCTTGTAAACTCTCTACACTTAATGTTTTCAGTTTTGTCACATGCTTAATTAACTATTAATGGTTATTTCAGGTTTCCTGTAATTTTTTTGTGTTACCATTTGTTGATGGTTAAATTTCTTCAGATGATATATGATCTTATGGTAAATGGAGAGTTGGGATGTATAAGAAGTATTATTGCACATGGTGTTTGTTATGAACTTTCAAGTATCCGTTCAGTGTAAAGATTTACTTCTCTCAGAACAAATCATGAACCTTTACTTTTTTGTATGTACTTTATATTCATGAATCTTTAATCTTTGCTAAATTGTGTAGTCTTCGGTTTCCTTTATCTCTTCCTTTTCTTTCTCTGCTTTTCCGTCCGTGAGGCTGCTTAGAACATGTAGTGCTGTTGGCCTATTGTTCTTGTAACCCAATTCTTTGTGCCACATATTTATTGAACCGTTGTTGGAATACTTGCAATGTTTATTTGGTCAGGAAAGTTCCAACATAAATTCAGTTCCTAGTCGAAAGTGCTCGAAGATGAATGTACAAAATATTCAAGTAAAAAAAAAACCATTAAAACTAAGAAAATCTGAATGTACAAAATATTCAATAAAAAAAATTATAAAATTTTGTATAAAACTGTGAAAAACAAAAAAACGAATAAAAATGATTATTTAAAAAGAAGTTGATTTTTAAGTTTCCAACCCCAGAAAACACAATGCTGAACTAATTCAGGCATGAGGAATGTTTATTTGTTTGTTTTTTTTGTGGGAGGGACGACTGTCATTTTACTTTGTTTTGCTCACGCCACTCCAATGAAGAGTGATGAAGAATTTGCAAGCTGGTGCTCCTTTTCGGGCTGTGCACACGAAATGCAGCATGCAGCTCATCACCGAGTGTCACTGTGTCACAGTGTCGGCGCGTGGAGGGGCGTGGTGCGGCGAGGCGAGGTGGCTCGGCTCCCCCTTCCTCCACACCGTGGGTAGCCACGCGACACGCCGCCTCGAACGCAGCCTCAGCCTCACACCATTCATTGCAGTGCGGGCCGCGGGCCGCCCAGGCTGCCTCCGAGGCGGCCACGCTCTGGAATGACCGCGGACGGACGGTCGCAGTGGTCAGGTCACCCCGCGCCCGCGGAGGGAAGACCGACGACGGGAGGACGTCCGGTATGCAGTAAGGCAGCGAAGCAGCCGCCCCGTGCGCGTGACGGCGTGACACGGCGCGACACGGCGTGACACGCACGCGCCGTGCACCGGCAGACCTTCCGCACACCCATTCCTCTGTCTCTCGCGCCGCCAGGCTGGCCAGGCACGCCAGGCACGCCCCACGAGTGCGACAGAGACGGCGACGGAACGACTCCCCGGAATGGCTCCACAGCGCTCCGCAGGGCGTGGCGACAAACTACGCCAATTGCGACTCGGTCGGCACGGCCGGGCACGGCGTCGACACGGCGTGGCGGGGCACGGCCAGTCGCTTTCGTCGCTGTCTCTCTCGCACTCACAATGGCCCCCTATAGGTGCGAGAGAGACAGAGCGCCCAAAAAGACTCTCGGAATCGGTCTGCAGGACACGGCGCTGCCATGCGCGCGGGGTGCGGGGCGCGGGACGCGGGGCGTCGTCTGCTCCGGGAAAATAATTAAGTGTGATGAGGATTGTTGTTGATTGTGTTTCGGCGCTGCGCATGCGCGGCGGCAAGGCAAACGGAGGTCCGACGATGTTTCCGAATCGGAAGCTCACTTGCCTCCAATTTTTGGGCGCCGAGTGAGGCCCACCCGCCGGTACCTCTAAAACAGGGTGGCCCCTGAACCGTGGCAGAACAGTTGCCCGCGCACAGGACACACGCCGCCCGCGCCCCGCCGGCTGTGGGATGGAGAGGAGATTTTATGAGTGCGACGAATGTCCGTTTGTGACCGATGTCCGAGAGTTTGTCTGTTTGTTTGGGTGCCGGCTGGCGGCTGGCCGACCTCCACAGGGCCCAGAGGGCAGGCCGGGCAGACCATGCTGGCAGGCAGGCCTGCAGAGCACCTCGCGGTCCTCGTGGCATGTCGGACACACCGTGACGATCAGAGCGAATGCAGCGAGTTGGTTTGGTCGGCGCTCTAAATCAGAAACGAGAGGGAGAGAGAGAGACAGAGAAAGATGGAATCGTTTCGGAATCGTTCGGCTGAGTGCAGTCCTAATTAAAGGCCAGTCGCAAAACACGCTCCTGGCGGCCGAAATTCAAAGTGCCCTCCCCGGCCCCTGGGTGCTCTGGGTGCTCTGGGCCCTGGGGCAGCAGGCTGCTGGGCGGGGGCACCAGAGCACCGCGTCGAGGGGCCCCCAAAGCCCCGGAGCCCCCAAGCCCCCCTCCCCCCTCCCCCGCCAGGCCCGGCAGGCTGGCCAATTGTCGGCGCTTTGGAGACGCTGGGGACGGTGGCGGCGAAGCGCAAAGCGAAGCGCCAAGCGATTCAAAAGGGGGCGTCGTCCGGGTATAAATGGCAACGCCGTGCCCCAGAGGGACAGATCCGATCCGATTCCCGATCCGTTCGGTGACTCCACTAGACGCGACCCGACCAGTCCGTGGAAGGAGCGCGCTTCGCCGGCTACGCCACGACACGCGTCTCAGTTGCACGGGCAGCCTCTCAGTTTCGCGCCAAAAGTCGCGGACTCCGAACCACCCGACCCACTCCGCCGTTCGACGACAAGCAGTCCAAGGTAAGCGGCGACCCCTCGGTGGCATTCCCCGGACCCCGCCCCACAGTGGATTTGCCAGAAGACCGGTGGAGGCGGCCAAAACTCTGGACGCGTTTTGAGCTCCAGAGTCGCTAACTGGGACTCGAACCGAACGTGTGCTTGTCACCCCACCAATGGATTCCTCCCCGAACAAGGAATCCGTTGTTGGGGTCACACGTTCGGTTCGAGTCCCAGATAGCGACTCTGGGGCTCAAAACGTCTAGACAGCGCTGTCTTCTGTCTTCCCTTGTCCGCGGCCGCCAGAGAAAAGTCGAATCACACGGGTATCTTCTTCAACTTGGAAGACTCTCAATCTTCCTTGTGCTCCATGTGCCTTCTGCTGAGTGCGAGGGAATTCCCTCTCGAATCTATCTGTGGTGGTTGTACTGAGATGGTCTCCATCTTTAGAGCTAGAGTTAGTTACTTTCCCCTGACGCGTCCGCGGGAGGTGGTTGTAGAGCCCAAAGGTTTTCCACTTGGAGATAGCGCGCAGTTGATCTTTTTGTATTAACTTCCATTTGTCCTAAAAACAATATTTTAGCTGGGGCAATAAAAAATGCTTCTTAATGCTTAAGCACACAAATATTTTTGTGCTGTTGTTGTCGTTATTGTAGTATTTTTCGGTTTATAAATGGTCCAATGCAACAAAAGTTAAAAACGTAATCTGCCCGTCATCTGCCTCACTCGGTTTGCTTCTTGCTTGTTGCCTTGGGCGGCTGCACGTTTGCATCCATCCGACCTTGGTCCTTGGCCGTGGCGTCGCGTTTCGGCCAAGAAGGCCCCCGTGCAGGCCCCCGTGCAGGGCCCCGTGCAGGGCCGCGTGCAGGGCCGCGTGCAGGGCCGCGTTTCGTAGCTGTCTCTCTCGCACCTTCGCGGCACGCCCCGTGAGTGCGAGAGAGACAGAGCGACGAGTCCGGCCCTTTCGGAGGCGACCCGGGCGGGTCCCTCGGAGTGTGGCGCTCTGGCGCGCTCCACCCTGGCGTCTGATTCCGAGCACTGCTTTCGTCGCTCTGTCTCTCTCGCACTCATGGGGCGGTCCGTAGGGGTGCGAGAGAGACAGAGCGACGAAGCAGTGTTCGGAATCAGACGGCTGGCGGCTGGCGAGGCAGCGAGGCAGCGAGGCAGCGAGGCAGCGAGGCTGGCGTGGCCCGGGCCGGGGCCCGCCCTTCGGCCTGCCTACGGCGCCACCGCGCACCGCCAAGGCAGCCAAGGCAGCAAGGCCCGCCGCGCCGAAACCGGAAGGCAGATGTCCCAGTCCGAACGCCAAGCCGCCAAGCCCCAAACCATAACGCCAGCGGTACGACAGACTGCCGCTTCCGGCCGTCTGTCTCTCTCTCTCGCACTCATGGGGCGTTCCCTGCGGGTGCGAGAGAGACAAGCGACGGGGGGCAGGGCCAAGGCAAAGAAGGCGTGCAGCGACATGGTCGAGGAAGCCTAGTTTTCGGCCTTCGACGCGGACTCCTCAACGGGCACTCCTGTGCTCCTCCGTGGAGCCCCGCGTCCCGTCCAGGCAGCTGCCCAGGCTCTCGGCCGAGCGTCGCCGTTTCACGATTATGTTCCGGCAAAATGACCATAGGCCTGCGCCGACCACGCTTGCCTCGGCTTGCCCGGCCCGTCAGACTGATTACGACGTGGCTGGGTCGCTCTGTCTCTCTCGCACCCCCATGGCCCCCATGGCAGTGCCCTCGAGTGCGAGAGAGACGGATCAGCCTGCAGGGGCTCTGGCCCGGCCGTCCAATCAGACGGCGTTCCGTTTACCTCCCACATCAGTAGTTATTCTCCTATAGGAGTGGACAGGCAGGCAGACGGACGGACGGACAGACAGACGGACAGTGGCTCCCGGGCGGACCGTGGCGTATCATCGCCCTGCCCGTCCGTCCGGCGGTCCAGCGCGGCACTATGGTGGATTATGCACAAGGTCAGGGCGGGGCGGGGCGGGGCGGCGATATTGTTTGCTCGTAATTGTCCGTGGTTGATGGGACGGGCCCTATCCATGCAACGTGTTCTCGCTGCTACAGATGTCGCTGGTCCCGCTGAGCACCGAGCTGGACAACTGGAGGCCCTTCCGGCGGTCGTCCACGTGGGACCTCCTGGACAGGCCCTTCAAGGACGAGTGGCACTGGTACGACCGGCCCTACTGGAACCGGCCTTGGCGCCAGTACGAGGCCGCCCTCAACGGCCTCGCCGAGTTCTCCGAGGACAAGGAGAACTACTTGGTGAGGATGGCCAGGGTGGCAAGAAGGAGGTCGCTCTGTCTCCCGCGGGAGGCCGAGCGACGACGGTAGGCCACAAGGCGGCACGGCTGTGGAGCGGGCTGCCTATGCCAAGGTCCGCAGGCGCTAAGGAGGCTCCACGCCGACGGCGGCCGCCTTGCCATGGCATGGCTGGGCAGTATTCCGAGAGTCGTTTTCGTCGCTCTGTCTCCCTCGCACTGTAGGTGCGAGAGTGACGGAGCGACAGAGCGAAGTCAGCAGCGTTGCCTTTCTTGCAGGTGAACCTGGACGTGGGCCCGTTCCGCCCCAGCGAGGTGAAGGTGAAGGCCGAGAACAACTACCTGACGGTGGAGGGCAAGCACGAGGAGCGGCCCGACGACCGCGTGGGCGGCTACACCAAGCGCCTGTTCGTGCGCCGCTACCACCTGCCCGACCACGTGAACCCGGGCCGCGTCACCGCCAACCTGTCGTCCGACGGCGTGCTCATGATCACGGCGCCCAAGTCGTGGTACCGCTCCGGCTTCACGCACGAGCGCGCCGTGCCCATCACGCAGACCTACCTGCCCGCCCTCAAGTACAAGAGGAAGTGGACCTAGGCGCCTAGACACTGTCAGAGGTTGAGCGCGGCGGCGCGGCGCGCACCAAAGAATGCGAAACACTCATTCAAAATGACGTCAAAAGGATTGGTCAAAATTTTGACTGAAATTAGTCGTGTGGACATCAAATGACGTCACAGTGAGCGTTTCGTGTTCTTTGGGGTGACCGGGCTGGGCCGCCAGGCGTAGCTTCGCCTCCACGGCGAGGCACTTCAGGGCGGAGGGAAGGTCCCAGGGGGTGCCCTGCCCCAGCCTCCGGTTGCACCCCGCGAGGTTTCAATTTGAAACTGCCCTGCCACCGTTCGGCTTTAGTTTGAGTTTTGTTTTGGCGCCGGAGGGGAGGCGGCGTGTCGCGTTCTTGTTCTTCCGTAGCGTAGCGCTATGCAGCCTTGCCCAGGTATTCGCCACCCAGGCCTCTGTCGTGTGACTGCACTAGTAGGGGTGAGAGCTTTGTTGTACTTTTCGCTGGTAACAAATGTGCAGGGATTGGCCATCGGCTTAGCCTACTTTCATCTCCTAATTTGTCTGCAATCGTAATTCGAGAATGTCCGGGAAATTGAAATTGCCTGGGTTGGCTAAGTTGCCTCAGAATTTGCACTTCTTTTTTTCTCTAGAGGTTTAACACTATTGGACTTTAGGTGTTCCGTCCATGTTAACACTAATGTGGTTGGATAGATCTGTACCTTGTACACGTGGACTGAGGTGCGGATGTTATTTGTTGGTTCTTTGTTTTTGAATAATAAAAATGCCCTGCACATTACTCATCTGTGTCATTCTGTTCATCAAGTTCCCTTTTGTGTTTCTTTGGCAAACGGGCCCTCAACACCTATGAAATGAAAACAAAACCAGCCTTCATCTTACTAAAATATAATTTATTGTACAGTCATGTCATGACAGGGACAATAATCAGCACAACACATTATTTTTATTTTGTCAGTGTCCCTTGAAGAGCTTTGGGTCATAATACAGAGACAACATAATGAGATTCATAACGCTGAGCTGAGAAACCATTTCCATAAAACAAGAATCGACATTTTGTTGTTTACCTAAAATTAGTATTGTCCTTATTTTAGGAAAACAAAATGAGCACCAAGTAATGAGTAACAGAATTGAAAATCCTTCTGAGAATTATAACTGGACCATAGCACATAAATACATGATAATAATCATAAATAATGCTAGATTCTATAAAAATATCTGATCTACAGAACTCGGGCACATATACATCTGGCACAATTCGGGCCAATCTAATGAAGCATTATTATCTGCTTGATTAACATGTCATTCAAATGAATTTCACCGCCCAGCACTGAAATTCAATAAGTCCCTCAGACATTTATACTGAAGAAACTTTCACAAAGACCAAATAATAATAGTATACAAAGACTAGAAAACCAACAGTGGAAATGAATTAAATGTGCAAATACACACAATGAGCAAACAGCACATTTAAAAGTAAAATTAACTTAGTCTCAATACATCACACAAGCAAAAGCTAAAAAAAGCAAAATGAGTACGGTGAATGAAAGTAGATAGCCAAAATTAAGAGTAAAAGCTGTTTTCAACCAAAATATTTGATAGAATTACTAAGTCTGGCATGGGTATCCTGACCACAAAGGGTCCTAAATTTATTTGTCTTGAAGAGGTGTGCGTTGATTCAGAATGTGCTGGGTATATATAGAAAAATACTGTACCATACATACATAATATCGAAATATATTACCTTACTTTCCATCTTCCACACATGTCCAACCTCCAATTTGGCACAGTCTTGAAAGCAACCTACTACCATGAAATTCTGATGATGCGAATTCATTTAGTTTGCCTGAAGTGATTGGATGATTGATTGATCGACTTCAGACCAGCAGAATCACAGGACAGGCAGTGTGAATCAGACGCACAAGAAAGCCTAGTTACTGGTAGTTGAGATATGCATCCATCAATGTCAATAATTAAAATTCACTCCCTTCTCCTACCTTCTACAACCCCTCCAATACATTAACACAGTAGACAATTGTCTTCAAATAACACATGTCAACATAGAATTTGAACAGTTTTATCACAGAGACTTAGAGGAAACGCACGAACCCGACAATCACATATTTAGCTCCTACGTACAATATCGAGTGAAGTATCACTAACAGAAAAACAAAGTAATTGATCAGGTTCAAAAAGAAATGCATGTCTGGACTTGAATAAAAAATTTCATGCAGCTTGTTTAAATGACATTGGACCAACGGAACAATATACTGAAAAATATAAAATCTTTGTAACAGCAAGCAGGTCTAAAAAATGGATATGATGCATTCAATTAAACTCACTTTGTCAATTACAGTTTACCATTAGCTCTAAATAAGTACCTCCTAAACTTTATACAGCCATAAGGGGGATTGTCGGGTGCCAGTGCCCACAATATTAAAGATACAAGTATGACAGATAGAGAGTTTGACACAGTTAACTCATCCTATCACGCATGTATGCATTCCTTGTGGTGAGATGTCTGACACCAAGTGATGACCCATGACTCCAATCATTTGTTGGGATGGCGGTGCGGTAGAACTTGCTCGATGCTTTGTTGAACACTGGTAACAGCTCATTGGCTTCATTTGACAATGCCTGTAAAAAAACAATATAATTATATAAGCGGTAATAAAATTCAAACAAATGAAAATTTTCTTATTTTTCATTCTAATTACCTTCATGTATATCATTGCGTCAGTTCCGAATCCATCACAAGACATGAGTGTAAGGTCCCCATGGAAATAGCGGGCGTAGAGCCGTGAAATGGGCAGTCCATATCCATACCCTGGAAAATAAAATAAAAACCATTTACATGAAAATCAAGTGACTCTTTTTCTCCTCACCAGCAAATCACTTTGCAGTCAAATACGACTGCGGCTCACCAGCTAGGGGTACAGTGTGAGAGTCAGACTTGGACGGCTGAGGGGCAGTGGAGTACATGTAGTGGAAGAGCATGTCGGTGGAGCTGCGAGGGATGCCACCGCCCCTGTCAGACATCTGCAGGCAACACAACACGTCAAGACATACAGAGACAACCCATGTCTATGGACTCAAAAATTATTTTTTTCACAAATTTTTCCAAAACTGGCAGTCTTGAAATCCAAACACGGACAGACCTTGACGCAGATGTCCTCCTTGCCGCGGCAGACCACCACCTCGACGGGGGGCACGCCGTCCTCGGAGTCGCCGTGGTGCTCCATGACGGCGCGCATCGCGTTCTTGAACAGTTCGAACAGCATGTGGTACAGGTGGGACGGCACGTACACGATGCGGATCGGGGCGCCGTGCTCCACGTCTGCAAAAACAAATCAGTCAAAACTTAGATCAATTGGCGGGGATGCGGATTCGAACCCTCGGCCGGTGGCTCACCACATCGTGCCACTCACCATTGATCTCCTTGAGGCGGAGCTCGGGCGAGGAGAGGTAGTACTGGTCGCAGATGAAGCGCGCGTTCTCGTAGGCGTCCTTCACGACGCCGATCAGGTCGCACTGGGGGTCGATGCAGCCGATGTGGCCCGTGGGGTTCTCCGAGCCCTTCACGTCCGAGCCGAACAGCAGGGCTGCGATGCGAGCAGAGACGCGTTCAAGCCATGCACAGTGGGCCAGAAGACCGGTGGAGGCGGTCTAAATTTCGGACGAGTTTTGAGCTCTTGAGTCGCTAAATGGGACTGGAACCGATCGTGTGCCCCACCAATGGATTGCTCTCCGAACGAAGAATCCATTGGTGGGGTCACACGTTCGGTTCGAGTCCCATTTAGCGACTCTAGAGCTCAAAAAGGCGTCTAGAGGTTTTACTCACTGTGCTGGTTGATGAGCATCCGGATGGAGATGCGCGACATGTAGAAGCGGTCCAGGAAGTACTGGATGCTGTTGTCTGTCTGCTGGTCCACGGAGTGGGACTCCTTGAGCTCCATCACGCCCTGGGCCATGGTCTGCACCACGTCGGAGTGCCGGTTCCGAACGCGCACTAGCGTCTCGCAGAACCTGCCATGCAACAAGCGCAAAATAAATAAATGCACATCCAAAACACAACACGGCCATTGTGTTCCTCCATTCCTGTGTTCTTTTTTCACTCATTCGCTCTGCAACTACACCAGAAAATTTACGGCATAATTAAATTTAAATTGGCCGTCTCTCGATCACAGCCCAGTGGGAGAGGAGAGCATTGTGATGGTGATGGGGTGGCCCGGGGTGGCCCAGGGTGGAGAGGGGGATCCATCCCAACAGGCTGCACCTCTGACTTAGTGCACGCCAGCCTATTTTAGCGGCCAACTACTGTACACGTACACACCCACACGCCCACACGCGCCTTTGTAGATTAAATCAAATCCCCCCGCCGCTGCCGCGCTGCCGTTGGCGGGAGAGGAGAGCCACGACCGCAGCAACATTGGACAGGGCCGCGCCGCCGCGCCAAAAACTAGAGAATTTTACGGCAGGGCAAGGTGCACAGTGCACGGCAACTATGTTGTGCAACTTCGGCGACGGCAGTGTGCTCTCAGTCTACTACTGACATAGAAAAAGCCTCGCTGATAATGCCTTACAGAGCTACTCGGAGGCACTGTCAAAACCGACTATGCATCTCAGTGATAATCTTTTTGGTTGCAAAGATATGACATTTTCCGGCAAAATCTTACTCAACTATTCAAAGACTAAAAAGGCCCAGGCCTCGTGCAATCCATCCGGAAGAATCTCGATACGGTGACTTTACAGCGTGCAAACTGTCACACTGTCACGCGAGCTTGTTGTCGCCGCCGATTTTCGTCTTTTCTTTTTCATCGGCAACTGTCGCGGTATCCGTTGTGTGATAAACCCGATCGCCTTCGAGAAAAGTATTACAAATGTTGGGCAACGCGTGGCCCGTGCGTGCTCTGCTTGTTTTCGGGCCACTTTGTTTTTGTTGTTGTTTTTATTTTCTCCTCGCGCCCCACCCCTTCCTTCCGCGGCCAGCTTCAATGCCAGCATAGTCAATCGGAAGGATGTCGCTCCGTCTCTCTCGCACTCGCGGCGCGTGCTGTAGGGGCTGTAGGGGTGCGAGAGAGACGGTGCTGCATCGCTGGGCAGCAGCCCTCGAGCGCTGACGTCAAACCACCCACCCCCCGCCAGGCCGCCAGCCTCGCAGGTACCGCCGTACCGCCCCAGCAGACGTCGCTCTGTCTCTCTCGCACTCGCGCGGCGTCTCGTATGGGTGCGAGAGAGACAGGGCGACGCGCTCGGCATCGGCCTGCTGGTGCCGCTTGCACCCTTCCAGCCCTCGGCGTAAATTCAGGGTCGGGCCAATCACGAGCCCAGCCGGCTCCGTCTCTGTCGCACTCATGGGGTGGGCGAGAGAGAGAGAGACAGCCAAACCAGAGGCGCCAGAAGTGCCCGTCAATCCGAGAGAGCTGCTCCACGCCAACGACCCCCAAAGGACCTCCAACCTCCAGCGAGGCGCCTCCCTGCGCGCATAGCGCCTGCGAGGCGGGCAACGGGCAACCCCCACGCACCGGCGCGCCGCGCGCCGCAGCGTGGCCTAGCCAGCACGGCGCCCGGCCGCCCGGCCCGGCCCCGCCCAGCCAGCCCCGCCCCGCCCAGCCACACCGCCGGCAAACAGGGAGCAGGAACTCCAAGGACGCCGACCGCCAAGGGCGCCAAGGGCAAGCGGAGAAGGGCAGCAAAAGGGGCGGCGGTGGAGAGCCCCGCGAGTGCGACAGAGACAGAGCGACGAATCGGTCGGGAGGAAAGGGTGGAGGAGGACGAGTCGATAAGAAGGGACGAGGACGACAACACCCGACACGACCTCACCGTCCTGTTGTCAGCCCGTCACCGCCAGGCCGCCGGGCCGCCAGCAGGACGTCACAGTGGGCCAGAAGACCGGTGGAGGCGGACAAAACTCTAGACGCGTTTTGAGCTCCAGAGGCGCTAAATTGGACTCGAACCGAACGACGTGTGACCCCACCAATGGATTGCTCTCCGAGCGAGGAATCTATTGGTGGGGTCACACGTTTGGTTCGAGTCCAACTTAGCGCCTCTGGAGCTCAAAACGCGTCGAGGGTTTCGGCCGCCTCCACCGGTCTTCCGGCCCACTGTGGGCTGCATGCCGGGACCGGGACGCCCCCCGGGACGCCCTCCGCTCCCGACAGCCCGGAATGCCATTATCGCCCGCTTCCCACTTCCAGGACCTTGTCCAGGACTTCCAAGCCGCGCCATCCCCGCGCGCTCCCAAGGCCGCAGACTATCACGCCCAGCGTCGGGCGGGCATCACGAACCCGTCAGCCAGCAGGGCAGCACAGCCAGCACAGCCAGCACCCGCCGGGGCGGAAAGGGCGCCGGGCGCTGGAGCGCGCGATAAAAGTTGAAAAAAAAAACAACAAAAAAACAGAGTGTAATCCACCATTACTCTGCGGGACATCCCCTCGCCCTGCTCCTTCTGCTTTCCTCGGCGAGATACACCAATAAATGAACATCTTGGAAATTCGGGATGCAGAATGTCACGTGGGTTGGAGGAGGGGCAGTCCTTCAGCGGTGGCAGAACCCTCAAGTGGAGAGGAAGGATGAAGCATTCAAGTGACGCATCCCTCTCTCTTTCTCTCTTCCCCTTCGCTCGGTCCCCTGCACCCTCGACCTCCTACCCCCTCCCCTCGCCCGGTGACATTCTTTGAGCCAGGACCTTGCCAACAGTCCCTTCCCTCCCCTTCCTCCTTCGCCGACCCACGGCAAGGCAGGGCCGGGCAGGGCCGGGCAGGGCACACAGCTGGGGCCGCGAGCAGTCCGCCTGTCTGTCTGTCCGTCCGCCTGTCCGTCCGTCGGGCCTGAACACCGTGCCAAGCCGGCGGCGACATGTGTTTAGGCACCGACTCGCCGGCCGGCCGGCAAACCAGGAAACCCCTCGTACATTTTGCGTCATTTTATTTGCAAAAATGTTTAAAAATCTCAAATAAAAAATTTAGCAAAACCATGAAAATTAAAAATACATGTAGTCGACATGGACATGAGCGGTTCACAACTGCGTAAGGCAAAGTCATGCCCGCCCTTTTCACAGTCTATCTTTACAGCGTACTCGCCAAATGAAACAACAAAGAGACAAATGGCTGCCCACCTGTCCAGTGTGCCGGCGCTGACGTCCGACTTCTCGAAGGCGATGATGTCGTCGAAGGAGCGCGCGTACCAGTCCGTCACCAGCACGACGGACGGCATCCTGGTCAGGTTCTCGGGCAGCAGGGCGATCTCCTTCATGATGTTGGCCAGCCTCACGGGCAGCTCCTTGCGCAGGAACGTGTACGACTTGCGCTCGCACGCCTGGTAGCCTGCGCCAACAAAAACAACAGTCAGCAACGACAAAAACAACAGCAAACAACGATTTTTCGGTTAAATTTTTTTAAGGAGATAAAGAGGGTAGGTGGAAATTCGTCGTCAGTCGTGCGCGAGCTGTGAGCTGTGCGTACCTTGGGTACAGTAACTAAACATTTTTCCGAATAAAAATGTTTTTATTGTTTTGTTTTTAATTTTTGATTGCAGGTGTAGTGAGGCAGGGAATCGGGACAGTGTGCTGGCGGCTGGCGGCGAGGCGGCAGGCAATTGAGCTCCTCAAGGTCACCATGATCCTCGCTCGGAGCTTCGCGATCAACGAGTCCAGCTCTCTCGGGCACTTCCGACTTGAGCGACAGAGACAGCAACACACTAGGCCGACGTCAGGCCGACGCCAGGGCGACGCCCCCGCAGGCACGCACCCGACGCAAAACCCGAAGAACGGCGGCGACGCTTGGATGCGACCCAAGTGAGCCCCAGAAAGCAACACCCGTCTCTCCGCCATGACTAACTAATGGTTCCAGTGAGTACTGTACCGGGAGTCGGTCAGACACCGGATTGATGTTGAGGCTCTCGCACGGAAACGAGGGCAGGAGGTGAGAAAATATCGTGCAGGCAAGAGCTGCACGTGCACTGTGTACTCAGAGTTCTTGTGTGCGCAAAAGCACTGCGACTTCAGAGAACACTTCATTAAGCCAAAGACACTTAATCGTCAAATGGCACCAGCCAGCAGGGAGACGTCGCTACTCCGCGCAAACTGACTTCAAGAGGCGTGGGGTAGCGACGGCCGGGGTCGAGACTGGGTCGAGGCTGGGTCGAGCCTCCCGCTGGACGTCGTGTTGGTACACAAGTCCACAACCCGTGGCGGCCCGCGGTCTGCCAAGTCCGCGGCACAGGAACTCCAACGTTCCCGCTATCTAGCCCGCCTACTGTACTGTAAGTGTACGGACAGAGGTGGAAAAACGGAGCAAATGGACCAAGCGATCCGGTGGCTCGAACCAAACGTGTGACCCCACCACACCAATGGATTCCCCGTTCAGAGAGCAAGCCATTGGTGGGGTCACACGTTCCGTTCGAGTCCCATTTAGCGACTCTGGAACTCAAAACGCGTTGAGCAATTTGGCCGCCTCAAAAACCCACATTGCAGTACGCATTGGTGCCAAGGGCGAGTTGCGCGCTGCCGGTTCAAATTGCAACGAGATAGCCCCAGAGATACCCTACTGTGTCGACGGGTGCCAGGGCACTCGAAACTCTGTGCGAGCAAGCACGCGTATGTGTGCGAGAGCTGAACGAAGAAGCACTGCTGGCGTGAGCGAGAGAGACGGTTAGTAGTACTACGCTGCGTCTATGACCCGGTTGGGTCCGCATGGCGGAGCATGGCGGAGCATGGCGGCTTCAGAAGGCCGTCCGCTATCTGCCCCGCCCGGCCGGCGCGACGTCTGGGACAGCCTGGGGTAAATGGGGCAGACGGGTCGCGGCCTACGCCACCGCGTCAACGCGTCAACGACAACGTTTGTTTTCCTCTCCACTGACCACAGTGTGTCCGACGGGCCGGCCTAACCACCACGAATAACAGCACGCCCCCCGTAACACCATAGTCCGCCTCAGACACTCTCAAAACCTACCAAGCCCTTAATCAAAAACAAACTATTTTGAAGAAGTATTACAAAGAAAAACCTTAGAAATTTACGAACTAATTCTTTCGTTTGTTTATAACAAACAGTAAGTGGTTTGTACCTTACATAGACTCAAAATACTTGGCAAGGTTGTAAGCGTGCACAGTACACCAGCGGATTGATAACAAGGAAGAGGGAAAGGCCTAGAAGGTGTTCGGGTCCTCAGGACGCGATTGCGGAGTACAACGTTCAATCCGCACCCACACAGACAAACAACGCACACACACGAAGGGGCCTTTTGAGCAACAGCTGTTTTTAAGGCGCCGGCCGTTCTTATCAGGCCGCTTCGCCTTGCAGCGGCGGGAGCCACACCTCCCACGCCCCGCCACGCCACGCCTCGCCCCCGCCGCGCCGCAAGCCAAGAGTCTGAAAAGCCAGGCCGTTGTCCCCGCCGGGCGGCCAGGCCAGGCTGCCGGCAACACGTTGGCCTCGCCGGCATGCGAGCACAGAAATAAGTAGGAGGGGAAGAAAAAAAGAGGCGAAAACGACGTCCATTTAGCGTCGTCTCGTCGCAGAGCGAACCCTGACCCGCTCCTCGACGCCCGTAGCGTCGATTCCATTTCGAGTTTCGAGTGCAAACATTGAAGAGTCGAGGCTAGAAAAGAAGCGCGCGCCAAGCTAAATGTTTAGCGAGAGTGCCAAACAACACCACATTGGTCGATCACATAGCACGGCGGGCTCGGGATCGATTCCCTTCGCGTGCGAGGGTGTAATCACACTTCATTCCAAGAAGAACGGTGGAGGCGACCGAAACTCTAGACGCGTTTTGAGCTCCAGCGTCGCTAAGCAAGCAGGACTCGAACCGAGCGTGTGGCCCACCAACGGATGGTTCAGAGAGCCATCCATTGGTGGGGTCACACGTTCGCTTCGAGCTCCAGGATCCTAATCTCAAAACGCGTCTAGAATATTGACCGCGTCCACCGGTCTTCTGGCCCACTGTGGGGCCGGAGAGAAAGTTCGTCGACTGTCGACTTTTGGCAGGTGGTGTTGTTTTGATGACGTTCGTGACGAGAGCGTCGTGTTGTTATTGACGTGGAAGTGACTTCGCGGAATCGGGTAAACGCGGCGGCGCGCATCGACCGAGCGGCGGAACCGGATAATGGGGGAGAGAGAGAGAGAGTGGGTGGGGAGAACCGGTTCCATCCGGTCTGCCTCCGTGGAGCAGCAGCCAGCAGCGCCAGCAGCAGCGCACGAGGCCGTGGGGCACTGGACGGGATGGATAAGCTAGACCGTCCCTGCAGCCAACCTCGCGCGCAAACCCTCGATATCTCGAAAACCGGACGGATATCCACCAGAACCCGTGAAACAAGACCTGTCCAAACCCAAAACAGGGGCAACCGTTGCTTCTTCGCGCGGACCGCAGAAAGCAGGAAAAGCCCCAGGCGTCCCAATGCACCACGTGCCCACCCAGTCGCCCCAGTCGCCTCCAGCAGCGGAGCAAGCCAGGAGATGACCGATTGCGTAACAACAAGTACAGTGCCACAGCCAGTGGCAGCCAGGGGGCTCGTCCCGCCGGCCTGCTTGAAAGTCAAATGCATCGGCCGGCGGCTCGAGGCAGGCTTGCGCCGCTTGCGCACGGACGTCACACCAAGTGTCGCCAAGGGGCGTCCCGCCGTCCCCGTCACAGGCCGTGGCGTAGGGCAGTGGCTGGCAGTGGCGTGGGGAGGGGCCGCACAGTGGGCCAGAAGACCGGTGGAGGCGGCCGAAATTCTAGACGCGTTTTGAGCCCCCGAGTCGCTAAATGGCACTCGAACCGAACGTGTGACCCCACCAATGGATTGCTCTCCGAACGAGGACTCCATTGGTGGGGTCACACGTTCGGTTCGAGTCCCATTTAGCGACTCTGAAGCTCAAAACGCGTCCAGAACTTTTCTGCCTCCACCGGCCCACAGTGGGTCGCTTGTGCCCAAGACACCCCTTTTTGCGTGGCTGCGCCACTAGAATGGCAAGAGTCTCCAAATTTCGCTCTCACATTAAGATGAAATTAAAAGCGGGGTGACAACAGTGAACTGTGCACACTGTTCGCAGCGCCCGTTAAGCCAAATGAGCCGACATGAGTCATTGCACTGTATGTAGTTCCCGCGGCTCGGCGCGGCAAAACATGTCTTTATCAAGGCTTTATGGAGGCTGCCGGCTTGCCCTGGCTTGCCCAACGGCAACGCGTGCGCCGCCATGCGTCGCCACCAAGGAGTCAACAGCGGAATTGGCAGGAAGTGCAGCGCGTCATCGGCCGCGTCACATTCAGGCCGTCCTGGCCGCCAGCCTGGCCGCCAGCCCCGTCTGGGCGGCGGGCACCACGCCCCCGCGGCCCTCTAGCGCGCTAGCCCCCCCGCCCGAGCAGGCAGCCAGACCGCCAGGCAGGCGGCATGGCTAGCATTAGCGCCGCTCGCGACGACAGCGCGAGGGGAAGGGCAGTCAGTCGTTTTCTCGCACCTATACGGGACGCGCCACGAGTGCGAGAGAGACAGAGCGACGGTAGGGCCTTTCATTTTCACCTAAGGGACGACGTCGCGACGTAGACGGAGGCCTCCAGGGCGTGGCTCTGCCAGGCTCTGCCAGGCTGACGCGCCCCTAATAGGGTTGCCACCCAATCAGCTCCGCGACACTTGCAGTCTGGATCCCCATCCGGAACGGATTAGCATTGTTCTTGATGTAGCCACCTATGTGGGTCAGCCTATCGTCCGCCAAGGTGACGGAACGCCCCGCCACGCCCCGCCACGCCCCGCCACGCCCCGCCCGCCCCGCCACGCCCCGCCCCGCCACGCCCCGCCACGCCCGATAGTCTACTCGTCTCCGCGCGTGGCGAACCTCAGCACGACTCGCGAAAAAGTCACCAGCGTAAACACCAAAGGACGCGGTGCCGTCCCTTGAGGTGCGAACAGGGAGGGAAGAAGGAGGGAGAGAGAGGGAAGTCCGTCCGGCTGAAACCAGATCGCGGCGCGCCGCCCCCAGGACCAGGACCAGCCGGCTACATCGCCCTACCTCGCCGCGCCCCGGGGTGAAGGTGGCCACCCTAGGCTGCCGGAGCCACACGGTGCGATAGGGTTGCCATTCTTCCCGAGTGGCCGCGATGCCGCGATACATCGAGCGTCTTTATTTCCTGGCCTTCCCCGCCGCCGAGTCGGGCCTGAGGAACTGCCCACCAATTATGCCCCCCCCCCTTTCCCGAGGCCCGCGAGGCGGCGCAGGGCAGCGCCCAGCAGCGCCTTGTCGCGTGGTCAAAGCCAAGGACGCGGAAGCAGCGCGAGACGTCCTTGGCGACGAGCGACGACCTCACACAGTGGTCCAGAAGACCGGTGGAGGCGGCCCAAACTCTAGACAGACGCGTTTTCAGCTCCTGAGCCGCTAAGCAGGACTCGAACCGAACGTAATGGATTGCTCGTTCGGAGAGCAATCTATTGGAAGGGTCACACTCAAAACAGCACAATGCTTGTCACGAGTGGGAGTACTTGACACCGCATCACTGTAAACCAAAGTGCGAGTCACCACTGTTGAGCCGTTCGGTCGTCATCGCGATGACGTGAGCGAGTATCGAGTACTAAACAGCAGGACAAACAGTTCAAGTGGGCCGGAAAAACGCTCCTCGGTCCGCCACGTCTAAAATCGCAGCACGCGGAAACGAAACAGTTTCGGAGAGACGCTAAAAATTGGCGCGTGGATTGCCATGCGCGACCTCGAGCTCCCCGCTGGGATGCATCGTTCTTCCGCGAGGCCGGAAACCGCAGCAAAAAGGCCCAAACTTGGCGAAAACAATTAGTCGCAACAGCAGGGCGCGCCGAACGCGGCCACGTAATGTGCAACACGTAATATGCAAATGAGCACGGCGGGGCGGGGCGTGCCTAGGCGTGCTCAGCGACGACTCTGGCCAAAACAAAGGGATCGAAGAGGCACCGCCCTTCGCCGTCAACATCGCATTCCTAACCAACAACAGTTGAAACATCAAAATTTATTTTTCTGCTTTTTTAATTTATTTATTTTTTCTGGGTGAAATGATGCCACTAATTTCAATTCGGCCAGCAGGGGGGCGATTGAAACGGAAAGCGATGCGGTCGCCCGATAGCCGAATCCAGCTGAACGCAGTGACAAGCAATTAGTAGTAAATATCCTCCATAAACACATTCTTTCGGGCGGGCGGGCGCTGGACGGGCTGGGTGCATGCCATGCAGGCAGTGCCGGCAATGCAGACGACGTGGGCCCAAGGTGACACCACCGTCCGTCCGCACAGATTGTCTGCAATGACACGGCTTGTTAGAATTCGGACTCGATGCCTCGGGGCGAGACGCCGATTAGAGACGGTGTGCAAACCGAGCGGAAAGGAGAAGAAAAGAAGAAGAAAATTGGCAGCCCGTTCAAATGGCGCGCGCGCCATGAGGAAAACACAAAATTCCAGTTTGACGAAGACAGCGTAGTCAAACAGTTTCATAAGCGCTGGGTGTTGATGTGGGAACGGGTATCGTAGGCTGGCATGCAAACACAATGATTGTTGGGGGAAATGCAAGACGATGTTCCCGCGCGACCTCTTCACTTCACGGCTGACCTATAGACGAGCCCGGACGACATTTAGATAAAAGAAGAGCAAACGACAGCCACTTTTCCGCGAGGGTAAGGGCAATAGCCGCAGGCTGGGACCTCTGGCCGCCTCTGGCTGGGACCGCGTGGACCCGCCGTTCGCCCTTACCTTCGGTTCCTTCGGGTCCTTCGAGCTCCACGCGGGCACGTCGCCAGGGGGCCCACAGCCGACCGGTCAACGGAATAAAAACAAGAAAAAAGACAGGCATCTCTCGAAATTTAGAGCAAGGTTTCGCTGGTTCATACTGTGCTGCCACAGGTTACCCTAAGAGAGAGTGGTCCAGAGCCAAGTTCGTTGGAGGCAATTCGTAACACACAACTCAGGGCAGAGGGTATGACTTGCCAGAAAATCCGAAGACCACACCGCACTTGAGTGGGCTATGCGAACTTGAGGTGATTCTTGGCGTGCATAAACACTATCGATCCTCTAACGCCCCTGGCGTCAGGCGCCCCTGGCATTCCCTGCTTCCTCGAGCGTGGCGACGCCCCACGCCCCTGTTGCCTTGAGGCCCCACCGTCCGAGCAACACTAGTAGTGTGCTGGTCTGCTCCAGAGGCGGCAGAGTGCATCTCCAACCGACAATGCCATGACATCGAAGACGATCTGCCACTCGCCTTGACGGCAGCTTTCCCGGGACAGAGTTTCGCCGATTTTACTATTCGCTCTGTTTTCTAAACCCTATTACACTAAGCAGCCTTTCTCGTCAATCTTAGAAAGGGCAGATCTTGTCCACTAGAAGGTAAGCAAAAAAGGTGCGAAAGAGACTCAAGACACGACACATAGTGCATACTTGTCGCGATTTTCCCGCGTTTATTTTGAACAGTGCCTGTTTCTTATGCGTTGTTTTCTTTTTTGGTGTGTGTGTGTCCCTTTACGCGGACTCGACGCTCAAAGGGCACAAGGGCCTGCCCAGGGCAGCCCAGGGCTCGGTGCAATGCTAAACCAGACGTCCCCCAGACGTGCATTGAACGTTGCCCCGCGAGACGAGGACGTCGCGTCTGGCTCATTGACGAGAAAGACAGAGACAACACGACAAGGAGAATACTACAGTAACCAAGTATTATCTACCAAGTTAAAAAAAATCACTGTTTTTTTTTCAAGCATTTTTAGAAGTGTTTTTAAGAAATTTATTTTCTTTGTTTTTGGCATGCAAACAGGTGTTTCATATCGATGTTTTTCTACACCCTGGCTGTGTTTCCAAGTCCTTCTGCGCGGAAGGAAGAAAGAAAAAAAAAACAAAGGAGCATCGACTTCCGCGCACACTTCGCCGCGGCGTGGATCCAGTTTCCGAGATCCCTTCCCTGCCACCACACCACAACAACAACTGGGATGGCGAGGCGTAAGAGCCGCGAATCGCGGATTAGCGACCCGGTGCCAAATCCTTCCACGCGCCGAAGCACTCGGTCGCACTCGGAATTACCGGCCCTATCGGCTGTTCGAGTGGCCGTCGGTTCGCTCGCGCAACCCGACATTGTCGCACACTCGTCCTTTGGTCCTTCCCGGCACGTGGCGCCGCGCAAAGCCGCAAAGCACACTGCCAAGACGCCAAGTCGACACGGACCACGAGTCCTTACTGCCAGTTCTTTCGGCTCTAAAACATTTCGAAAAATTTACACAATGGTCTCTCAGTCAAAGTAAAGTTTACTTTTTTAAAAAATCCGAATCTTTTTGATGTGCCACCTTGTGTGCCACCCCTTTTATCGAATGCAAATTATGAATAATGCCCCCTAGCTCCCCCCCAAAAAAGCCAGCGGCCCCAAACTAACTCTGTGGTGCACACAGCCCGGCGGGTGGATTAAGAATTAATCTGCGATTGGCTTTTGCGGCCGCCTCGTGACCCCAGCTGTCGTGACCCTCTCTCTCTCTCTCTCTCTCTCTCTCTCTCGCACCCATGGAGCGTCCCGCACGGGTGCGAGAGAGACGGACCGACAGCCCGCTGGGGACAAAGACCAAGCCCGCCGCGGTCTGCGGCCCACCGCGTCCAGGGCGACACGCATCGCGTGCAAACCTGCGGCCGAGCGAGCGTGCGCCGACACTGCAAAAAATAAGCTGCAACAACAACAAAAACATTGTGTGTGTGTGAGAGACTCCAGCCATCATCGACGCCGTGCCGGAGGATCCTCGCAGAAGCAGCTCCGTCGTAGAGGGCAGGGCAACGCTCTCGCCGAAACAGGACCAAGGACCCAATGACCCAAAGACTAAAAGTTTCCGTGCCAAGCTTGGGTGGGACGAAGAAAAAAGGGGGGATTGTTGAGATTCAGGTACCTTGGAGCACGAGACAGGTAGATAATACGCAGGTGACTGTCGGACAGACGAGGAGAAAGACAGACAGACTTCCCTCGCTGGAGACGCTGGAGACTGGAGGGAGAGAGAAAGAGCGTTGGCGAGCGGAAAGCTACCGGCTGGACCAGGGTGGACCAGGGCGGCCAGGGGATGGCTGGCATGGCCCGCGCTTTGACTAGCCGCGAGACGGAGAGAGACTGCCTCCATCTTGTGGCCAAACCCTCGCCAGCGCACCTCCGCGACGGGGTGCACGACCTGTGCCAAGACGACCCCGTCGCCGGCGTCCCCGGCCAGTGGCGGCTTCCTCCCCTTTCGCGCCCCAACCCCTGGGGCCGGGCTGGGGCCAGGCTTGAGCGCCGTTGGTGCCGTTGGAACCCGCAGTCGTACCGTACCCAGTGAGAAAGTAGTAACCCAAGCGCCGCAGCCCAGGGTACCCCATCGAGGTTCTCCCCGACCACCCCAACCCCAACCCAGCCCCGGGGACAGACCGGGAGGTACCCAGGATAGGCGGACACGTCGCCAGGGGCCGAGGGGGCCGAGGGGGGCGACGCGAGGCGGTTGTCACGTCATTTTTGCACGGCCGAGCTGATGCAACTAGGGGTGACTTTCCTCACAGGGATGGGGCAGCCGGGCACAGAGTGCGCCCACACCGTTAGGCACAAGCCAGGCGACGGCCAGCAGCGTCCACAGAGAAAGGGAGCAACATGAAACTTTACCCGGCGAGAGAGGGGGGCAATGCCCTTCAACAGCTGTGCACCACTGTGCACCCACTGCAAGGGGCGCCGAAACGGGGGCGCTGCAACTGCACCGGAGCCGCAAGCCCGGTGACAACCGCGGCGGCCGCAAGAGGGAAGGAAGGGCAGGCAGCCACTTTGGCAGTCGGGGGTGCAGCGCGGTGGTAGGTCACCCAGCGGACAGCGTAAACAACGTAAACAACAGCAGGCAGAAGCAGACCACGTAAAGGTTATGGCAGGAGAGGGGTCCGAGAGACAGGCGCGTCTGGTCCGGCACTGCACTGCCGCGGCACGGCAGAGCGCGGGGTTGCGTTCAACACACTGCCAAACTCACCGAAATCCATGAACTGCTTGATGGACAGCGGCGAAGGGTTGAACTGCGAGTAGAAGTCCAGCATTTTGGTCAAACTACACAGATACCGTGTGGGCCGCATCTTAGCTGGCGCAGGGGGGCGCCCCGGCTGCAGCGAACGTGAGACGAAGGCCGAAATCGGGCTGTTACGCTATTACAGATCGCAAGCGACGGTTCCACTCGCGGACCTCACTTTATGTCCTCGGTACTCATCGGTGCAGTGACCACTACTCCCCGCTTCCTCCCTCGCATGTCTCTCCTCCATTGATTAAAAATTTGCGCCTTGTAAGTTGAGCAGAACGTTCTCTAGAGCTTACTCGAAGGCAGTGACGCGCCCTCTCGAACACGTAAAGGGGCAACCGGCATCGCAAGTCGACTGCCGGGGGTGCGAGAACTTGGCTCATCCGGAGGCACCCGAAGAGACCCGAAGTCACCCGAAGGCATCCGAAGGTTGCCGGTCGCAGGGGAAGGGGCCGTGTTGTTTTGACTCGTCGTGAAGGGTGCAGGAGTTGAGGTTGAGGGCAGCCGCTCAACGGCCGTTTATGTTTCTGTGACGCGGTTATGTTTGTGTAATTCGAAATTAGTACCTCTATCTTCATGAATGTTTATTTAGAACGTTTCGGATAGCTGAAGCGCTTCACAACAGTAGGTCAGCATTCGATTTCCCATTCTCAGTTTCTTCCCCAACAGCCAAGTTCTACGAATCCCCCTCAGGATTCCCTCCCTTTCGGCGTTGTACTCTCTGTTCTGTTTGCTTTTACTTATTTATCTTCATTGACGTTCCTTCACGATTTTCAGTTTGAAATTACCTTTACAGGTCGGTGTGCTGAATAAATCTGTATTAGAATATCCTCTGCCCTTGTGGTGTAGGATTGGTACCCATTCAATCACTCATTCATTCATTCCCGTATGTGGTTTCCCTCATGCTTTGGTTGTAGTTTCCCAGTCACCCCTCTGTAGGATGTTCGGTCAAACGGCACTAGGCGCTGGCGCAGGCACCCCATTTGGGGGCGCTCGACCTCAAGCTGCCGCCCCAAACTCCAAAGCGTTTGAGGTTGAATCGCCTCCTGAGGACTCTATTTCTTCCCTCGCCTTCAGTCCAGCCGCTCTCCAACAAAATTTCCTGATTGCCGGCAGCTGGGATAACAATGTAAGGAATAACTAAGTTTTTTGACAATGATGTGTTGTACAAAAAATTTAAATAAAACAATTGTAAATCATTGGTGTTTAGTGCACCCGCCTGTCATAATAAAAACACTGCAACTGATTCTGTTTGTAAATTGTGCAGGTTCGTTGTTGGGAGGTAGAGCCAACGGGAAAAACCGTCCCTAAATCAATGCAGAATATGGACGGACCAGTACTGGATGTGTGCTGGACGGATGTAAGTGCTATCAAAAGCTTCATCTCTTAAATTATTCATGTGTGGACTTTTGTGTATTAAATTAAATATTTGTCTATTTTTAGGATGGTACAAAGGTAATGATGGCCTCTTGTGACAAGCAAGTAAAATGCTGGGACTTGGGTAGCAATCAAACTATCCAGGTTGCTCAACATGACGCCCCTGTCAAAACGTGTCACTGGATCAAAAGCCCTTCATACTCTTGTCTAATGACAGGCTCTTGGGATAAGACCTTAAAATTCTGGGATATGCGTAGTGCTAATCCAATAATGACTATTAATCTGCCAGAGAGATGCTATGGGGCTGCAGTAGTGAGTACCAAGTTGAATCAACCTTGAGTGTGTGAATTGTAAACTTTCTAATTTCATATATTTACGGTAATTTTTCTTTTTCCAAGGATTTTCCTATGGCAGTTGTCATAACTGCTGCGAGGCATTTAATTGTGTATCAACTAGAAGGAAAGCCTCAGGAGTTTAATCGGGGAGAAACAAACCTTAAGTACCAGCACCGTTGTGTGGCCATCATGAGAGACAAAAAAAATTCCCCCACAGGTAAGTGAACTCAATGCTTGTTTGTGTCTGAACTTCTTACATTCATAGATGTTTTTAATGAATTTTAAAATTTAATTGCCAGGCTATGCTGTTGGAAGTGTGGAAGGTCGGGTTGCTGTTCAATATGTAAATCCTCAGAGCCCATCAGAAAACTTTACATTCAAGTGCCACAGGGTCAATTGTGCCAACAATACCTACCAGGAAATTTATGCTGTTAGTAATTTTACATAAAATTGTTTGTTGTGTAATTTTGTTAAGTTCAAATTTTAAATGTTATTATGTTTTTATTTTTAGGTGAATGATATTGCTTTTCATCCAGTACACAATACAGTAGCAACTGTTGGAAGTGATGGAACATACAGCTTTTGGGACAAAGATTCACGTATTAAATTGGCATCATCTGAACAACAGGATCAGTCAATAACTCGCTGTTGCTTCAACCACAATGGGCAGATTTTTGCATATGCTCTTAGCTACGATTGGTCGAAGGTGACAATGCAATAGATAATGCACAGATTTTTCATCTATTGTTGATCATTATTTATTTCTATTTCTATGAAATTTTCCTTTAGGGCCATGAATATTATAACCCACAGAAGAAAAACAGCATATTTTTATACCCGTGTTATGAAGACATGAAACCACGAAGCAAGTCAACCTCATAGCAAAAGAACTGAATGTGTGAAATACGGTCTTGACAATGTACAAATGAGCCTAATATATGTGTTATAGTACAAGTAACTTATGTGAAATATAATCTTTTAAATTAAGCAGTCATGCAGTAATGTTGCAAGCCCCTTATCCCCTAGACAACCTGATGCGAAACCATTGAAAACATCAGCGAACATTTTTCATAATGCAAACGTTTGAACTTCCCGCCAATGCGCGTTGTGGTTGTTGCGGTGGGTCGTGGCTCTCCGGTTTCTGCCTTGAGTCACGGCGGCGCGCGTGGACCAACACAAGCTAAATTTTTTATTTTGTTGAATGAATGAAGTAACGAAGGTTTGTAAAATCAATGGCCACTACTCTATCATAGTCTTTAGAGTACCTTTCTAACGCCGTCGCACTTGCCAACTGGTAAGTGTAGGATTCAAGAGCTTTTCCTCCAACTTTTATAACCTCCTAATGGTTCCTTTGTTTGTTGTTGAACTCAAATTTTAGCGTCTTTTACTCTATGAGTTCATTGGCGTTATTTCCTTTTCCAGATGTAGTCATTCCCTTCTTGCAGGGCGTCGACTATCCAACTTCCCTCATTTCATTTTGCTATTGCACCTGCTGCTGCTGTATGTAAACACGACACATTTCTTCTCAGTTCCAGGTGCCATCACTGTAAAACGACAGACTTAAAATGTTTCAACCTAATGCACTTGGTGCGAACACCTCGTTTGGAGGGGCTCGCACCCAACAAACGACCGCAGTAGTGAAGGACTTTGAAGTTATGGCTCCGCCAGAAGACTCTGTGTCATCTCTGGCGTTTAGTCCTGCCGCTCTTCAGCAAAACTTCCTCGTTGCTGGAAGCTGGGATAATAATGTGAGTTTTGGCTTCGATTCGCCTGTTAACATGTAACATTTTTGGTTCCCTGAGTGTAATAGTTGGGGTTTCTAGGTGCGCTGCTGGGAGGTGGAACAAACAGGAAAAACTATCCCGAAGTCAATGCAAAACTGTGATGGGCCTGTGCTAGACGTGTGTTGGACAGATGTAAGTACAGAGCAGTTCAGCTTATGAAATATTGACAATGGTTGAAGCCTTGTCTCTTCACAATGGGCTCTGCTTGATTTTCAGGACGGTACCAAGGTAATGATGGCGTCGTGTGACAAACAAGTGAAATGCTGGGACCTAGGTAGCAATCAGACTTTGCAAGTTGCCCAACATGATGCCCCAGTGAAGACATGTCATTGGATTAAAAGTCCTAACTACACTTGCCTGATGACAGGCTCATGGGATAAAACCTTAAAATTCTGGGATATGCGTAGTGCTAATCCAATGATGACTATAACTCTGCCAGAGAGGTGTTATGGTGCTGCAGTTGTAAGTTCAAGTCCTCCCTCCTCTCCTATTGTTGTGTTTTTCTTGTCTTCTGTTTTAAAACTTTGTTAATGCTTTTATTTGATGAACACAGGACTATCCTATGGCAGTTGTTATAACAGCTGGTAAGCAATTAATCATTTATCAATTAGAAGGAAAGCCTCAAGAATTTAGACGAGCGGAAACAAATCTTAAACATCAGCACCGCTGCGTTGCAATCATGAGGGACAAAAAGGCCTCTCCTACAGGTTAGTCACTGTCTTCTCGGTTGCTTTTCCATACGGTAAAAGGACAATTAAAGGACCACAATTTACTATTCATCCAGGATATGCTGTTGGTAGTGTTGAAGGACGGGTGGCTATTCAGTATATCAATGCTGCTAATCCTAAAGACAATTTCACATTTAAATGTCAGAGAATAAATGGAGCTAACAATTCCTTCCAAGAAATATATGCTGTAAGTGTTCTCATCTTTTGTGTAAAATTAAAATGCAGTTCTACTGTCTAACATTTCCTCATCACACAGGTCAATGACATTGCCTTCCATCCTGTGCACAATACTGTGGCGACCTGTGGAAGTGATGGAACTTTCAACTTCTGGGATAAGGACTCCAGAACTAAATTGAAGTCATCTGAGCAGTTTGACCAGCCTATCACTCGCTGTTGCTTCAACCACAACGGACAGATTTTTGCTTATGCCCTCAGCTATGATTGGCACAAGGTTAGTATATTTATTTTTATTTGGTATGTAGGTTGAGTGGCACATGTGTAACTACTTTCATTCTGACACAGGGCCATGAATTCTATAATCCTCAAAAGAAGAATGCCATTTTCTTGCACCCATGTTACGAAGACACAAAACCCCGCAATCCCAGTGCATCATAAGGATGGAACTCATCTTTAGTTACTATAATTGTATTAATGAATCATTGGAAAACAATTGCTGTAAATCAATCATGAATTAAGAATTTTATCAGAGTTTTATGATAAAATTTATTTTACTTTTTAGATGTTATTATAAACTATTTTTTTTTCTGTCAAATCATAAAATTTATTTCACAAATTCTGCAGAAGCTGTACACTATGTATACACTTTCTGATAGAGTAACAAATATTAAAATTAAAGAATAATTTCATTTTTGAAACTGCGTGTCAGTTCTTTGTAAGGAAGCACAATCGAGTTGAGGAGAATCACTTCTGATGGCACTGTTACACTACAACCTGTAAATGAAACAACCAATCAAGGAGCATCTGGGAGCAACTTGGATGATTTGAAGCGGGTGCATTGAGAGTATCACCTTACCTATAATAGTAATAGATGGATTAAGACGACCATCCATGTTGAAAAGTGGTGGATTGTCCATTTTAGCAAAAGGTTTATTGGGGTTGGGATCACATGGAGTTCCTTCCACGCGACTCCACTTTCCTACTTGAGTTGCTCTTCCTGGAGTGAAAAGTAAAGACATTATATTTGTGCAATAGGCCCACCCGAAAAGAGAAATTAGTTCGTTCTTCTTTGTGGAGAGATAGTGGTGACATAATTAATGAAAAAAAGATGCAACCATACCAACAATGCTGTGTAGGACCAAGCTGTGATCTGCAATGCTGGCACCAGAGAGGATAATGGACTCCTTGATTCGCACCCCAGGTCCAATTTCAGCACCAGCACCAACACTCACGTTGGGACCCAGCTGAACAGGAAACATAAATTTATTCTTTGCTTTTCATGTGCTATAAGTTAATTTATACTGAACATACAGTTGCAGAGGGATGTACAGATGCAGTTGGATGAACATGCACGTCTCCAATGATGTTGCAGCGGCTGTCATTTGAAGCATCCTTTGCACGACTCTCAGCTAAGCTACATAAACATTATCAAAGTCGTGTTACCAAGGAAAATCAGAGGATAAATAATTTGACTGTTTAAAACTAAGATTTCAAAAAGTTACCGTTGAGGATTTTTATCTTGATAGAGATGTAAGTAATGGCGATTAGCATAAATTGCTGACCCTGCTGACTTGAGCTGGGACCACCAGGTCGTAGTTGGCATAGCAAAGAATTTGCCAGTACCAGCCAAAGGCATTAAAACTTCCTGCTCAAGCTGCATGCAGCTAGCTTCTTTAGTACTATGGTTATTGTCACTAGAAAAGAAAGTTTCAAAATTTATCTTATCAACAATTACTAAAAGCTATAACTGTTATTTTACCATATTTTTTGGTGGTGCTCACCTGTAATAATCAGACTGCTTGTTGTTGAAAACAGAGGACATTATCTGAAACACCTCTGTGCTGAAGACATAGACCCCACAACTGATGAGAGTAGAAACAAAGGTAGATGGCTTTTCGACATAGTGCTTGACTTCAGATGTTAATTCATCCCGTACCATGCAGCCATACAAAAGAGACTGCTGTCTGGTAGCTTCAGTGGCCAAAACAGACACCTAAAAATAAGAATGAGCACAATTTCTGGGATTAAGGTAGGTTTTTAAGAAATTGTATGAATAGATTGTAGCCAACTAGATCAGATCTATTTTTACCAAGGCATTTTTTGATTGGTGAAATGAAAATAGTTCCTGCAGGGGTAGATCAGCACAAACATCACCATTGAGTACGAAAAACGCATCAGGATTCCCACTGCAAATCTGATCACGGAAGTGATACATTCCACCTGCTGTCCCAAGAGCAGTGAACTCTTGAAGGTACCTGCAAAATTTACAATGAAGTGAAACATTGGCAAAATGCCAATTGGGGAATATTTGTGGCACTGTCTTCAATTAAGATCTCACCTAATGTTCACCTTGTACTCCTGAATCATGTCTGTAATGAACTGCTGAAGTTCCGAAGGAGGATAATAGCCCAGAATTAAAATTTCCTTCAAGTTAGGAACACGGACACAAGCTTCGACATGGTGCTGGATCATCGGCAATCCAGCAACAGGGAAGAGAGGTTTCGGTATGTCAAGAGATAGTGGACGGAATCGGGTACCTGGATGACAAATACAGATATTTCCAATCAAGGTGCTATCAGATTATTGTATAGATAATAGGAACAAAATAATTTCGTATCTACAAGCAATCAGATCTGAACTGTAATCACAGTATGAACTGAAATACCTAATGATCTGCTTTTGATTGCATGACAAGGGCAAGGAGGCGCATTGACGCGCTACAAGAATGAATGTCGCGCGACATGTGTTCCCAAAAATGTTTGTTTACATGGCAAACAAAACATAACCTAGATGCTTGTAATTAAATCAATGACATACCCTTCAAGGGCCCTCCGATTAGAATGATTGCCTTAAGCATTCTCTACGCCGCCGAAGACGCAGCTAAGACGCCGAATGTCAACCCTTCCACATTCCACGTAAACACTGCGGCGGTTCAAACGTGTCAGCAAACTTGACAGGAGTCGGGTCGGAGATAACGACGACGACGCAGGCGGGGGCGGGAGGGGGGGGAAAGAGTTCTTCATTTGTCTCGATCGGGCAGTGCACGGCGAGATGCCCAAAACATTATCTTCAGTATGTTTAGTGGACACGTTCTGCCCCCGCCAGCGAGTAATTGAGGTGATTGTCACAGTCGTCCAGTAAAATTGACAAATACTGTTTAGCATTGTCTAGTGACTGAGTGTGTTCATGTGTTCAGAGACAAGGTTGATAAACTTTGCAAATTTTATGATTTTTTTTTTAATTTTTAAAATTTTATGATACAAAGGTACATAATTACGCTGAGGTAAGGGCCTCCACGTATCCTTTAACAACATCGAGGGCGGGAGATTCCTCACCGTAGTCCTGGAATGTGAAGACAATTATTAATGACAGAACAAAACAAGACAGATTTGAATCTGCTGTTCATCTTTTCTGATATTCTTGTGCAGACTTTACCTTAACTACGACGCAGGAGCAGCCAACAATTTTGCGGGGCTTGCCAGTGTTGTCAATTTTGCACAGACCGGCCCACTCTCCAAGCTTCTTGTTGTCCTCAACCTTGATAATGGGAATCTGGTGCTCATTGCACAGGGCTTCAACTAACTTCTTGTAAGCGGGCTGGTCGCAGTTGTCAGCCAACAAGCAGAGGAGAGCCTGTCGCCTGAAAAAAAAAAAAAAGCAAACAATGAGGATACCATGAATTGCACTGACTTATTACAAATGTGGAAACAGACTTATGACATACTTCTACGATGTAAAGACAAAAAAAACAACAGCTAAAGTCATTACATTGATGATAAACAAAATGAGGAACACAATTATTTAAATGAAAACAATACACTGTGTTTTGAAATGAATTCTGACACAAGGGAGCCTAATAGCTGATTAGAGGGAAATATACTGATTGACTAATACTGATACATTGCTCATTGGCAGAAATTGGCCCAAATAAACAAGATAATATTTCTCAGGTTAGTAAAGTACGAATGATGCTTAGATATCAGCTCTTTCCGGGGAGTCAAATTGCAGAGCCTATGCAATCCAGCAAAAGATAATAAGAACACGGGAAAACACAAAAAGCTGCCCACTTCCAAAAGCATCGACAAGTGTTCCGATATTGAACATGTGAGAACTTCACAACTCGAGCCAGCCAAAACCAATACAGGCAAAATGTCAACTACTTTAGCAGGGAAAGGTTCGAGCTTGCTGGTCACTTTGGCAGCATGATACTTACTTGTCGAGAGCCTTGGCAGCCTCATGAAGACCATGGGCAAGACCATCATGGATAAGAGCGTTCTTCAGCACTTCTTGGAGAGCGGTGTTAACGTCCATGGGGCCGCCGGTGGCGACGGGGACGGCGGAGGGAACGTCATCTCTGGAAGGAAAGCACCAATCTTGAGTTAAGCTTCAGACCAAGACAGTTAAGTTAGGGGTACGAAAATCGGGTATCGCAATGTTTATGAATCAAAGTGATTGCCAAAACTTGAAACCCGATATCAGTTTTAATTTGAACGGGAGAGTAATGCGGAAGTGTGCTTAAAGGCACTACGAATAATTGAAAATGGAAATGAGAGAATTCAAGAAACAAGAAGATATCAGTGTTTACGGTCAGGAGGTTAGAAATACTTACTGTCCGGCGTCTGACATTTTGGCAGCTAAAGGTCGTCCTGAAATCAAAAGATAGAACCCGCAGCAATCAGTACAAAATTTACTACAAGATGAAAATTACTTCAGTTTTCAGTAAATGCGGATTGCACTGAAAAACGTAGGATAAACAAGCTACAAAAGCACACCTTCTGTGCGTTACGTGTGAAGAACCGGAAAGGGATGCGAGCCACCGTGCACGTTCACCAAAGTGAAGTCGGATGAAAAATTTCGCGTGACTGAAGCAAGCTGACTAACCTGCCGAGACAAATCTGAAACGGTTGGCGGGGGACATTGATTTCGCGAGGAATCTGTGGGCCTCAACGAATCATATTCGAAGTTAAATGAAAATGCCCTCGTTCGAGTTATGTTATCGTGCTTTCGAATTTGTCTGGAGCTAACTAAGGGTGTGGTGTGAAGGTGAAGAGGGTTGGTGGACAGGTGAGCACCGGAAACCGGAAACCTTGAGCACTCTGGAGCGGGATGGGTACACTCTTTTTGAATATGGCGCCCATCACTATCCCGTGAAAAAATGCGGCATCCTCCGTTCTCTCTCTAAACTAGCAAGTCTCTCCGGAGGCCTGACTTCACTACTGTGGGTGGAGTTTACGCCTCGGGTATGTACGAAGGTATGTACATTGGTCAAGATTTTCAAAATGAAAAGAACAGCAGCGCTGCAATTCTTTTAAGAATTTTTATTTTGTACAAGGTGTAGCCGGACAAGCAGGAAAGGTTGGTGGCCAAACCATTCTGTAATACAGATGGCCCACACAACCAATTGGGAACGAACCCTGAATGAAAACCAGTACATATTCATTGATGATGCAACAAGCATCCACTACACTCTAAAAACTGGCACATAGGAGGAATCAAAGTTTCTCAGCAAGAGAAATGTCACAAACTTTTCTTATTTACATCTCAACCCTTTAGGATTTTCACAGGAAGAAAGCATGGAAGAAACAATCTAGAACCACACAATTTCAAGGGTAAAGCACCAACACAATAAGCGCTCAAATGAAAAACATTCATAATCATACATTCACTAAACTACAGTTTATATACAACTGATTTTACTTTCAATACTCCACATCAATACTCATGAGAACACTAATCTAGGGAATCTGAAGACAAGTTGCCTAACTCGATTGATCCCCATTAGCTTCACAGCAACATTAAGGATTAACATGATTCACCCCCTTTATTGGTGATACATTCATAAACACACACTTTAATTAAATTCATAAAACTCTTATGAAACAAATGGCAAAATAAAAATCATAAAAGTTCTACTTCACAGCACATAATTAATAACGACCGTAAAATCATCCATCAATAAACCCCTGCAAGTGATCGAAATAGTAGGAATAGCTAAAACTCAGGTCTTCAATCTGCAATGAGAAAATGACCCAAACAAATATAGAAGTACTTGAAATTTACCAGACAGGGCAATTAGTATTATATCAGACAGCAACAGTTCATACATAAATCTGCAACTGATCGAACATTAAGTTAGAATTTAAATGCCGTGAAACATTAGAAAATTTGAGTGGTGACAGCAATAAAACAACATAAAAAATAATGCAATTGAAGAATAAAAACATTAATAAAGAAGAATTTTCAATGAGGCCAACAAGGTTCAGTTTCTTAAAAAAACCAGCATACAAACCTAACTTACTGAGAATATCACTGCATATGCAATGCAATTTCCAGTTCATAAATTAAGTCACGAAAAAAGGCTGGCAAAATCACAACCTCACACGGCCAGGTTGTCTATATAGATCTTGAGTAACATAACAGAAATCCTCTAGTAAAACAGAAAACAGTATAGGAAGAGAGCTATTTCAAGCAAAGATAAAATAGAAAAAAAATTTCTAGTGATACAACATAACATAAAAAAAAAAAAGGTTACTTTGAGCCAAAATGCAGACTCTGAGTGACAGAACTTGATGGCTGATTTGAGAAACCAATAAAAAAAAAAGAAATATAGAGTCAAGTAAAATTTACACAACGCAACAGACACCGTTTGAAAAAAACAAAACAACAGAATTCACACAAATATTGAAACTCTTAAACACTTGCACAATCATGCTAGAAATTATTTTCGTTTTATATGAAAGACACGCACCACCGCTCTTTCTAGCTCCAATCACACATCACACATCAGTCCTGCATAAACCATAAGAGATCAATACTTATACTTTAAGATTAAAATTTACCCACACATTTGGTTCATCCATTTCGAACACAAAATTTACTTCTACTTCTAACATTTAGTAATAAGTGGCATAAACACCATTTCAGTTCTCAGATATTGTTAAATAAGTCAAATCACACATGAATGCCTTTAAATGTAACTGCACATTTCACTTAACTAGAAAAGAAGTCCAATAATAAGTGAAATTTTGAGCATGAAGAGTACTTTAGACAAAAAGTACATCTGACACACAGCTTAGGTAGCTATTATCTGTGAAATCACAGCAATACAGCAAACCTGAGAATTAAAGTCAAGGTATACGATTACATGGACATAATAGGTTATGAATGGTCTCTGTAAGTTTCTAGGCCCAGGTCAAACTCACACGAAAGATTCAAAATTATTATCTAACACAGTTTACCCTCACTTTTAACATAAGGCAACACATCACATCCGTTATAAAAGGATACAAATTAGACACACACTTTAAGCCACATACATATATAATGGAATGACAAGACAACTCTACTACAAAAAGTTACAAACTTAGCTTTCCTGTAACCGCATTTAGTTGAATGCAAAGATAAACAAAGTTGCTGTTTTGATCTTTTTCTTTCTAAATTTTTTTAAGACAAGAGAAAATTAAGTTTCACTCATTACACATTAATATAGCAACTAGCAAAACTACTGTTAACAGTAGCAAAATAACATGCTAATGTAGACTAGGCCATGGCACTTGTAAAACATGCAAAAATTTAAAGGCAACACCATCAAAATAGAATATAAACAGTCAGCAGTTGTCAGCAGTAACTCTAGTAAAAATGTAGCAATTGTGCAGTACAATGCTTCATTGGACAGCTGTGGTACCATAAAACCAGAGCATTAAGGCATTTATTTGTTGTGCAGGTTGTAAATAAGGTTACCAAAATATTTTAACTTCTTTACAATTAAGTGCTGCAGCAAATACAGTAACAAGCTTCATGTCTTTAGGTACCGACATTAATCAGTGCATCAATCTGTCAATAGAACAGACCTTTGTTTTTTCTTAAAAAGGGTAAACTGAGATGCTGTGCACAACAGTACACAGAACATTTACACAAAATCCAAAATGTCAACAAGAAATAGAAGTTTCACCTGATTTTTCCAACAAAGCATAATGAAACCAAGATTTAGAAATACTTCAATACAGGCAACATGAAGTTGAAAAATTCTATGGAAAAATTTGACACTGCTATAAATTCTAGAGGGTACTGTAAGTACCAACCCATGGGTCCACATTCCATAGACTAGAAGAATATCTACTTCATGAGCAATAACTTTCCAAAATATCTGACAGAACAATAAACTACATGTGTTGCTTAACTGTAACAGAATATAATTTGGCACAGCATTATTTATACATATCTTCACATTCCATTCATAGTTAGAGAAAAATTTATGTTGTCACACTATTAGATAATAGAGAGAAATCTGGATATTTCATTTGACCTCAAACAAAAATTTAACCTAACAGTTGTGCAAGCCAAGTTAATAGTCATGGAAAAGTTGCCATTGACAAAATTTTAATTTAGCAGGAAATTTTTCTGTTCGGCTCAAGATACAAATTGTGGAAAAACCACAGCATGTAAGAGTCATACAAAAATATTAATACCTCCAAATGGTCATTAAAAATGGACTTAAGCAATATTTTGTTTCGATTTACCATTTACTTCAAGTCAGCTGAAAAACATTCATAGCAAGACGGATGCTAAGTCAGTTAAGTAGGTAAAATGGATGGATAGTCAAATAAACAGCTGCTACGATTGTTCTCTCCTTCTTTTGTTCAGAAGGAATATTTTTTAACATTTGAGGGCAAGTCTAAAAGAACTGTAGATTCTAATGTCCCTAATTTCCAAGAAATAATGGACATCTATGACTTACAAAATGAACCTTTACAGCTGATGATGAAATAGAATAAAGTCCAATTTCGGTCAGAACTCTAAGCAGCTTGCAAGATTGTGATGGGGAAAACCTACTGCGCATAGAATTGCTTCAAGTTTAAAATTATGCAAGCAAGTACATAAAGTGTAGCGTCAAAAAGCATTAACAGGGCATCAAACAATCATAAAATGTTCACCACAACATTCCACTCTAGTAGACTATCACAACACACAAAGCACATTCTTAAACTCATTTGTCCAAGGCCATTTGAAAAGAGCAGGCACTCAAGTTTCACGACACAGATGAAATTGCATTGTGGGGTGCTCCCATTTGAGTCAATACTTTGTCCAACCATTGTAAAGGTCCATGAAGGTGCACCTCAATCCAACAGGGAGTACTGGTTACATCTTGCCGATGATACTCGGCACCCCAGCCTTTCACGAATGACATCCTGCAAAAGAGAGGACAGTTAAAAAGACAAACAATAAGTAAAGGAAGGAATAAGTGATAAAAACCAATTAAATCCATACCGAATAGTGCACATTTTAGTTAGCTCATATACTGCTTCAAAGCCATGGTTTACACTTTGGGACAACAATTGAGCAAACTCTTGATTGTTGAAGATCTTCAGGGAACATGATGGGGGGATTTTGCATACTGTGCTTGGATGAAAGCCATGATGATGGTTGCAGTTCCGAGACTGAACAAATATGGCACTGTCTGACATGCATTCAGCATAAACTTCGCCTCCCACATAATATAGGTGCACTCCTGTGGGAGATTCAATTTAAATGAGTACAGGTGAAAACAACTAGCCAATTTCTCATACCCTGAAGGAGTAATAATACTTCACCTTTGCCAATATGCCTCCTTGTATTTTCAATAGTTGAATTTCTATTAACATTTGAGAGCTGCCCAAGACAAAACCTGTCAAAGTTGTTGCTAGGGTTGGTGAACCCATCGACCGTCACTGAATGTGCTTGGCAATGGAAAACTTCTCCAACTCTACAATTTAGCTCATAATATGCTATACTGGCCCAATAGGTTGGTTCCTGATGGTAAGAAACATATGACAAGATAATGATTGGACAATGTCAAGGACAATCCGAACATGCAAAACAAAAGGGGACTCAACACACACCTGATAGGATACAGGAGCAACTTCAGCACTCATTTTAGTGACATCCATAGCTTGCTCTGCATTGTTGGTGCCATGTTGGCTGTCCTCTGACGGGCTGTAGGCAGGAGGAGGGGTTTCTTCTGGAAGCAAGGGCGCAAGTTATTTCTCAGAACATAGAATACACAACACCCAAGCACCTCCGCTTTTCAAAAGTCCTGTAACTCATTACCTGGCAAGCCATTACTCCCAAAAGGGCTGTGAGGTGCCCCACCTGAGCTAGCTGGACTTGGTACACTGCTCAGTGGAGATCCAGGATTAGGTGCACCATGTGAGCTGGATGAGTTAAATCCCATTGATGAGTATGACACGTTGTGAGGCATGGCTGGCTCAGGGATTTGCTGGAACGGTAGGAGTGAGTGCCCAGGAGCAAACTCACTGTGTCGCGGAACAAGGACAGGGGGCAAAACTGCACAGAAAAAATATTGTAAGTGAAAAATCTCACATGATCCTTCAGTTTAATTTATCAAGCTTCCGATCTCCCCATACCTGGGCTTTCAACTCTTTTGTAGTGGTATGGGTTGATGCACACCTCTTTCTGCTTAGCAGAAAATGGGTATTGGCAATGCTCCAAGGGCTTCAACTCATGGTGTGATTGAAGGTCAGGCCAGCGCCACACTCTGCAATAAATTACATGCGGCAGTCCCTTGCGGTGGGAAACCTGAAAAACAAATACTCGTAGAGTATGTCGAGACATAAGCCCTGTTATGACCAACGTTTCAGTACCAACCTGTAGTCTACCATCCAAGCTTCTTGGTATTGTCACACATTTACTGTCCGAACCAGGGGAGCTCAAGGCTTTCTCAAGTTCTTCTATGGCACCTTTTTGTTTCTTCAACTTTTTGACAAGGGCATCGACAGCTTTCTCTGCCCATTTCTCTTCTTCGTCTCCTTGCTTCCAACCCAAGAGCTTTTTCACAGCAGGACTCGTGAAAGAGAAGAGGGAGTTGAGTGAGGACATGGGTCCTCCTGACCCAGAGTCCCCATCATCAGTGTCCATAATAGCAGGATCAGACATGGTGGTGAAGCAAGGTCTTCCAGAAAACGAAACTCAGGTTCAAATAGATACTGAAACAAAAAATCAATTCCACATGTCAGTTGGGACAAAAGAGTTGGGACTCGCACGCAATTTGCTAGATAACGAAAGGTTTGGATCGGGGCATTGTAAAACGAATGGGGATCACATATGCTAACTGAACAAAAAAACAAGGTGCCTGGTATTTAAAGCACCAATTTACATCTTGGGAAGTCAACAATGGACAAGAGCAATGCAAACTAGAAATGAGACAAAAAGGAATTTTCACTTGGGCCTTCCAGGAAGTGTGGGTGAAGGCGCATGGCGACCGGGTGTCGCAAAACGACGGGGCTGCAGACAAAACAGATGCGCTGGCACTGTTGAGCCGAAAATGCAATACGCTGGCGGTGGCTGGCGCCGACCCTATCTTGAAGCCCACCTCCGGGTCTGGGTCCGGGAGAGAGAGAGATAGTGCCCTAACCCCAAAGACACAATTCAAGACGCGTCCTAGAATTATTGTAGCACGCACCCTCACATCTTTTCTCACAAAGTGATCTAGAGACCTTGATGAGTTAAACTTACTTTTCCAGAGAAAGGAAAACGGGACAGCTTCTTAATTAAGGAGTGTAAAAGGCCACAACACAGTGGAAGAATTATATCTTTTTTTTTAAAAAAATGCAGGGCGTTAGATCGGTTGATGAAAGCGCTAACCTGGAGGCAAACTTACCACAGGCAATTAATTGTGGGAGAGGAAAATTCCGGGCATTGTCGAATATAAACACCCCACAATTTTACACTTGTTTATAAAATATTTGAACAAAAATTTCGGCTTCTGTTTACTGGCGACGGGATGTCGCCAACACTCAGGAACTATTTTTGCATGGCGCCAGTAGTATCCATACGCCGATTCGGCATTAAGACGCGGCTTTAATTCGGCGTGAATGTGTGTCCTTTTCCCCCTGATTTTCTCCTAAGCTGAGTTAGGAAAGTCAGGACACTTGCCGTTTGAGAAGGGTAGCGAAATGCCTGGTATAAGTGACTGCATGGTAGGACTACTTTGTGTGATGCTGCGTTTGGGTATCCCCACTGTCTCCCCCCTCTTCGCCTGTCCTCCACCCTCACCTACCCGCTCCCTTTCTGCGAACTCCGGCTTACCGTAACCCCCCTCCCCCGTTTTCTTTCTTTCCACCTCTGACTACCTGCTTTGCTTGCTACCTGCCGGCCCTAGAGAGCCAGGCCCCCGAGCCGAACCTTTGCTTGCTACCACTCCATGCACCGTGCTTCTTTGGTGACACCCATCCAAACAGTGTTCCGGTTCCAATGTACACATTTATCGCAAAAACACCCTTTACGATCTCCATTCCAACACACTTCGAGCCGATTTGGTCTCGTGTCCAGCACAATCTTTGGTCCTACATGGGCCGGCAAGAAAATAAGGGAATGCCTCGCTGACCCACTCTCACCCCCCCCCCTCCATCTCCCTCCGTCTCTCTCGCTCCCGTGCGGACGCTCCATGAGTGGGAGTGGGACTGCAGCGGCCTTATCGTCCAAGAGTGACGCACACGGCGCTGACTGGACTTCCCCGTCGAGCTCCGTTCCTGGAATCGTGTGGCACGAGGAGTCTAGTCGTCAGCGGTTCGAGCCCCGGCCTTGGCGAAAAGTAGGTGACAGCTGCATCTTGGACTGTTACACCGTGGACTGCCCGTACCTCCCTAGTCTCCACACACCGGGCTACACCGGTATAGAGCGGGCTAGCGAAAGTGGGTCCAGGGAAAAGAACCTTGCTAGTCTGGAAAGTCTTTTCACATTTAAAGAGAGAAATGACTCTTTCCAAACAGAGGGGCAGCGTGAGATTTGAAGGCATAACTGAAAAGGAACACAGCCTCTGAAAAACCGTCAACGACTAACTTTAAGGACGTGCTCTAGACGTGCTCAAGCGCCAACTTTCTCGCGTTCTTGATAGGGTAGACAAATGAACGTCGAATATCAAACTCCTATTACCACATGTTGCACTTGTCGTCCTCCCCGAAAACTGCTCCAATTTCTTTATTTAGGAAAGGAACTCTCCGTTTTTCACTACTATACTTCGGAAAAAATTGCGTTCTCTATATATTCTTTAATACTTTTTGATGACAATGACAGATAAAACTCAACAACCGCCCGCGAAATTTTGTGGCATCGTATCCCTTTACCTGTATGTTGGTACTGGTGGCCGGGGGAAAGAGGTAATCAACGTTTTGGATTTTTGTTGTCGGCCGAAAGATTCAGTTTTTTACATGATATAAATATCAAATTCAAAAGAACATGGATCCGTCTCCATCTCTAGAAACTGTGTATCAAGCTGTTTACACGCTTTACCATAACCCAGACCCTCAAGAGAAGGAGAATGCATCGAAATGGCTCGGTGAACTCCAAAAATCGGTAAGCATTTTGAGTTTGGTTATTATTGTAGGCCTATGTTCACTTTAGGCCTAACGTTTCTTCTGCAATATTGTTTCTCCCCTTGAGACTATCCTAAACGAAGTATTACTGACACTCAAGTTTGTTTGACTAACTCCTTGCCTGTCACCGTTGTTTTGTACTTTCATTGGAAAAGACTCCGACGACCTCTGTGAACGTTGAGGTGAGGTTATGTCTTCGATGTGAATACCTGTAACTAAATTTGTCAAGGTGTTTTCTGAGCATCGTTCACTCCTCATAACTGTTTGGAAGATTTGCCATGTGTTTTTGTGTCTTCTCCTTTTACTCCTGGCCCTTGTCTTGGCACTTCTGATGAGTTGCCTTCTCTTGCGCTCTTTGGCCAAGTCCGATGTTGGAATTTTTTTTGTTGAGTGACTGTTTTTTTATAATGTCTCTGTTTTGTTTTTGTTTTTGCAGGTATCTGCCTGGAAAATCTCCAATGAACTCCTTCAACAGCAACATGACTTGGAGTCATGTTACTTTGCTGCGCAGACCATGCGCACCAAAATTCAACTATCCTTCCATGAACTTCCTGTTGATGTGCATGAAAGTCTTAGAGATTCCCTGCTATCACACATAGGACAAGTTACAGACACCACCAATACTGTTATTGTGACTCAGGTACTTACCGTTCTGAAAAAGTGCTTACTCCAAACTCTGTATCATGCTTCAATGAATTGTGCTTTTGTTCCAGCTTTGCCTAGCTCTAGCAGATTTGGCTCTTCAAATGTCAACTTGGTCATCTCCAGTTACCTACCTCATAAACCATTTCGGACCTGCCAATCTATGGCCTCTGCTTGAAACACTCACTGTCTTACCAGAAGAAGTCAATTCTCGGACTCTCAGACTTGGTGCGAATCGACGGCAGGATATTATACAAGATTTCCAGAACTCATCTCCTGCTGTTCTTCAGTTTTTGGTTTGTATTATCCTTTTTTTTTCCCCTCATCAGTTTTGATGTATAGCTATCTTAAAACCAAATTTATCTTGCAGAAAGCATGTCTGTCCAGTGGTGGAGAAAATCCTCAGATTCATATTCGCATTTTGCGTTGTTTTTCATCTTGGGTTTCAATTCAAGCTATAACTCTGTCGGAGGTCTTAGAAAATATTGTTGTTGCACATGCATTTCAGATCCTCACCAATGCATCTGTAAGTTAATGTTCCTTTCTACTTGCTGTAATTTGACTTCTCAAATGAGTTTCTGATGCTAAAATAAATTTGTTGCAGTCCCCCTCCGGTCTTCATGAAGCAGCATCAGATTGTGTCTGCGCCCTCCTGCAATGTCTTGAAGAAAATAATGATCAGCCCCAACTAGAACAGCAATTATTCCAAGGAGTGTTGTCTCTTGAAGATGCGTATCACCAATCTGTGGCAACAGAAGATCAAGAAAAGTAAGTTCCATGTGCTGTGATCAATGCTCTAGGACCTCTTTCTTTAAAAAAAATATTTTTTTTTCTTTAGGTCTATGAACTACTGTCGGATATTCACTGAGTTAGCAGAATCTTTCAAACAGAAAATGGTAACGGGATGTGCTGCATCAAGAACACACTTTGCTCTGAAAATTCTAGATTTGGTCCTTACATGTGTTGGTCACCATGATTATGAGGTTTGTTCAGGCTGTGCTAGCTTAATGCATTCTTATTTTATGTTCTTCTCTTGCTCACCTATGTGATACTTACTTCACTTTCTTAGGTGGCAGAAATTACTTTTAATTTGTGGTATAGACTCTCTGAGGAACTCTACATTAAGAATTCAGATGCACTCACTGGTGTATTCAAACCGTATGTTGAAAGGCTAATAGCAGCCTTATGTCATCATTGTCAAATGGAGCCTGATCACGTAAGTGTTAAGTCAAGAAGCTGCAGTTTGTAAAAATTTGTTTTTGTATATCTACGTATTTCATTTGAGTCATTCATTGTTTCAGGATGGCCTGCTAGAGGAGGGTGATGATTTCCAGGATTTCAGAATAAAGGTTTCAGAACTAATCAAGGATGTTGTATTTATTGTTGGATCTTCAAATTGCTTCCGCCAAATGTTTTTGAACTTACAAGTGCCTAACGTGACTTGGGACGCAAGTGAAGCTGCTCTCTTTGTGATGCAGTCTGTTGCTAAAAATATTTTACCGTAAGTTGTGAAAAACATTAGAGTATGTGCTTGACTTTGATTCCAAATTCACTTATTGTTTGTCTGTTTTCAGTGAAGAAAATGAAGTTGTGCCAAAAGTTGTGGAGGCTATTTTGAATCTCCCGGAAAACACTCACCTGGCTGTTAGACACACATCTATACTTTTACTTGGTGAACTTTGCGAATGGATAGAATTTCATCCTCAGTCATTAGGTAAGTTTCAGTTGTATTATGGTGATTTTTTTGCCATGGGGGGAGGTAGGGGTGTTGACAAGTTATATTATGATCTCTGTTATATTACTCATTCTTTTGTGCTCTAGTTTTTATCTTATTTTTTTCTTTTTGTCCCTGTACAGAGCCTGTGCTGAACTTCCTACTCTACTGTCTCCAGAGAGCTCCTCTAGCAAGTGCAGCTGCAGTAGCTTTGCAAGCAATTTGCTCAGCCTGCTGTGAACACATGGGAGTTCACTTTAATGGTCTTATCCAAATAATTCAAAGTCTAGAAACATTCAATATGTCCAATCAAGCAGCTATTGGCCTCCTGAAAGGTATATTACCTATCCATAGTAACTCAGTTATTAACATTCTTTCAACTGTATTCTATCTTGTTTGCTTGATGGTCCCTTTTCCAGGCGTGTCAGTGATACTGGGCCGAATGCCAGCAGAACAAATTCCACCTCTGATGAAAGAAATTTGTTGGCTGCAAGCCAAGCCACTGTGCGAACTAATTGAGAGTGACATAAAGGTGCAGAAAGGAACGAGAACTGATCCTGTCTACTGGCTGGACAGGCTGGCTGTTATTTTCAGAAATACTAGTCCTGGAGTTCAAAATGGGGCTGTCCATCCATGTCGGGATGTGTTAACAGAGGTGGGTCCACTTTCCTGGATGTCTTTTTCTAAATCGTAGAGGCAAAACAATCAAATATCAATGTGTTCCCTTATTTAATAATCTTTTCCTCTTTTGTCAGGTCTGGCCTGTTTTATCGAAAACTTGTGATAAGTATCAAGAGGATTCCAGAATCATGGAACGAGTTTGCCGTTGCTTGCGTTATGCAGTGAGATGTGTTGGGAAACAGGCAGCTCATCTTTTGGAACCTTTGGTGAAACAAATGGTTTCTCTCTATGTTCAGCACCAACACAGTTGCTGCCTTTATCTAGGGTCCATTTTGGTTGATGAATATGCAAGTGAACCGGGCTGTGTGGGTGGTCTTCTGAACATGCTCGAAGCTTTCATTGCACCAACTTTTACAATTCTTCAAGAGGGTGGCTGGGAAAACGGTTTGCGGGGCCATCCAGACACTGTTGATGATCTTTTCCGCCTTTGTGCAAGGTATGTGGTTATCTTTAACTTTTATGACAGGTTTCACTTCAGCTTCCTCACATTAGGTCTGAATTTTCTTTTCTGTTTTCAGATTCCTTCAGCGTTCTCCTATACCATTCCTTCAGTGCACATCATTACAAGCTATTATAAATTGTGCTATTTTGGCAGTAACATTAGATCATAGATACGCTAATGCCTCAGTCATGAAATTCTTTTATGATCTGATTCATTGTGGACGAAATAATGAGGTAAACTTTTTAGATGTAACAACTTGCTTTTTAGTTTTGTTTCATTCTCTTCTTGACTCCTAAACCTTTATGTCTTGTATTTTTTAATCCATCTTTCAGTCACAAGAAGATTTCCCAGTGAGGAAGAATTTGGTTCTAGCAATTGTCCGAGAAAATGGTCGCTTGTTAACATCAAGACTGCTTCATGCATCTGTATTCTTCTTACACTCATACATGCTCTCTGATGTATCAGATGTTATTGTGGAACTGTCATTAACTGATCGTGAGGTGAGTTTTTGGACAGCCGAATTTGCCTTTTATGTAGTCTCAATTTCTTATATTTATTCCGTTTTTACATTCCTCTAGTCGATGAACACCTGGCTGCAACAAGCATTGGAAGACCTAAATAACAATGCCACTGGACAACATCTGACAGCAACAAACAAGCAAATAGTTGATTTTCATGCTGCTATCATGAAGTAAGTATTGTTTCTTATGTGTCAGTATTAGTGTTGCCTCAGTTTGAGAACAACTTCAACTCTCTGTTTTGAAATTCTTTTGCAGAGCCGAAGGAACAAAACCAGTGACCCACTGTCTAAAAGATTTCACCAGGCTCTTCCGCTGATGAAGCTTAGTTTTATTTTATACTTTTATTACTCAATTTATGTTGGTGAAATTAAATCAGTGTGCGAAGTATTGGCCCAACCGACACTGCTGTCATGGATTTATTACTTTGTTTTACAATTTATTAATTTTTTTATTAAGTGGAAGTTTATCTTTTGACCCAATTTTTGTTTCTGCTTTCTTTCTGACTGATGCATGTATTTGCAGCTTTATAATGTTATTGCTTTTTTAAAAATTCATATTTACAATAAATTTTGTAGTGATCATTCTGTGAATGTTTCTCCTGTTACATTTCATGGAGTTCTGAAAGCTTCAGGTACATTCTGATAGCAGTTAAAGTCAAAGATGATTCTTCCATATCCGTATTGTTTTCAGTGCTGTTTTTTTTTCTACCAGTATTTTAAAAATGATTTGTTTTGAAAATGTGTGGAGTGCCTTTCTACACTGTATTTGGTTGCCACTCTAATTTCAATCAAGCTTAGACCCTTCTAAAATTGATTTAATTTTGATGATGAGCTATTTTCTTTCAGAACTCAATGGTTAAGTAGCTGAAACCAAAATGACAGCTATCATTGTGATTTAGGCATGTGGTAGGCTTGACCATAACAGTGTCTTCTGGCCAATCTCTGGGTTTTCTGAATGAAAAACATGATGAGTGATTGATAGCTGCTGTGACTAAATTTTACAAGCTTGCCTCTCTTCAGTGCTGTTGCAAATTTGTGTGAACGAATGAAGTCTCCAGTGCAAATGTTAAAGACATATTGTTGCATTTCTTGTAAATGAATGTTCTAATTTCTATGATTTGATTTATATATAAATATCTATATATAGTGAATGTAAATGAAAATGTAAAAATATATTTTTGACTGATAAAAATTTGGATTATGTTGTATTTATGTATTTATTAATGTTGAATCAGTCAAATAAGCGTATCTATTTTGTACCGTCAAGGCTCTGTTTGAGACAAGGTCAACATTTTTAACAGACTTTTTAAAGTGACTTGAATGCACTGATTGTTACTTGGGGTTTTGTTCTGGAATGCCAGATGCAGATTATCAAGTAAAACTGTCCCTAATAATTCCCTCATGTATTTCTTCAGTTCCCCTTTCCCTTGATGCATGTTATGAATGTCAAGAAAACAAGATAGCTCGGGTACATCATTTCTGAAGACAACACCTGTTCATTGTTCCATCTTAGAACTACTTTATTTACACGAATGTCACCTAACTTACATACTAACAACCAGATAAAAATCAAGTAGATAAAACTGAATTAAAAAGAAACACAAGGGTTACACGTCATAAGAATAAAAGTGAATCTGTTCAGAAGAGATTCATTGAGCATGCATGTGAAAGGAATAGAATGAGGAAGCTGAAAGTGGTCAACGACTTTGACTAAAACCTACTTTGATCAGCATCAAGTTTGAACCAACTTCTCCCACAGCTAGAGTCAGTTGGCTTCTTCAGTCTTATAAAATGTGAATGACGCCGCATCCTGAACGACTACGATGATGAAAATTCCTTGCCTACTGCTCCGGGATGTACCTGAAGCTCTCCAGACGCAGCTCCCCGTCCGAGTCCTTGTCCTTTTCCTTGGCGTCCTCCTCCTGGCCGGGGCGCCGCACCGGCTCGTTCCAGTGTTGCACCTCGCCGGACCCCAGCGCCACGAAGACCATGTTGGTGGCCACGAGCACCGCCACCGTGATCCAGAACACGACCCGCCACTCCTCCATGGCGCTCTGCAACGGAAAGGAGAGGGAAGTCCCACCGCCGGTCCCTCTCTCTGTCTCTCTCGGACCCACACGGGACGTCCCACAGCGATCCAGAAGACCGGTCGAGGCGGCCAAAATTCTAGGCGCGTTTGCAGCTCCAAAGTCGCTTAGCAGGGCTCGAACCTAACGTGTGACCCCACCTATGGATTCCTCGTCCGAAGAGCAATCCATTGGTGTGGTCACACGTTCGGTTCGAGTCCTGCTTAGCGACTCTGGAACTCAAAACGCGTCTAGAGTTTTGGCAGCCTCCACCGGTCTTCGGCCTCACGGCCCGCGGTGTGGCGCTAGGCCTACTCCTACTCACGTTGGGGATGAGCACGCCGATGAGGTACGGGGTGACGATGCCGGACAGCGCGCCGATGGCGTTCACCAGGGCCATGATGGTGCCCGCGTAGTTGGGCGACAGGTCCAGGGCGTTCACCCTGGTGCCCGAGTAGTAGGCGCCCATGGAGGCCATGCCCAGCGTGAACAGCGAGACCACCAGGTAGCGGTCGCAGCCCGCGTAGGACGCCCCGATGATGCCGGCCGCGGGGCCCAGCGACGCTGCAAGTTGATATTTCAAACGGTCAAAACGGGGAATACTTGAGCTGGCGGCGTGTTGGCGGCGGGACTCACAGACGGTGGTGAGCAGCTTCCTGGTGTTGGTGATGGACATGCGGTCAGTCTTGATGAGCCAGTCGGCCAGGCAGCCGAACAGCAGCGAGCACAGCCACATGGCGAGGTAGGGCAGCGCCGACAGGAAGCCGTTCTGCAACAAAGAATCCATTGGTGTGGTCACACGTTCGGTTCGAGGCCCATTCAGCGACTCTGGAGCTCCAAACGCGTCTAGTGTTTTGGCCGCCTCCACCGGTCTTCTGATAAATCCACTGTCGGCCGGGCACCGGCACCGCATACGCACCTCCTGGATGCGGAACTTCATGACGCTCTTCATGTACTTGGGCAGGTCGGCGATCATGGTGAAGAAGCCCCAGTCGTGGCCCACGGTCTTGGCGACCAGGCCCCACAGCGGCAAGGAGGTGAGGATGGCCTTCCAGGGCACGGGCCCGCTGCCCTGTGTGCAGAACGGTGGTTGGTAACTCCGGCACCGTCGGGCACCGACACAAAGTCCGCAAAGGCTAAAAGACTACGAGACACGCACCTTGCCGTGCTTGTGGCTCAGCTTGTCCTGCAGGTACTTGCTCTCGCTGGAGGTGATGTAGGGGTGCGCGGCGGGCGAGTCGTAGCACAGCAGGCACCAGCACGCCGTCCAGACGCTGGCGGCCGCGGCGAAGGAGTAGAAGACGACGTCCCAGGACGCCAGCAGGTGGATGAGGGTGCCGCTGATGGCCGTGCCGGCCACGGTGCCCAGGTTGGAGCCGGACAGCACCAGGGCGCCCAGCTTGCCGCGCTCCTCGACGGGCACCCAGGCCGCCAGCAGCACGTTGAGCGCGGGGAAGATGGCGCCCTGGCCCAGGCCGCACACCACCCTGGCCGCCAGCATGCCGGGCCAGCCGGCCATGCGCACGGCGAGCGGCGACAGCGCCGTGGCCGCGATGGACACCACCATGCCGGCCGTGAGGGTGTGCTTGCCGCCGAAGCGGTCCGCCACCAGCCCGCCGGGGATCTGCGTCAGCACGTAGCCCCAGTAGAAGGACGACAGCAGCACGCCCTGCACCTCCTCGCTCCACGCGAAGCGGTCCTCAGCCTGCGGAGGGAAAACCGAACTCATTGAAACGTTTCTAAAACTCATTTTTCTGCGCGTCTGACGTCAACTACTTCAACTACTCACCGCTACGAGGGGCGCGCGCACCGTGCTGGCATTCCCCACGATGTCCGCCGGGTCGGGGCAGGCGTAGGGGTCCACGAACACGGGCGTGGTGGCGTTGTCCAGGACGCTGTCCAGGGCGTCGCCCACGGCCTCGGCGCCCAGCGTGCCGTTGCCCTCGCTCTCCAGCACCATCTCCGTGATGGCCACGTGCAGGGAGACGCGGATGGTGAACATGTTGACGAGGCACAGGAAGCCCATGACGGCCAGCACGTAGCGCTGCGGGATGCATCCTGGAAGACATCGACCGGGTTCAAACCGCCGTACCGCCGCAGTGCCCTGGGAACGTACCGGAACGGAACGCGGATCTGTCCACCAATTTCTCATACTTAACCGGCCAGCGATAAGCGCTCGCGGAGCGGCGGAGCGGCCGGCGGTTCCGCTTGCTTTACCGGCGGGCACGTGCACGCCGCGGCCGCGGCCTTGACCGCGACCTTGGCGGCCTTGACGGCGAGCTCGCCGGGGAGATCAGCGAACGCTGCAGAATGCACCGCAAGCATTCCGGTAGTTATCGCACCAGCCCTATGGGCCTAACTGGCGGTCGACGTGCCATGAGTGCGAGAGAGACCGCGCGCTGGAACGGGCTGGCAGGAGGGCTGGGCCAGGGGCCAGGGTAGGCCAGGGCTGGACGCCCATCCCAGCGCACTTAGCCCAGCCAGGTAGGCGTGGCGGGCGTGGCGGCGCCAGGAGCGTCTCTAAATTTGCGGATAGGACGTTCGTGTCGCTGCCGTGTACACCGTGCACTACACTGTATCAAGGTCGGACCGTCGGACCGAGCGGAATGACGGGCATCGGCCGCATCGGCTGCCGAATGCGGCCGTTTCGTCGCTCTGTCTCTCTCGCACTCGCGGGGCGCCCAACTGGACGACTGTCTCGCCCCGACACTGTAATTCCATGCTGTAATTCGCCCACTTTGCCTCAGACTGAAGGGACTGAAGGTTCGGCGCGATGGTCGCAGCGCGGCTGTCGGGCTGTCTCTCTCGCACCGGCACGGAGCGCCACACGAGTGCGAGGGAGGGAGAGACCCTCCACTCGGAATCAGCCTTCAATGTGGCGCCGGACTGGCAGCTCCACTTTGCATCCGACGCGCTCGCTGATTGGGCCGCGGGGCCGCGGGGGAAGTCCCGTCCGCCAATCCGGATTGGCCGCGCGTGGCTGCAGGCTCGACATTCTGAACAGCATCGCACCCCCACGAGTGTGGACGCACGTCATCCAGACTGGACGGAGCGCTGAGAGACACTTTCTCCGAGGCTGCGCCCCACAGGGCTCGCCCAGCTTGCCCCACAGGGTGCACCCCCCCCCCCTTCCAGTGCACCGTTACTACACGTTACTACAGGGTGGCCGGCGCAGTCCGGCAGCGCGGGCCCCGCGGACCGCCGGGCAGCCAAAGCCAGCCCAGGTAGAAGTGAAATATAGTACAGTGTGCATCTTGATAATAAGCGGCTTCAGGAAGGGTACTAACACAAAAGGTTGTTGTTGCCCTCCGCGGCCTCCTTCTCCTTCATCTTCTTCTCCAGCAGCTCGTCCTGCTCGTCGCTGCGCTCAGGTGTGCTCAGGTAGAGGAATCTCAAAGGGCGGGGGCGGGGTGGGGGTGGTGGGGGTGGTCGCTGGTGGTCGCCCCGCCCAAGGACGCTACTGCTGGAGGCGCTGGAGGCACACTGGAGGCTGCCCCGGCCGCGCTGGAATGCTATCTCCTCTCCCCGACAGAGCACGTCCCAAAACGGCTTCACAGCGACGTTCCCACTTTGATCAACAAGTACCATTTCCACACGGCGGCACGCCCGCCCCCGAAACGAATCCCGGATCAGACGCCACACCGTGACAAAACGTAAATGAAAAAGCCAGCGATAGTAGCGGAAACAACAAGGATTGCTTCGAAAATCAGGCCATCCCATGGGCTTCCCGGGGCCGCCAGGGACTTCCCTTCACGACTGCGTACCTTGGAACACCTTCCTCCAGTCGATGGTGATACGGAACATGGTGGCGGCGCGGGCGAGGGAGTGTCCTGTTCACGAAACACCGGCACGGCACAGCAAGAGCGTGCGTCCTTCTCTCTCTCTCTCTTCGTGTGCGCCGCAGTCTCTCCCTCTCTCTCACGCGCACGCTCACACGCTCGCTGCTCGCATCCCCGTCGCGCACGCCAAGACGCCGCGCGCCTGTTGGCCTGTTCAGGCTCCGCGCTGCACCACGACCGACTGACTTGACCGACTGCGACTGACTGGGGCTGCTGGCCGGGCTGGGGCTGGATTCGGATTGGACGGCCGCGGGCTAGGCCGGGCCGGGGGCAGTGCGGGGCGGTGCGGGGCGTGGGTGGCGGTGCGATGGACTGGACCGTCGACGCGACGGCCACCGACGGCCGGCCGGCGGCTTCGGGTGGGTCGGGTGCTCGGCTCCGTGCCGCCTCGCCACTGCCGCCACTGCGGCCACCACAATGACGGAGGCCAGGACGAGGACGGACTCGACTCCGTGCCCCGCGTACAGTGTGGAGGTGAGGGAACTCTACCCAAAGTGACCCAGCCGAAGCGCCCGAGCCGAGCCTGGCCCTGCCGCATGCCGCCTGCTGGCGTCTCTCTCACGCACACAGACCGCAGGGCGACGAAACGAAGGTGCCCGAGAGAGCAGGGAGTGCGAGAGAGACAGACAGGCGGAGGGCTTTCGTTGGAACCCCAAGCGCACCTAAAGCGCACCCCACTGTGTCGCTCGGCTCGAACGATGACGACGATGACAACGATGACGACAATGACGACGATGACGACGATGACGTCTGGGACACGTAAAGGCTGAAGGCTGACGGCGACAGACAGAGGAAGGCTTATTCGGGAAACCGGAAACATAAAGGCGGCGCGGTACAGGGCGGACAGGGCAAGCGCCCGGCGGCCAGTCACTTCCAAATTAGCATATTGATTTCGCTCAATTTAGCAAAAGTCGATGAACATAAGCCACCGAACCACCCACAAAAAAAATATGTCAAATCGTCAGGTTCTGTAGTAGGCGGGCGAGTCGGGACTTTGACATGCCTGGCACATCCTCTATCTCTCTCCGTCTCTCTCACGCTCTGGCTGGCGCTGGCTGGCGCGGGCGGTGCGACAATCATCTCTCACTAGTTTGGTCTCGAAATGAGGGAAGACCAGCCTGGGTCTGATTGTCGGCGGCGGCACACGTGCAGGCACGGAACAGAGTAGGAACACCGCCTCAGTAATTGGGTCGCACGTCCGAGTGTCCGAGTGGCGTGAGAAGAGGAAGAAGGAGAAGGAGATGCCCTGTTCGCACGCTTCGCACGCTTCGCTTTGGGCCAGCCCGATTTCGAAGGATCGTTTCGTCGCTCCGTCTCTGTCGCACCCCCACGCGAAGCCCCACGAGTGCGAGAGAGACAGAGCGGCGAAGCGACCCTTCAGGTGGCTGGACTGGTGCTCACCTGTCCTCGTCCCTGCAGGCGGGTCGTCTACGATCTGAAGCGTGCCGTACCCTACGGACAGGATAGAAAACAACTCCAGTTTATCGCCGATTTACGTTTTGTCACAGAAAACGATCTGGGAAAGGGGGGGGGGATGCCAGCTGCTCTCCGAAATAGAATGAAATCGCCGTGGTGACTGTACCTGGTAGTACGACAATAGCCATCACGGACGCGACTCTAGTGTGGTGGTCGAGGAGCAACGAGCAGCTGCACCAGCCTGCTCAAAGTCTGCTGCGACGCGCCTCCGTCCGCTACACTGCCGATTCTTTTAGCAGTGACCGCTGCTAGTTTGAATCCCTAACTTGAAACTTGAACTTGAAACTCGAAGCAGTGGATTGGTGCCCTGGTCAGCCGGCCGGGATGGCACGACAAGTGCAAGTGCCCTCACTGTCGCTTCGTGGCGGTCCGACTTGCTACGGTTCATTTTGGCCGGCGCGGCCGCGCACGGCCCTCCAAGGGCGCGTTTTTCAATTACCTTCGCGGGGAAACATGGGCAAAACCAATTTGCAGCCGACACGATGAGGGCATGATGAGGCACGATGGACAAAGCGTGATCTCCTCGCACGCCAAAGGGCAGCACGTGCAGTGTAAGCTGGGCCACTCTGTCACTGTCCACTGTCACTCACCTGACCACTGTTTTCTGGCGCGCAGCCCCGAGGCCCTCTCGTCCAGCGTGTCCACCAGCATCGCCCCGGGCACTGCCAGCACTGCAGGCTGGAGATGCTCCCCGCCAGACTGGCTCGACTATCTCCACGCCCTCGACGTCATCCACCCCGTCTTGGACGTCTACGACGGCGACGGCGCCAAGCCGCGTTTGCTTTCGTTGCTGTCGATAAGCGTTGGTCTGCAGACTCATTCGTCGCTCTGTCTCTCTCGCACCACCATGGGGCCCCCTGAGTGCGAGGGAGACAGAACGACGAAAGCGGCTCGGACTGAGCGCCCGCAGCGCCACACTGCCGCACGCACTGCGCGCCGAAGTCGGTTGGGCTGCCTATCTGCACGGCGCTCCCCGCCATGTCATGCCTCCAGTGTTACCACTCTACTGGACGCGGTGTGCCACAGTCCGAAGGGTTACCTAGCCCAGCCCGCATGCCGAGCGAAATCTGAGCTTTGCTCAGGGGCAGCTGCATTTGCAGTAGGCAGGCTGCTGGGTTGGTAATCCTTTCGACACTGGCGCATTATGGTAGTAATTGGCTTCTGCACTGCACTGCGTTGTTTCTCGCTCCTCCGACGAGGACGCAGTGCAGGGGCTGGGTGGGGCTCCCAGACTCGTTCACCGCCGGCAGGACCGGCAGGGAATTGGCGAGATTCGGCCATTCAGCGTTCAGCCCTCTTGGCGCGAGCTTCCTGCTTTCTCTCTTTCTCTCTTTCTCTCTTTCTGTGCGATTGCGGGCATTGCCGGCATTGCGGGCATGTGGGCCCAGGCTGGCCCGGGCCCGGCCGGGGTGGGGGCGCGCGAGCGATACACGCCAATCTTCGCGTCCAAACAGAGGCGCCGTATCGGAGCGCAGAAGCACAGTGGATTTGCCAGAAGACCGGTGGAGGCGGACTAAATTCTGGACGCGTTTTGGGCTCCACAGTCGCCACACAGGATTCGAACCGAGCGTGTTCCTGAGCGGATTCCTCGTTCGGGGTCACCGGTGTTCCACCGGTCTTGTAGCAAATCCAATGTGCGACGACAAATTTCCCACCAAAAAGAGGGGGAAGGGGAGGTCCCCTAAACGGGTCGACGAACTTTTAACTGGCGATCGCGTTTGCATCGCGGAACGTGAAACGCAGCGACGCAGCAGCCAGTGCATGCGGGTCGCTGCGTGGTGCCGAGTGGTCGAGGGGGAGGGGCAGGAAGGGGGTGCCCCGCCCAAAACGCGTTGTGACGGAGAAGAGACACGGAGACGGGGAAAGTGGACTGCCCCGCCGAACCGAACACCGAGCCGATATAGCCCCGCGCCGTGTCGCCGTGTCGCCGCGTCCCGGAGGCAGTCGACTCTCGGAGCTCTCGGGACTCGCAGTGCAGTGCGGCAAGCCGAGGGGCCCAGACTGCAGCCGAATTGGAATCACAAACACCACCCGCCGATTCGAGATTCCAGCCGCGGTCCAGCAGGTAGGCCCCTCTTCATGCGAGGCATCCAGGGGCGCGAGAGAGACAAAGCGACGAGCTCGCAGCATGTCACGGCTGTCACGGCGCACAGTGGGCCAGAGGACCGGTGGTGGCGTCGCAGACCAATCCATTGGTGGGGGTCACACGTTCGGTTCGAGTCCCATTTAGAGACTCTGGAGCTCAAAATGCGTCGAAGGTTTTGGCGGCCGCCTCCACCGGTCTTCTGGCAAATCCACTGTGCGGCGTGTGACGGCGTGTGACGGCGTCACTGAAGGGGCCGGGCGGCCCGCCCCTCCAGATACGGCCTTTCGTGTTTTCGAGAGGCCTTTTTCACGCTGCGGTATCGCTGCCGCGTGTCGCCGTGACGCTCGTCGCGCTCGTCGCTCTTCGCCGGTCGACTGGACTCCAGACTGGTGCCGGGTGTCGCGAAACGCGCCCCTTACCTTGTCTTTGCGCATAATGGCCGTGCAAATGGCGTGCAAATGGCGTGCCAGGCGCGCCGGCGATAAGCAGACATGCTGCCGGCACGTCTACCGGCACGGAGACAGGCGACACGCATGTGATAGTAAGTGCCAAAGCAACCGGTCTCTGCTCCGAGGCGGGTGCGCGCTGCGCGAGTCCAGTGCCTCTCCGGGGGCGAACGCGGCCACGTGAGCGCGGCGCGCTGAGGTCCAAATAGTCAGTTTTCGATACTATTCGGCTGGCGCGCTTCGCTCCAGGATTCCAGGATGCTCCCGCCTAGGCTGTTGTTGGTGGTGCTGGCGCTGCTCCCCGCCGTGGCCCCGGAGTACCAGTGCGTGTACCACCAGCGCCTGGAGCCGCGGCGCACCTACACCATCGCCAGCCCCGGCTACCCCGCGCGCTACCAGGCCGGCGAGAGCTGCCTGTGGGTCGCCTCGGTGGTGGACGAGCAGTCCCGCGTCGTGCTGGACTGCGACACCTTCGACCTGCCGCCGCCGAAGGTAGGGCGCAGCGACAGCGGAATGAAACCAGTCTGCCGGCGGGTGTTCGACTCGGTGTTTGAACCCGGGACTCTGGCCGCAGAACGGCGAGTGCGGCGACGCGCTGTGGGTGTCGCTGACGGGCAAGCCGGTGACGCGCGACGGCGAGCCCCACTGCGGCTCGGGCCGCTTCACCATGGTGTCCACGGGGCCGCGCCTCAACGTGAAGCTCGTGTCGCTGGGGGCGGATTCGAGGGGCGGCATCTTCCGGTGTAGCGTCGCCGCCACCGACCCCAACACGGACACGCTGCCGCCCCCGCCGGCTACCGCCCCCCTGCCGCCCGCCAGGCCACCGCAGAGGCCGCCGCCGCCCCTCGGCAACTGCACCTGCGCCGTCCGGCAGCCCGAGGTAAGTCTGGAAAAGTGTTCGCGGAGCCACTGCGAGTGTCAGCAGCGAAAATCATGAAATGCACTCCGCTCTTCCAGGCCAGCAGGATCGTCGGCGGCGTGGAGACCGCCCCCCACGAGTACCCGTTCGTCGGCTACCTGGAGGACGCCGAAGTGGGCCGCCTCCTCTGCGGCGCCGCCCTGTTGTCGCCCCGGTTCGCGCTCACGGCGGCCCACTGCGCGGAGCTGGCCGTGGACAAGCCCGCCGTCAGCCTGGTGGTCGGGGACCACGACCGGTCGCAACGTAAGCGTCGCGAATACTGCCCTCCCGGTGAGCGTCGAGGGGTGCTTGACGGCGATCGTGGTTTTGCAGCGGACTGGCGCAGCCGACGCCAGGTGCTACGAGTCCGGGACTTCGTCGTGCACCCGGAGTACTCCGGCACGTGGGCCGGGGCGGACCTCGCCGTGGTGCGCCTGGCGGACGAGGCCGTGCTGGGCCCCGCCGTGCAGCCCGCCTGCCTGCCCTTCCTGCTCAAGAAGGCCAACCTGGCCGGGCAGCAGGTGGTGGTGCTGGGCTGGGGCGGCCAGCGCCTGGACGGGCCCAGCTCCATCCGCCTCATGGCGGCCGGCCTGCAGGTCGTCAAGAACTCGGCGTGCGCGCAGGCGTACGGCAGGGACGTCGCCGACAACCACCTCTGCGCCTTCCGCCGCACCGCGTCGCCGTGCTCGGTACGAGGCAGACCGAACCGCCACACAGTGGGGCAGAAGACCGGCGGAGGCGGCCAAAACTCTAGACGCGTTTCAAGCTCCAGGGTCGGGGCTCGAACAGAGCGTGTGACCCCACCAATGGACTTCTCTGGATTCCTCTTTAGGAGGGAAGTCCATTGGTGGGGTCACACGTTCGGTTCGAGCCCCATTTAGCGACTCTGCAGCTCAAAATGCGTCTGGGGGTTTGGCCGCCTCCACCGGTCTTCTGGATTAGTAGTACTGTGCATCGCCGAGGTGCCAAGTTCCAAGCCCTTCTTACTCCAGGGCGACAACGGCGGCCCGCTGGTGTGGGTGTCGCCGGAGACCGGCGCCCTGCAGCTCGTCGGCGTCGTCAGCTACGGCGAGGGCTGTCCGGGCGACAAGCCCGTCATCAGCACCAGGGTGACGCACTATCTGCGCTGGATCCAGCAGGTCACACGAGGTGAGCTCCCTTGCACAGTTGGCTAGAAGTCCGGCGCCGGTGGCCAAAATTCTAAACGCGTTCTGAGCTCGAGGAATCCATTGGTGGGGCCACACTTTCTGTTCGAGTCCCATTTAGCGACTCTGGAGCTCAAAACGCGTCTAGAATTGCAGCGGTCTTCTGGCTCACCGTGCGCTCCAACTGATTAAACGCCACCCTTGAATCTGCCTTCCCTCCCCGCAGAGTCGTACTGCTACGTGCCGTGAGTGGAGCGGTGTACTCGGTGTACTAGACGAGTCCCTTGACAACATGCCAGCCCGGTGGTGCGGCGCGTTGGCGCGTTGGCGCGGCGGGGCGTTGCGTCCAGGAAACGCTGCGTCCCAGAACCTCCGCGAACCTCCCCGTCCAGCCAGTGACCTCTCGCCTGATCTCCTGTCCGCCTCAGTATTCTTAGCCGTCAACAAGTCGTTGTGAAATACAGATGATTAAATAAATTATTTTCCCAGAAACTTTGTTTTTTGTGCGGGGTTGTCGTCTTTCCTCAGCCCAGCTCCAAGTTCCCTCCCCCGTGAATGTTTAACGCGTGTTGCGCCAACTTCGCCGCTCAGACATTCGCTGGGGCACATGTGTTAATGATGGAGCCTCTTGGCGAGTTGTGTTTTCTTTCGGGCGCGAGCATGCGCCCACACTGCAAGCGTCGCCGCTGTCTCTGTTGCACTCGTGGGGCTCTCCGCAAGAGTGCGAGAGAGACAGCGCGACAAACTCGCCGGCAGGCCGATGAATAGGGAACGAGGCGGGCGAGGGACGTCGCGATGTCGCAGCCGTGGCGGCACTCCAGTCCTGCCGCGGGCACGGGGCGTCACTACACTCTCAGGGCGCCTACACTGCCAGGATGGCCAAGACGGGCAGCGGGATGGAGCCCTTGCTGGACGCGCTGCTGGGGTGGCGGCAGCTCATCGGCGGCGCGAGGCACCGCATGCCCAACAACCGGCACCACTTCCTCTGGCGCATCCTCATCGGCAACCGGGTACGTGTCTTGCCTCCCCTTGCACAGTGGGGGCGGCCGAAACTCGAAACGCGTTTTGAACTCCAGAGTCGCTAAATGGGACGCGAGCCGAACGTGCGACCCCACCAATGGACTGCTCTCCGAACGAGGAATCCATTGGTGGGGTCACGTGAGTCCTGCCGACAGTCCGGTGCTGCTGGCACAGGTGTCGCCGCCGCTGGCCGCCTGGCTGGCCCTCTGGATCTTCGGGGGCGCGCTGCAGGAGGAGACGGCGCCCAAGATGAGCAGCGGCATCCGCATGGCCATCACGTTCATCCCCATCGTGCACTCGCTCGTCTTCTGGCTGAGCCGCCTGCACAAGGAGGACCTGCTCAACCAGCTGGAGGAGGTGGCCAGGACCCTGGAGCCCTACAGCGAGCCGCACCGGGTGCGACCTCCACTGCGTTCTTTTTCCCTTGGGACAGCAATGTTGGGGGGTGCGTACACGTGACGATGGTGCATGCTCTGCATTGCTCTGCATTGCTCTGCCGGCAGCGCGAACTGGAGGGGGCTCGGCGCTACAGCGCCACGGCGCTCTGGATGTGCAAGGCGTACGCGCTGGCCGACGTGTGCACGCTCATCGTGCCGCTGTGCCTCAACCAGGACAAGCTGGACCTCAACATCTGGCCCTGGCCACCGGGCCGCATGTGGGTCATCATCGGCGGCAGCATGATCTGCTGCATGGGGGTGCCCTTCGCCTTCCCGACCTTTGTCGGCCTCGCGTACTACATGAGCTTCCTGGCGTTCGAGATCGCGCTGCACGGCGTGCTGGGCGACGCCGTGCGCCACGCGGACACCCCGGCCAAGGTGCTGGAGGTGGCCAAGATGGACGTGCGGCTCACCGAGGTGGGCATCCGCCAGAAGAACGCCATGGCCGGCTTCACGGCCACCTTCCTCGCCCTGATGCTCGTCACACCGCTCATCTCCACCGTGCTGGCCTTCCTGGGCCAGTTCGACCTGTTCACCATCGCCAGCATCCCCTACGTCATCATGTTCATCACGCTCTGCTACATCGGCCAGGACATCCAGGTAAAGGGAACGAGTAGGCGCAGCGCACTGGGCTTGAAGGCCGATGGAGGCGGCCAAAACCCTAGAGGCGTTTTGAGCTCCAGAGTCTCTAAATGGGACTCGAACTAAACGAGTGATCCCACCAATGGATTCCTCGTTCGGAGAGTAATCCATTGGTGGGGTCACACGTTCGGTTCGAGTCGCATATAGAGACTCTGGAGCTCAAAACGCGTCTAGAGTTTTGGCCGCCTCCGCCGACCCTCTGGCCCACCGTGCCCAGCGGTGAAGGCGATCTGAACTTGGAACTGAGTCGTCCCGTGCGTTGCGCAGGATTCGTGTGTGCGGGTGGCCACCGCGGCGTACGACTGCGCCTGGACCGAGGTGAGTGCCAAGGCGGTGAGACAGCACGACAGCAGCCGACAGGCCGAAAGACTCGTGCTCGGTGCCGCAGGTGCCGGACTCCAGCTCCCGGGCGACCGTGCTGATGATGATGACCCGCCGCGGACGTCCGCTCAGCATCTCCGCCAAGCTGGGCGTGGGCGCGCTCAACCTCAGCGTGTGCCGCGAGACGATGCACTCCTGGTACTCGCTGCTGCAGCTGCTGCTCAAGCTCTTCTAAGCGCCGGGCGCCCGCCGGGTGGGCAACCCTTCGGACAGGGAAGGCCGCGCAGCCCGTCACTCGTCACTCATGACGTCACGCGTCACATCATCATTTATTTATTTTTAAACGCCGTCTCTCTTTTCGCCGCCTTGTGGGCATTCGCGCGCGCGCGTGCGTGCGTGCGACTGTGTGCGTGTGTGTGCGTGTGTGCGGAGAAGAGCGGCGGTTAGACATAGGCAACTAAAACACCAGGCTTTTCCTCTTTTTGTTTTAATAGAATAAATTAAAGCTAACCTACGACATTTGTGTCTGCAGTGCAGTAGGAACACAGTTGGTGCGTATCGCTTCGTTCTCGTCATCGGGGAAACGTCCGTGGGGCGATGGTGACGTCACGGTCAACATCCGCGGACGGGTCTGACGATCTGTTCGGCTGTCGCTAGAGTCCTGCGGCGGGGGCCTCGGTGCTGTCTGTCGCGGGCACGTCCGTGGAAGGGGCAGGCGCGTCAGTGGAGGGCACGGGGGCGTCAGTGGAGGGCACGGGGGCGTCAGTGGAGGGCACGGGGGCGTCTGTCGATGGGACGGGGGCGTCAGAGTTCCCCTCGGAGGGTGCTACCGGGTCGCTGGCGGCTGCGTTCGGCGGCAGGGTCGTGGCCGCGGCGATGTCCTCGACGGCGTCCTTCACAGCGCCCTCGGGGGCGGCGGTCGGATTGTCCTCGGGGACGGCGGGGGCATCAGTGACAGGCTGCACGTCTGCGGGGACCGCGGGCACCTCAGTGGGCTTGGGTTGGTCCTCAGAGGCCGGCGTCGCCGTCTGCGGCTGCTCGGTGGAGCTGGCGTTGCTAGGGAAGGAGTTCTTGTTGTCCGTCAGGAGCTGGATGTCCGGCGGCAGCAGAGTCGTGACTGCCCCGGTCACCACGTCGTCGGGCATGGTCGTGGTGGGCGCCTTCAGGTCGTCCTCCTGGGGCGGCGTCGGCGGCGCGGCAGTCGTTGAGGGCGTCGGGGCCGCCGTCGGGGCCGCCGTCGTGGATGGCGTGGGTGGCGACGTGGGCGACACTGGCGTGTCCTCGGCGGGCAGCACGGCGGGAACCGCGGCGGGCAGCACGGCGGGCGTGGCACCGTAGAAGTCGTCGGGTAGCGGCGCCACGGCGGGCTTCAGCAGCACCTCTGGGCGGTAGTCGTTGCCGTACCCGGCTGGGGGGCGGTTCGGGGGCCCTGACGGAGGCCCTGACGGCGGCCCCAGGGGGACGGACGGGTGCGTGCCTGGCGGGTGGGTGGGCAGAGGCTTGACTGGCAGCTCGATGGGCTCCTCGGGCTCCTCGGGCTGCAGGGGTTGTCCGGGCTGTCCGGGCTGCAGAGGGTAGGGCGGCGGGAAGGGCGCGCTCGTCGTCGGCGGCCTCTGCGGCAGCTGCGGCGGCCGGATGGGGCGGTTTGGCGGCGGGTTCGCTGGCTCCTCGGGGTAGCCGGGGTAGCCGCCGGTGGGGGGTCGGGGCCCGGGCCCGCTGCCGACGAGTCCGCCGGACGGCAGCTCGTCGGGCCGCTCGGGCCGCTCGGGCTGCTCGGGGTACGGGTAGGGCTGCTGCGGCGGGAAGGGTGCTCCGCCCGGCGGCGGCCTGGCAGGCGGCCTGGGGTACGGGTACGTGGGGTGCGGGGGCTTGCTGCCCTGGCCACCCTGGACACCCTGGCCCGGGCCGTACGGGTCGGTCGGCGCGGACGGGTAGGTCGGCGGCCGGCTGGGGTGTCCCGGGTGGAAGGGCTTCTCGTGCGGGTAGGGCTTGTGGTGCGGGGGCCGCGGCGGCCTCGGCCGGTGGTACGAGTACGCGAAGGCCTCAGCGCACACGGCCAGCTCGTCGTGCTCGGGGGCGTGCAGCGACGGCAGGTGCGGGAACACGATGGTCTCGTCCTCGGACTGGTCCAGGCCGGCGGGCTGCTGCGGCGCGCGCGCCGGGCACGGGCAGCACACGATGGGCTCCATCCACGCGAACGAGCAGATCTCGGGGTGGTTGTTGGAGTCCAGGTCGTCGCGGGCGCCCGGGCAGCGCGTCACGGGCACGCACATGCCGCGCTTGTTGTGGAACTGGTTGAAGCAGGAGCTGCCTGCAACACGAGGAGAAGTCTGCGTTAGCGACCACCGAGGAAAACCTAGGACCGTAAACAGTGACATTGACGAGCACTTTGAAAACTGCATTTCGGAAATAAATAGGTTGGCCTTCTTTCCCAGGATTCGGACGCCTACGAAAAACGCGCTATGTTGCACTGTGGTGACGTGGTGACACTGTAGTGACTCTGAAGAGACGCGACACGCTCGTCGCCAATAGCGTCTCGTCCGTCCGTCCGTCCCGTCGGCGACTCGGCGGCGAGGTCAGGGAACCAGGGGCAGAGCGGGCAGAGCGGGCAGAGGTGCATTTACTTGAGTGGCGCCATTACCCCAGCAAAGGACGCCAAAGGACACGGAAGCCTCGATTTCGTAACGACACAATCACTGCAGCCGATGCGCGGAGGGGCTTCCTTCTTTTGTCTCGGCCTCTACTGCTATGCGCGCGTGCGTGCGTGCTGCGTGCGCGCGAGTGACTGGAAGTGACTGGAACTGACTGCAATTTGGCCCCCGCCTTGCAGAACGCGAAACACACAGTCCGCAGAGCGTCGTCGCGGCGGCGGTGACGCCCTCCCGAGCACTTGGGCAGTTTTGTGCAACGTAAATACGTCAATACGTGAATGATCGCGCGTGTACAGTCACGCGACGCGCGACGCACCGCGGCAAGGCTGTTTGCGTGTGCGCGCGTCCGCTCCTTTCTCTCGAGCAGGTGCGATCTTCGTTTGCAATCGCTGTGAAATGTGACGGCGAAGATTAGAATAAAGCGTGGGATGGTTGCGAGTGTCAGTGCTGCTGCGTTTGTCTAGGTGTGTGTGTGTGTGTTTGTGTGTGTTCGTTGGCGCTCTTTCATTAGTATGCTTTTGTAGTCCTGCAAAAGCCGACACACGAGGCACTGGAGTTCCCCGCAGCATTTCTGTTGAGTCAGTGGCGTCGGTGAGGATGCGTTGGTGGCAGAGAAGCTCCTTCTCCTGCGACCTAGGCAACCGACCATTTGCCAAAGTTGTCGACACGTTTCGAAATTTTGCCTCAAAGTCACGGAAAAGGAAGGCAGTTTGAGTGCGTATCTGGTGTTATGGCCAGGCCGCTCGCTGCGCCATGCGCCACGACTCCGCCTGCTCCGCCCGGTTTCGCGGATAGTGCACGATAGTGCATCCAGGACGGCGACAAGACAGCGATGCTTTCCGAGCGAATCGCGCTCCCCGGCTCTCGCGTGCACTTTTTTGCGCAGACGAGCCCAAGCTGCCGCCCCGTAATCCGGTTGTTGCTCTGTGCTGCAGCAGAAACAGGTTTGGGACTCCTCCTCCTCCCACTCCACAAGTCGCCACGCCGCGCCGCCACGCCACGCCGCTACGCACAACGCCAAGGTCAAGATCGCCAAGATTGTGCTCCGAAAGGGGGGGGGGGAGGCTAAAAAAGGTGATGAGGCCGTTCACTCATCACACGCAGCGTCTAATACATTTTAATGGGCTGTGGACTCTAGGCTCCTCTAGGCTCCAGGACCCTGCCAGGACCCCGAGACCCGCGTCCGGAGCGTCCGGAGGACAAAGCGGCTTCACACCCGCACTACACGCGACTCCAGCGGCCAGGACGACGGGCAGGAAGAGACGGTCACGCCAACACGAGGAGAACAGGACCTGCCTTTCCCCCTTACACAGCGCAGGGAGTCTACCAATAAGCAGCAGCAGCCTGTGCGTCCCTTGTTTGGTTCACTGCTCTCCCGCGGCTCTGCCGAGCGATGTGTTTCGGTGATACAACACGCCGGCCTCCCTGATGCTCACCTTCGTGGAGCTCGTCGCCGACGAAGCCGGGCGGGGGCTGCTCCCGCAGCAGGCCGGAGACTCCGGGGACGCCGGGCAGGGGCAGGCCTGAGGGCAGGCCGGGCAGGGGCGCGAGTCCGGGGTGTCCGGGGGCGAGTCGGAGCCGCGGCACTGGGAAAAGGTCCCCGAGGACGACGCCGACCAGGCCGGCCAGCGCCGCCACGCACAGAGCCTGGCGCAACATGTTCCTTGTGTCCGTGGCCGCGTCCAGAGCCACACTGGACCCGGGCCGGTGGCTCCAGCCAACATATCCTGTGCACGGAGCCACCCCGCCCCCCGCCCCCCCCGCCCCGCCCCGCCCCCCCCCGCCCCGCCCCGCCCCGCCCCGCCCCGCAGCGCCGCGCCCCGTAGAGCCCCGTGACGTCCGCGGGGATCCCGAGGGAACCCCAGCGGGGCCTCGGGAGAGTCTGAAGAGTCACCGGCGAGATCGAAGATGCGTGATTTCTCTCCAACGGTGCTGCGAATCGGTCGCGGATAATCAACCTGGTCCTGGCGTGCCCTCGTTCTGGCACCGCCGACGACGTCATTTATCGGCGACCCCTTGGAATAGGGCGCGGCATCATCACGTTTTGTGTCTGACACACTGGCAAACAATGTCTGAGAGGAAAACGAGTTTCCAGTACAGTGCGGCTAATGGTACGTTTTGCTTCTGACCGACATAACTTTTCAAATGAAAACGAATTGCCTGTACAGTGGAAAAGTAGTATATTTCCATAGGTTGGCGATGTGGAAGAAAATGGCGTAGCATCTCGTGGTTTTATTTTATATTGGTAACATTTTTTCTTTTTTATTACAACATTTGCCAGCACTCGTCGCATATCTAGATCAGGCCAGAAAGCAGCGGGGAATTTCCAGACGGCCGAAGACGCGCCGGGCAGCTGCCAAACGCCGCGGTGCCAAAATGGGACAGTTAAAAACAAAAATAAAATAAAATCGTTTCTTTTGATTCGTCGTGTCGGAGAGCCGTCCCGCTCCGAGGCGTCACGATGCGATGCAAGTGCATCATCGCCACATTCGGAAGCACCAGCACAATGCGTGCACAGCACACAGGCAATCACACAGAGACACAGACACACACACAGACACACACACCGACTCCGACTCTCAGGCGTGGGCTGGTGCCTTGTTATGCACTTCTTCCATGACGTGACAAAAGAGAGGTCTACCTTCCCGGCACGGTGTAAAATGGTGACAAAAAAATTCAGCTCAGTTCCGTTTTTGGTGCAATGGCTCGAAGTCATTTTCTTTGTTGAGAAGACGCTATAGAGTTGCTCGAAGGTCCCTTCAGCTGTAAGAGTACGACCAAGTACGTTGTCACGGAGCCGAGGACCTGCGGAGTCAAACACAACACATAATAAAGTCATGAATCGATTAATCGATTAATCTTTTTAGCTTAATTTGGAAGGAGAAAGGGGGACTTCCAAGAGCCGAGATGAATCTTTGAAATACTAACTTCCGACCATTTACATCCCTGGAAAGCTCTGCTGCTGATCAAATAGTGGCGTCGGTAAGAGCGACTTACGTTGACGACCAGCGGCAGTTCGAGTTCGAACAAGCCGCACGCGCTGAAGGTGACGCGGTGGTGCATGAGCTGCATGGTGAACATCTCGAGCTGTGTGGTGAGAACAAAGACAAACGGTGAAACAAGAATTGGTCGGCGGGAATCGGTAAAGGTTGTTGAAAGCGCACACCTGTCTTCGGAGAGCACTGTTCGCCGGGATGTTGTTCATGAACATGCCGATCAGCGCCCCGGTGCGGTTGGCCTGCCGAACACCGCCAAATGGGACTCGAACCGAACGTGTGACCCCACCAATGGACTGCTCTCCGAACGAGGAATCCATTGGTGGGGTCACACGTTCGGTTCGAGTCCCGTTTGGCGACTCTGGAGCTCAAAACGCGTCTAGAGTTTTGTCCGCCTCCACGGGGCGACTGCTTGCCTCCTGCTTGGCCTTGGAGCAGGACCACACGAGCAGCAGCAGGCGGCTGAGGTGCGCGGCCAGCCAGAAGGCCTGCATGGCCACGTAGGAGCCGGAGAGCGGCGACGTCTTCAGGAGCAGCCCCGTGAAGAAGAAGTAGGCCGTGGCCACGAAGTGCAGCAGCAGGTTGAGCACGTCCACCAGAAGCACGGCGCCAAAGCGGTCCGTCAGGCTGAGCGAGCTCTCGCACAGCAGCGCGTGGGCGTCGTCCAGGTGCTGGATCTGGACGAGCACTGCCAGAACAAGGTGTTTCTATCCACACAGCAGCGCGAGGACGAGCACTGCCAACTGACGTCGTCCTTACTCGTTTGCGCGAAGTGGTCCTCGCCGCGGTCCTCGAAGGCCTCCCAGGCCGTGGCCTTGGACGACGCCCAGTGCACCTTGCGCGCGAGGTTCGATCGCAGCTCACCTGCAATAATCACTGCGAGCCCAGGGCCCAGGGCTTCAGGGCCCAGGCACAGTGACTAGCGGCCTAGCGCCTGCGGAACGCGGGGTAGGCCAGCCCGCCGTACTCCTCCGTCGTGCGGGCCGGCCCGCCCTCGTTACCATTACCATTAAGGGCTAGACCACACGTGATCGTCTGCCAAAGGCGCTTCACGTCGCTCTGCCTCTCTCGCGCCGCTACGGGATGCCCCGTGAGTGCGACAGAGACAGAGAGACCAAACTACTCGGAATCTGTAGCCTGCTGGCCCGTCGCTACCCCAGGCGGTGGAGACTCCGCGCGCGGGGTAGCGGCGCGGGGCGTGCCGTACCCAGCCGTACCCGTGCATACCTGGCTGCCGGCCCTGTCGGCGCCCCACTGCCTGCAGCGCGGACCACAGGCGCGCGTTCAGAGTGCGGAAACGCACGAACACGCTGTGGGCGTTGTCGGCGAACAGGGCCTCCATGAGGTAGGCGCTGAAGTAGTTGAGCAGGTTGGGCACGTAGAGCACGGCGAAGGAGGCCCCCGACTGCAGGACCACGTACAGCACGTCGAGCAGCCCCAGCAGCACCAGGGCCAGCAGCCAGGCCAGCAGCACGCGCGGCACGCGGGGGCAGTCACAGCGCAGCAGCCCGTCCACCTGTCTACCCAAATGCAGGCTCTCTCTCTCGCACCCGGCACGCCGCGACACGCCCATGGAGTGCGAGGGAGACAGCGACTCACCGTGTGCAGCTGCGTCACCCAGTCCACGACGGAGTGGCGGGAGAGGCAGGCCTGCGTGACGGCCACGCTGCTGCTCAGGGTGACCAGGAAGACGTCGCCCGCGCTCACGAAGCTGTCCGTCTTGGACACCAAGTGCACCCCGAGCTGCTGCAACAGCGCGGACGAGTGCAGCTCGTCGCCAACCCAGCCGGGACGCCCCCACGCTGGTGATGAGACGCGTCCGCCAGTACCTTGATGCTCCGCTCGTACAGCGCGAGGATGCTGAGGGGGATCATGACGACGAGCAGGCCCACGGAGTACGCCGTCCAGGCCAGGGAGGGCGGCAGCGCGTCCTTCGCGGGGCAACGGCAGCGCGGTCGGGCCTCGGCCTTGACGCCGTCCTTGACGCCGTCCTTGGCGTCCGAGGCCGCGGGGCACCGGCACCGCCCGAACGCCACCGGCATCAGCCCGAACAGCCTGCCCATCGGCCACAGCCTGCCGCCGCGACGTCCCCAGAACAAGGCGCTTTTAGTCGTTTTAGTGCACTCGCAGACACCGGCGCGGTTGCAGCAGGCGTTCCAGGCGCGGATACAGAGAGGGGGAAAGCCGCTTGGAAGGGCGGCAAAAAGAGAAGCTCCAGACAAAAAAAACCACTTGGTCGGCGACATCCTAGGAGCGGGCGCTTGTGGTGTTTTATCGGTTCATTGTATGTATACGAACTGCCGAAAAGACACTTGGACGAAATCCGACACCCCCTGTGGCTTTGGTACGGGTCTAAACACCCCAAAAACAGCTGTTTTCGAGGGTTTGGGACTAGATGGGTTCTCGCAAACCGAGATCCAAAAAAGTACCCAAATGGGTCTCAGATACTCAAAAAAATGCGCTCTTTCGAATGCCGTGTCGAACGAGGCTCTACGACGTCGGGTTTGGATGCTACGGGCTCTCAAAGTTGCTCAATTTCACTATTTTTACTGAAGATTTGGGCATATCAGGGCCGTTTGAAGTAGACCATCGGCGATTTCGCTCCTCTTTGTCTCAAATGGTGCCTACCCATAGGTAAACACCCCCACAAAATTTCAGCCATGTCAGGCAATTATTAGAGGAACTGTGAACAATTTACGTTTTGGGTCATTTTAACACTGGGCTTAGGTGGTTTTGGGTCCAGAAAAAAAATATTTTTTTTAGCTATCTACTTTTGATCAGCACCTCTTGAAACGCCTTTTTAACATGGTGCCTCAAAACTTTTTTTTCGAGGACAAACTTGTCTTTTTCTAGCTGTAATTAAAACATAACTTGGAGAAAAAGACAAGTTTGTCCTCGAAAAAAAAGTTTTGAGGCACCATGTTAAAAAGGCGTTTCAAGAGGTGCTGATCAAAAGTAGATAGCTAAAAAAAATATTTTTTTTCTGGACCCAAAACCACCTAAGCCCAGTGGTAAAATGACCCAAAACGTAAATTGTTCACAGTTCCTCTAATAATTGCCTGACATGGCTGAAATTTTGTGGGGGTGTTTACCTATGGGTAGGCACCATTTGAGACAAAGAGGAGCGAAATCGCCGATGGTCTACTTCAAACGGCCCTGATATACCCAAATCTTCAGTAAAAATAGTGAAATTGAGCAACTTTGAGAGCCCGTAGCATCCAAACCCGACGTCGTAGAGCTTCGTTCGACACGGCATTCGAAAGAGCGCATTTTTTGAGTATCTGAGACCCATTTGGGTACTTTTTTGGATCTCGGTTTGCGAGAACCCATCTAGTCCCAAACCCTCGAAAACAGCTGTTTTTGGGGTGTTTAGACCCGTACCAAAGCCACAGGGGGTGTCGGATTTCGTCCAAGTGTCTTTTCGGCAGTTCGTATACATACAATGAACCGATAAAACACCACAAGCGCCCGCTCCTAGGATGTCGCCGACCAAGTGGTTTTTTTTGTCTGGAGCTTCTCAAAGTAACCCTTTCCCCCTGTAAGCAGTCAACTTTTGCTAACCCTCCTCCCTCTCTGAACCCGCCTCTGGATCCGCCCTTGGAGACCGTCTGGCACCGACCAGGTCACTTTCCGGTGCACCACGTCCATGACGGCGGCCTGGGGGGCCTGGGCGGCCTGGAGCCTCGACTGGGACGTGGGCAACCACGGGCCGCCCTGTGCTTGCCGTGCGTTCGCGGCACCCTGACCCTTAGCCTTCGTTTGGCTTCTGGCCTCACCACCCCCACCCCCCACTCCGAGGTGCGTCGGTCCGTCTCCCTCGCACCCTGACGGGACGCCCCTTGAGTGCGAGAGAGACACCAGCGGCGCAGCGTGGCCCCGTCCACGGCTGACAGACACCAATTTCCGCCTCATTCTGGCGCCTGTCCATTTTCTGATTGAGCGAACAGACAGTCGTTGGCGGGACTCGTCAAGGCCCCCACCCCCTCCCCCAATCATCCTGTTGTTTCGTTTCTTAAAAAGAGGCATACTTCGACCAAATGTGAGCGACACAATAATGACAGTCCAGACTTAGGTAAGGTTAGGTCATTTTAATTAATACAGAGAGTACAAAGCCAATTGACAATGACTTTCTCAGGACTAGAGATCACACAGTAACGAGTTTGTCATTAAATGATAATGGCATGACTTAAACGTTGACTATTTCTCCAAGTAAATTCGGCAGTCGTTTTTTTTTTCTTAAAAAAAATTTCTGCACGTCAGAATATTAAAAATAACTTAAAGATAATGGGTCTAGAAAATATCACAACACAGAGACTTAGATCCGCATCCTGTTCTCCTTGATGTCGGCCAGGATGGCGTCCGTGAGGGGAACGTAGGTCGTCGTCCTGGAGTCGAACACGAAGATGGGGTCGTCGTTGGTGACGGCGTCGAATCCTTCCTTCTGCAGCGGCACTTTGCTCACCTAAAGAAAATCAGGGCAAAAAATTAAAATATCACATAGAAGGGAAGTTGTTCCAGAGCTAGACAAGGCACAGTGGGCCAGAAGACCCGGCGCAGGCGGCCAAAATTATAGACGCGTTTTGAGCTCCAGAGTCGCTAAATGAGACTCGAACCAAACGTGACCCCACTAATGGACTAGGCTCTCCGCAGGAGGAATCGATTGGTGGCGTCACACGTTCGGTTCGAGTCTGTTTAGCGACTCTGGAGCTCAAAACGCATCTAGGGTTTTGGCCGTCTCCACCGGTCTTCTTCCCCACTGTGCAAGGGTAAGCTCAAACGTTGACAAAATTCTTTAGTGACTTTACCTTGTGCGTGCCGGTCATGGGCAGGGACGTGCAGAGGCGCACGAACAAGGGCCTGGCGTACGACGGCAGCTTCCTGGACAGCTGCTTGGCGAGGACGTCCAGGTCGGCGCGGCGCTCCGGGTCGGCGAGGGCCGCCATGCCGGGGCGGCCTTCGTGGCCGGGCACCCTGACGCCGTACGCCGCCAGCTCGCGCACCCCGAAGGGCAGCAGCACGCCCGTCATGACCGTTTCCACCTCGGCCGTGGAAACGTTCTCGCCCTTCCAGCGGTACGTGTCGCCGATCCGGTCCTTGAAGTACATGTACCCATACTCGTCCATCACGGCCACGTCCCCTGGGGGCAAAGGAAGGAGTCAGCGACTGGTCGACAGTGGGCCAGAAGACCGGTGGAGGCGGCCAAAATCCCGGACGCGTTTTGAGCTCTAGTGTCGAACCGAACGAGTGACCCCACCGGATTGCTCTCCGAACGGGGAATCCATTGGTGGGGTCACACGATCGGTTCGAGTCCTGTTTAGCGACTCCGGAGCTCCAAACGCGTCAGGACTTTTGGCCCTCCGTACAGTGCACTCACCGCTGAGGAAGTAGCGGTCGCCCTGGCTGAACACGTCCCGGCCCACCTTCTTGTCCGTGGCCTTGCGGTCCAGGTAGCCCCGGAACTCGGTCGTCTTGAAGCGGTCCTGGATCCTGCCCACGATCATGCCGGGCTCGCCTGTGGGTTGGACGCACACAGAGGGATGAAGATCGACCACACCGAGTTGTCGCTCTGCCCCAGTGAGTACCAGAGCACCTACCGGGCTTGCAGCGGAGGCAGAGTCCTGAGACGTCATCTCGGATGAGCTCGCCAGAGTCCTCGTCCACCCTGACCAGGTCCACGGGCCACAGGGAGCGGGGCAGCACGCAGGGCATGAAGCCGATGGAACCGATTTTGCCCTCAAGGTTGGCTGCAAACAGTCACCACGTCAAAACTCTGTATTCGCATGTCGATAGCTCGCTGCGCACAGTGGGCGAGAAGACCGGTGGACAAACTCTAGACGGGTTTTGAGCTGCAGAGTCGCTAAATGGGACTCGAACCGAGCCTGTGACCCCACCAATGGATTTCTTGCTCGGAGAGCAGTCCATTGATGGGGTCACGCGTTCGGTTCGAGTCGGTTCGAGTCTCATTCAGCGACTCTGGAGCTCAAAACGCGTCTAGAGTTTTGGCCGCCTCCGCCGGTCTTCTGGCCCACTGTGCTGCGGGTCCGCACACTGCGCACACTCACTCAGCATGAAGTTGCCCTCGGTGGAGCCGTAGAACTCGAACACGTCCTTGACGCCGAACTTGTCCTGCACGGACTTCCAGACGCCGGGGGACATGCCGTTGCCGACCAGGGCGCGGACGCCGTGCTGCCGGTCGTGCGGGGAGGCGGGGGCCAGCACCAGGAAGCGGCAGATCTCGCCGATGTACTGGGCGCAGGTGGCGCCGTGCCGCGCGCAGTCGGCCCAGTACTTGGAGGCCGAGAACTTGGGGGCGAAGGCCACGGGCACGCCGTGGATGAGGGCCAGGCTGCAGGCGTACGCGCCGGCCGCGGCGTGGTACATGGGCAGCGCGCAGTACAGCAGGTCCTTGCCGGGCGTCATGCCCGCCTGCAGCATGCAGCCCAGCGCCCAGAACTGCAGGCGGAAGTGCGAGATGACGGCGGCCTTGGGCAGCCCCGTGGTGCCCGACGTGTAGATGTACATGAGGGGGTCCTTGGGGCCGGGCGGCCGCGCCGCCACGGGGTTGTCCACGCTCTGAGCGTCCAGCATCGGCACCACGTCGGAGAACCAGTCGGCGGCGGGCGGGCAGCCCACGCCGTCGCTGAGGCGCAGGTACCTGGAGACGGCGGGCAGGTTGTCGCGGACCTCGCTGACGGCGTCCTCGTACTCGACGCCGAACAGCACCACCTTGGCCTTGGCCACGTTGATGGTGTGCGTGAGCGGCGAGTCGCGCAGGTTGCGGTTGATGAGGGCCGTGACGGCGCCCAGCTTGGCCAGCCCCAGCCACACGCAGATGTACTCGATGCGGTTCGACTCGATGAGCGCCACCACGTCGCCGTGCCCCACGCCCAGCGCCTGGAACGCGCGCGCCACGCGGTTGCTGTACTCGTTCACCTGCCGAGCGAAAGAGGGAGGCGTTAAGCACCACAATTCGTCCGTGGACCAAAGGAACAGGGTGCATTTTGACCCCTCCTATCCCCCTGGCCCGGGCGATGACGCAACACACGCCGCTGCTGGTGGACCGCGCACGCTGACAGAGTCCCTCCCCTCCGGCCTCCGCTTGTTTGAACGGCCGATGGGCCGATGGGGTTGATAATGAAAATAAAGCGGTCATTGGACCGGGCCGCAGAGTACACTGGCAAGACAAAGGCATCAACATCATGCCGTTTCAGGCGGCATTTCAAAGCCATTCGCCAAAATTTACTTTGCTTTGGAAAAGCGCAAACGAAAAATAGGTTTTCTACATAAAATAAGTGTCTTTCCGGAAGGGCTTAAAAAATTGATGCCGATTGATAGGCTGAAATTTTTGTGCCACAGAGAACGACTAGACGTCTACTGTCGTCGTCTGACTCACCTCGCGGTACGTCCAGGTCCTGTCCTCGAACTTGAAGCACGTCTTGTCGGCCCAGTTGCGCGCGTTCTCCTCGGCCGCGGTGACCGCCGTGGCGCCGCTGGCCTCGAACTTTCGGGCCATCCGCAACGCCTTCCAGTACACGCGCAGCATCCTGCAACCGCCAAACCAGCCAAACGTCAACGAGGTCAACCACTGACCGCCACACTGGACAGCGCGTCGACGGCCGCGGAGGAGCACTCACTTGTAGTCCCTGGGCAGCATCTTGACGGCGGCGAGGAGCGCGCGCCGGTGCCGCAGCACCACGGTGGCCAGGAAGGCGGCCAGGACGACGAGCAGGCGGATCCAGACCGGCGCGTCTGCCGGCCCCACCAGCCAGTTGCCCAGCACCGTCACCGCCACGAAGGCGGCGGCGGCCTTGCTCTGCCACAGCAGCTCCATGTTGGCGTCGACGGCCTCCTCAGGGTGGAGACGCTCTTCTTGCTGTTGGCGGCGTGCTTGCAGTGCTGTGCTCAAGGCGCCGTGTCCGTGACTAACCTCCGTGGCGCGTCGCTCGCCAGCTAAAAGACGACTACGCTGTCTGGGGTCAGGGTGACGGCTGGAGCTGAGCAGAGCGAGTGAGAGAGACAATAACAACAGCAGTGCCGCCCTTTGGTCTGGACCCGGCGCACCGCGCCACGCGACCGGCAGACTGGTTCCGGAGAGTCGCTTATCTTCGTCTCTGTCGCACTCATGGGGCGTACAAGGCGTACAGTGGAGTAGCGAGAGAGACGGGTCGATGATCGCTCGGTAGACACGGCTGTAGACTGCGCCAGTCATGGACCAGCCCGAGGGAAGCCCCTTGTTTTGTCAGCCCAGGCTTTTGGTTTCTTTTTCGTGGAAATGTCTAAGCAATTCGTGTTATTCGGACCATCGAGTTAATATTAATCGGTTCTTTTCAGAATGTTTAAACAGTGTTATCGTCAACTTTAGCGCATTTTCCCCTACGGTTTTGTTCCGGCGGGTGTCAACGCCACCAGTCGCCACGCGGCATGCATGCCCTGTGCATGCCCGGCATGTCGCGTTATCTCAGAGCCGCCCTAGAAAGGTCCAAGCCAAACGCCGCCTGCATCTCCAAACCGAATGAGTGTCAGCCAACCATGCAACCAACGCAGATGCACCGAATCGTTTTTATGTTTTGCTCCGCGTCCTCGCGATGGTGGGGGGCAGGCTTTTTCCTCTCTCCCTCTCTCTCTTCTTCTTCCCGCTGACTCGTGGAAATGAAGGCACGCAAACAATGAGTGGCGCGATGAGAAAGGAAAGCCGGTGTCCCACTGTATAACCACCCCCTTCCCCCACTAAGGGTGGCAGTGAGAAGGTGCGCTAACAATAGTGGCGCGAGGTCCCATTCTGGTGCAAGGTTCTCGGAAGCGAACCGATTTCCGATTCCCGCCGGGTGTTTACAGTCCGTATCAGTGCGGCTGATCTGCCCGTCATCGAGGGGCAGGACGGCGACGGCGGGGCCCCGAGCCGCGCCGAGCGTGGTGCTTCGACCGACTTTAGAACCGAGACGAGTCAAAATAAAGTCGCCAGCGAGGAAACTCCCGAGTCATTCCGCTTTCGCGATGCATGTAAAGCGGCACACGGCGGCACACTGCCGCCGTCGAGGTTGGCAACCCTGCCGCCCCGGGTGTCGCGATGAGTACAGGTTGCCACCCGCGGCACTCATTTACCGCACGTGGGCCTCTAATAATTTATCGAGCCCCGAGACCCCTTACAGCAAACGGGCCTGAGGGCCCACTAGAGTCAAACTGTCAGTGAAGTATCGAGTTGAGAGTTTTCTGAGGTTCGGCCCGGGCCGGCGAGGGTGACAGTCAATCGAATGAGGGCGAGGGCGAGGCGAGGGCGGCGCGCTGTCCGTGTCCGTGCGGTCTGTGGCTCGCCACCGTCATCGCGCGCTCAAATTCGAAATTGGACACGCGTCGAAATGTGAGCGGGTTGGTCGCAAGCGTGCGGCTCAGGGCCTCTTCCAGTCTTAGCTGGGAGACATGAGGTCGGGTCCGGTGGTGCTGGCGCTCCTCGTAGTCATGACCATCGTCATAGTCGAAGCCCCGCCGCCCGTGCCGCAGGCCCCCAGCCCCAACCCGCAGCAGGTCGCCAACCTGGTGATGGACTTCGTGTCCGCGTACATGACCGTAAGTGTTGGAGTCCTGAGTCCTCATGACGCTGAGCGGTTTCAATTTGAAAATTGGAGGTTTGGCTCGCGGCAGGACAGCCGGCTGCTGACGGTGGTGGGTGACGCGCCGTGGCTGCCCGCGCTGCTGCGCCAGATGAGCGCCGCCCTCTCCTCCATGCCCCCCGTGCGGCTCCTGCGCGTCGGCGGGCGCGACAACCCCCAGGCCGACGACTCCGAGGAAGACGAGGGCGAAGGCGCCCCGGAGTTCGTGGGCTGGATGGCGGCCCACATCCTGGTGATCGTGGACCGGCCCACGTTCACGGACGTCATCGACGGGTTGAAGTGGCTCTCGCCGCCGTCGCAGCACCACCCCGTGCTGCTCCTCATGCTTGCCGAGCACACGGTGCGAAGCGCTCTGTCTCTCTCGCCCAGCCGGGGCTCCCCATGAGTGCGAGAGAGACAGAGCGAATCATTGGGCGGTGTGTCTCAAGGCGAGGCTCAGCAACAGCGAGGCGCAGCAGATGCTGATGGCGGGGGTGATTGAGGGGCACTGGCACACCGCCATCCTGGAGCTGTCCGGTGTCGTGGTGGGCTTCATCCCGTACCGCGGCGGCTGCGCGGTGATTGCGCCGACACAGCTCGCGTCCTGGCGGCAGGGCCGCGGCCTCGGCCGAGGCTTCCCCGCGGGGCCCATCTTCGTCGACCTCAAGCGGTGAGCAAAGACAGTGCTCCGATGCACAGTGGGCCAGAAGAACGATGGAGGCGGCCAAAATTCTAGACCCGTCTTGAGCTCCAGAGTCGCTCCCGAACGTGTGACCCCACCAATAGATTCCTCGTTCAGAGAGCAATCCATTGGTGAGGTCACACGTTCGGTTTGAGTTCCATTTAGCGTCTAGATTTTTGGCCGCCTCCACCGGTCTTCTGGCCCACTGCGTGATGCACCAAAGGGTTGACTGCCTCAGCCTGCTTCTCGGCCTCCTCCAGGGTCACGCTCCAGGGCTGCCCGCTGCTCACGTCCTTCTTCGAGATGCCGCCCAACGTCAAGGTGCTCCGCGACAACGGCACGTTGCGCATCGTCGGCTTCACCGGCCAGGTCATGGACGCCATGGCCGCCGTGCTCAACACCTCCTTCATCTTGCACGTGGGCAAGAGCGGCTTCGGGAAGTTCCGGGGCGTCATGCTTCCCGGGCAGCTCGGCGAGACGGCCAGGGTGAGGCGGCGGAACCTTGGCGGAACAGGCAAGCACCAGAGTCGAAAGGGTTGGCAAGGGTTGCACTACTTGCAGGGCAGCACGGACGTGACGGTGGGGCCGATCACGGGCCTGGCGGAGCGCACCGCCGTGCTGGAGTGGACCAACATGCCGCTGACGGAGTGCTACGCCTGGGTGGGTACACTGGTGGTGAGATGGCCCTGCATGGCCGCAACGAGTCGCCCTGATGCCCGTCTTAGTACGTGCCCTACGACATCGGATACCCGGAGCGCGCCGGGCTGTACGGGGTCATCAACAGCTTCACGTGGCACATGTGGGCGCTGCTGGCGGTCGCCGTCGTCTGCACCGCGTTCACCATCGAGGTGCTCGTCGGTCTGCTCGTCGGTCCGGGACGAGGCGTGACGCTGGGCCGCGTGTCGTGGGCCGCGGCCTGCGTGCTGGTGACGCAGACACCCGCCCTGCGCCTGCCCGCCGCCTCCTTCCCCGCCAGGATGGTGTTCGGGGCGTGGCTGCTGACCGGGCTCGTCGTCAGCGCGGCCTATCAGGTAAGCCCTCGTGGAGTGAGCCGTCGCGGTGCGAGAGAGACAGCCTGACCGTTGCCGGCGTTGCCCCCTGCCCAAGGCTAAGCTGTGGAGCATCATGTCGCGAGACGACCGCGTCGGCCTCCGGACGCTGCAGGAACTCGTGGACACGGGGCTGCCCGTCGAACTGCCGACGCTCATCGCCGACGACCTAGTCTTCTTGGCCAAGTCCAACGACACGTTCCAGACGCTCTTGAGTCGCGCCACCTTCCAGATGAGCCTTCCGGACACCATCCGGGAGAACCTCGACGGCATCGAGAAGATCATCCTCCAGGACGAGAGCCTCGCCGTCTACGTGGCGTCGCTGCGCCACCCAGGTGAGGCTCGGTAGACGCTGGCCGCCTCCATCGGGGTCCTCACCGTTCCCGTTGTTTCCAGACGGCACGCTGCCCGCCATGTACCGCGTGCCGGGCTGCTTCACGAGCTACATCGGCAACTACTTCGCCGTCCGGAAGGGCTCCCCGCTGCTGGGCCGCCTGGACACGGTGTGGAAGCGCCTGTACCAAGCCGGCATCCTCCGGTTCCTGCTCAAGGACAACGAGCGCCTCGTCAAGGCCATGTCAGCCAAGCCGATCCGGACGTAAGCCGCCAACGCACAGTGGATTTGCCAGAAGACCGGTGGAGGCGGCCTAAATTCTAGACGCGTTTTGAGCTCCTGAGTCGCTAAACGGGACTCGAACCGAACGTGTGACCCCACCAATGGATTCCTCGTTCGGAGAGCAATCCATTGGTGGGGTCACACGTTCGGCTCGAGCCCCATTTCAGCGACTCTGGAGCTCAAAACGCGTCTTGAGTTTTGGCCGCCTCCACCGGTCTTCTGGCAAATCCACTGCGCCACGCCCGCTGCTGCAGTGCTGCAGCCTCGTGGACCCCGCGACAGTGACCTCACTGAAAGGTCGGCCTTCCCCCAGCAAGGGTCGCAAGCTCGGCGTCCACGACCTGCAGGGCTGCTTCCTGGTGCTGGCCGGCGGCCTGACCCTGGCGCTGAGCGCGTTCCTGGCCGAGCACGTCGCCGTCAACTTCGTGCCGCTGCGTACCTGCCCGAGGAAATTGAGGACCCTGCGACGAGGGCGAGCCCAAGGGCGAGCCCAAGGGCGAGCCCGCAGGCCGCACTGGCTGTTCAAATTCAAGCGTCGGTGGGGCGCAGCCACGGCCGAAAGGAACAGATTTTTTAATAAACTTCAAGAAAAATAATTATTCCATCTGCCTGACATTTATTTTAATCAACTGTTTCCTTTTTGCAAAAAAATGTAACTATTCACAAAAATATTGAAAGTTAATACGATTTCTTCCACTTTGTAATGGAAAAGTCCGTGGAAAATCACATAAAATATTTGGGCATGGAAAGCAGCTTACACACAAGATTTAAAATTTGCCAATTTTTTTTTTTTAATTTCATCTTGCATTTTTCTTGACAGGAACCTGCTGAAGGTAGAAAAGGTCATTGTTATTAAACAATAAACAACCAAGTGGCAATTTTACAAGGTAGGAGAATGCACTTACAGTTTTTGAATAGAGGTGAGGATCTTGCCCCAGCATTTTTTCTCGGATGAGCCATCGGAGCTCAGCTCGAGAATCTTCACCAGGACATTTGTGTTTGGCCCAGAAAGACTGATAGTGATGGTACAACTTGACAGGATCATGGGGAGCTGGCTTTTGGGAACCTGATTGCATTTCTTGAAGTTTCCGAGAGCGGATGACTATAGAAAAAACATTGGAAGTCTTTAAAATGTTAATATAAACGTTTGAAAGCCACCTAATCTGTTAAATAAAGACTTACAGGATGTTTTGGGCTTTACAATCTCCTCCAAAGTTTGCCCACTGTTCGATTTAGTTCTCTCTCTTCGTGGAGGCAGATTTTCTTTTTGAGTAAGTTTTTGTGATAAAGACGAAGATGAGAAAGAACTCCTTTTGAATGTACTCCCTAAAATAAGAAGGTATGAAATTAGGCACTATAAGCAAAGATTAAATCTCTCAAACAAAAAATTGTTTTTTAAAAATCCTTTAAACTTACTTGAAGACGCAGGCAATGCAGGTTTGGAGCTAGCACGGCAAACTAAATTTTCATATCTTCCATGTTGTCCAGGTGGATATAATCTATTGCTTTCTAACTGTCTGATTGCCTCTCCAGATGAGTCGGACAGAGTTTCATAAGATGAAAAATAATCAGATTCAGAGCTTGTTGATGTAGATAGAGATGACGATGACCCTGAGCTTGAGCTCAGTTGATCGTAAACAATCAACTTTTTTAGATCTAAAACAGAAATGACACAGAATCTGAACATAAAAAAACTAAAAGCGTTTAATTCACAGTTTCTTATCTGAACTAGACAATAACAGAAAATCAGAATTAGCCTTTACCTATTACGAATTCTTTTAGTTGGAGAGGTGTAATATTGTGGTATCCCATGTCACGTAAGTGTGACAGTACTTCAGCAGGGTTTAATTTATCAACCAAATCCATTTTGATGGAGAAAAAACAAAACGTATGACTCCAATATTATGAACAATGGACTTAATCACACAAAGTTGTCCGAATGTACCCCTTGAATTTTCAAAACAAACAATCACATATACACCGACGATGTCAAACTATACCCTTCCGAACACAAGATTCGATCTGTCACTGAATCGGGAAACACTTGCCGAGATGCCAATAAGTTTTAGACAAGGTTGTCAGTCTCAAAATGACGTTTGACTCCAAATCGTGCGGTTATATTTCAAATTTGCTCCGACTTTGTGGAGATACGACCGGATGTTAACGTCGAGCTAGACGCTCACGCCCTCTGGTGGGTGTTTTCTACATTCAAGGTCAAGAGAACTACACTTTTATTTCTTTCAGAAACCGTGCGACCTAAAGATACCAACGTAATTAGTCACGGAAAATTGAAATTATAATAAATGTTTCAATTTAATCAGTTGTCAGTGAGAAATTAATATCTTGGATATCCAGACCACTTAGACCCATTTTTCTTAGCCTCATGAAAACCACTTGTACACAGAAGCAGACAGAAGTCCAATCCTCGTAGATCTTACTGGGATGTGAGAAAAGACTTGCCATCTTCCTTAAGAAAATTTAAATTCACCATGAGGGCTGAAATGGCACACAGTCGTTGACACGGACTTGGCAGTGTAGTTTCCGGCGCGGGCTGGTTTCCGGGTTGTCGTTGGAGGTGGTACACATGACGACTACTGCTTGCAAAATTTTCTTTTATTGTTCGTTTTATTCTACAATTTATCTTTTAACTATTTGCTGAAGCAGACCCTGCACATTTCCTTCATCACCATGGCAGACCTCGACGATTTCTTTGCTAAAAAGGACCGTAAGAAGTCAAAAGGAGGCAAGAAGTTCACGACGACCGAAGAATTAGCCAAAAAATTAGAGGAAACTCATCGACGTGAAAAGGAAAAAGTTAAGGAAAACAAGAAGCTCTTGTCGTCTCAAAACGTGGATGGCGATGGAGAACCAGGCAGCGAAAGGAAGGTGGGTAAATTTCAATTAATGGGCCATATGGATTTCGACTATCGGCCATATTGAATGTCATGTTCAATATTTTCTCATTTTTCTCCCAAATTTGTCCAATTTGAATGATAGTTTTCTACTTTCTTGTTTCTTTACATTTTTGTTCAAGTCAAATTGGGTGCCTTATGTCAAATTTTGGTGAAATGAGGGTGTGAACCGGGTTGCATTTAGGTTATAATGGCCTGTAGACTTTTGATATCTTCATGTCGTCTCTTCTCAATTCATCTTGCACCTTGCATCATGTAACTTCAAAATTTTTATTTCTTACCATTGTGTTATTCCATGAGTGATTACGTCATTTAATGTCACCGGTTTTAGTATCTTATGTCACAGCTTGACATCTATACATGCCAAGGCTACCGGGTCTAAATATATTTTCATACCCATGTTTGATGATGCCTTATTGTCGCTGCATTTAATCATTGTTGCTTTTACTCTTGCAGGAGGAAGATGAGTGGAAGGACTTTGAAGAAGAAAAGAAGGATTACACAAATTTGAAAATTCAAAATCTCCAGATTAGCGAAACAGCCAATGCCGATAATGGCGACGGTGATGATGATGAAAACGAGATGGTGGAAAATGAGGACGGTGTCATGGTATCACGCAAAAAGCAACCTTCTGGACCATGGATGAGTGTTCCCCAGGCACCTCAACCTGAAGAGCCTGTTAGAGGTTTGTGTAGTTATATTATATTTTGTACTTGACTGTTCTGTTAGTGTTGGATTTTAATTCTTGTATTGCTTTTTTCAATTGTAGAGGAAATCAGATCCCAGCCACCTCCACCCACAGATGGTGGTGGCGGCGGCGGCAAGTCGGGCTATATTCCGCCCCATCTCCGCAATGCCCCCTCACATTATGCACCTGCTACCAGTTTCTCTCCTTCGCCAAGCAGCTACTCCTCTCCAAACAGCTACTCCTCATCCATGCATCATCAACCATTATCTAGTAGGTGACCTTTTCCAATGTTACGGCCAGCTATATACGTTTTTTGGAAGTTGTTTCTTCAGTATACCTTTTGTTTCCAGGCTCACGATTTAAAAGTAGAGCTGCTCCTGATATCACAAATGAAGCTTACTTCCCTACCCTCTCTGCTGCCAACAATGACACACCCAACACAGCCTGGGGAAGGAGGTAAGGACTGAGTGAAAGACTTGTAACAACTGCAAATATCCTTCAGTCTCCAGAATATTTAAATGAGCTTTCTTTGTTCCAGACGAGAAGATGGAAGAGGATTTGAAGAAGTGCGGAACGCCAGAACCAACACTTCAACTTATAATCCGAAAATGGCTTCCTCAGGTCAAGGTCCTAATTTGTCTCTTGGCAATAAATGGGATGCTCTCCGGGACCAAAGCTGAAAGCAGCAAACTGCCGCTGAGCAGAGCAAAGTGAGAGTTGTACGCCACCAAGTTAGACAGGCTCCTGTGGCACCCATCGTGTCTGTGCTGAACAGCTCAAGACTTTGTGTTATGTGAAATAAGTGATAACTAAGAGAGACCTAAGTGATTGAAGCAAGACACAGCCTTCAACCCGGCAACCTGCCTCAGTGTAACAAGTTTTTTTTTTTTTTCAAAACAAAATACGATAGGTTTTGGCAGGAGTGTGTGTGGCATTAGGCATTGACATCACAAGTGCCATTCACTGAACTCAATCTTCACCATATGGGTATTGTATAAATATTAATCTCTGATAAGAACCTTGTGTGCTTCTATTTCCATTTATTTTTGGATGGATATGATGTGTAACGACACCAAATAGGCTGGTTCCGTTTCAGGTTGTACTGAATTATGTAAAAATTAATACATGTTTGACATGTGTTGTATATCCAGTCTAACTTGCATTTTAAACTTTCCTTTTTTTAATTATGTATTTAAATTAATCTTGTGAGAGTCAACATTGCCTCTGGTCAAATCTTTTCTACACAAGCTATATCTCAGAGCTGTGAAAATGTGAATATGTTAATTTATCCAATGTGGAATATTAAAAGCAGTGATACTGCTCGCAGGCTGTGGTTTTTCTCTGCGCCGCTTACACTTTTTTTTTTTTGTAAAATGGTATTATTGACTGGTGCTGCTAGGCCCCATACAACAGGGGTGTAAAATGAAAGCCACAGTTTATTATTGTTATTTTTGAAGGCCCCTAATGTTATATTTCTGAAGTCAAACATTCACGAGCTATGGGCTGGGGATTGATGTTTTCTTTCCTCTACGTTCCCTATTTATAGAACATTATTTTTGGTGTGTAGATGGTGCGGTGAAGAATGATGGAATGAGTAGCAAAACCAGACTTGAGTGGCAAAATAAAGAAGTTGGTTCTTGGTTAAAATTTGTGTTTCTTTGCTCACAAGTGGAGTCTATTCCTAGAGTTCAATTTATCAACTACTGTCAGTGAGTAGGATATAAATTTTACTTCCAAGTAAAGGTGTGAATGGGTTCCAAGTGTGTAAAATAATTCGCATTAAATTCAGCTTCTCAGTGTGGCAAGAAAATGGTCACAGGCTATCAACTTGACGAATTTAAGTTAACTCCAGTCTGCTTCTGTAAAATAATCTTTGGATTAGCACTAAATTTATCTTAAAGTATGAATTTTGGAACACACATTCCAATTAATTTTGTATGAGAATATTAGGGTTAGTCAAGGAAACTTAGTAGGTAAAGAAATCAAAAGATGTTTATTTAAAAAGACTAGTTGAAACATGACAAACTCCCTGATAATGATGGACACCAGGGCCCTCATAGCCATGCTTATAAAAAATAAACTTTAAAATGGAAAATAATGCAGGGCAAACGATGGCAGTCCTCCAAATTCTACATGCATTATCCCTAAAACAAGGAAAAGCAGCAGACTTTCTAACAACGAGCACTTTTCCGAGCAGTTAACATGTCTGGAACAATATGGCACAATTTAAAATATTTAACAGTTATAAAACAGATAAATTAATTTGTGCTGAGCACATTTTGAAACATTGTAACACTTAAAATATAAACCAAACAATATATATGTGATGATCATTTAACAGTATATGTACATACAAATTGAAATTGACTTTCTAATGGCACTCTTAATGCAAGCATACAAATTCAAACTTGGACAAGTTACTTTTGGCAGTAAATGGAGTTCATAGCCAAGAGTAAAAGTCATTACAATGACATGATATAAAAGTTTGAAATTGAATTTAAAATTAGGAAAAGATCACATGGCACAAATTTGGCACTAAAAGTTTTCTAGCACAAGACAAAAAGAAATGACTGGAAATTGCCTGGCTTAAAGCCATGCCACATTTTATGCTGACATTGTGCTTGAGTATTAATCGAGGAACACTTGATGGCAGTCTTGCTCTACTTGGTTTCGTCATCTCGTGGTTCATGAGGAGCAGGCAACTTCTCCCATGATGGCTCACAACCCCAGATTTCCCTCGCATACTCCGCGATGGTCCTGTCACTTGAGAACTTGCCAGATGAGGCAATGTTCATGATGGCCATTTCAGCCCACTTGGACTGGTTCTGCAACAAACAACAAACGTTATAAAACAATACAAAGATAAATGAAACATGAAAAACAAAACAGGAAAACAAGTACCTGGTAACATTCAGCCACCTTGTCCTGGCACTTAATGTAGTCTTCATAATCAGCAAACAGATAGAACCTGTTTAGGAAAATAGAAGGGTTAACACAGGATAAAAGCTTATACTTGCTGAGAGGTAGAATAAATTATCCACCAACTCAAGCCAATGCTGAGTAGCACTCATATTTCAGCAATTTCCCAGGGAAGTGTCTACACACCTGTCATACTTCAGAAGAACATCTGCCACATCACGGAAGGAGTCTGGGTTTCCAGGAGAGAAGAAACCATTCTGGATTTGATCCACACACTGTCGGAGCTCGGGAATGCGGTTGTAGTAATCATAGGCATTGTATCCACGCTTCTGCAGAGCCTCAACTTCATCGACAGTCATACCGAAGATAAAGATGTTGTCATTGCCCATCTCCTCAGCCATCTCAACATTGGCTCCATCCAATGTACCCACAGTGAGGGCACCGTTCAACTGCAAAAGAAATGAACTTTAGGCACCCCCCAAAAAAAGCATTCATGATTATAGCACAGCTTGACAATAGTAACTTACCATGAACTTCATGTTTCCAGTGCCTGATGCCTCAGTACCAGCAGTAGAGATCTGTTCACTAAGGTCAGCAGCAGGGATAATGCGCTCAGCCAGAGTGACACGGTAGTTTTCCAAGAAAATAACCTTGAGGCGATCACCCACAATGGGGTCGTTGTTCACAACATTGGCAACAGCGCAAATGAGGCGAATTATGCTCTTAGCCATGTAATAACCAGGAGCAGCCTAGAAAGAAGAGGGGAGGTCAGTAAACTGGTGAAGAGACCAGTTGGAAAGTAACAAAAATTGAAACAAAACCTACCTTGCCACCAATCATGACAGTTCTGGGGACAAACTTGGCCTGAGGGTTCTGCTTGATGCGGTTGTACAATGTGATGATGTGCAGGCAGTTCAGAAGCTGGCGTTTGTACTCATGGATACGTTTCACCTGTTGAATGCGAAAAAGCGTTAGTTCAAACTCTACCACTGACAAATTACATTTGAAGTTGGAAAGAAATGAACCTGAATGTCGAAGATGGACGCAACATTGATCTTGACACCATAATCCTTTTCCAGGATGGCTGCCAGTCTCAGCTTGTTCTCCTGCTTTACTTTCATGACAGCACGCTGGAAGTTGGGATCCTTGGCGAGAGGCTTGAGCTGAGCGAGCTGCTCCAGGTGGACAGTCCATTCCTCACCAATTTTCTAAACACGAGAAAAATTAGTACAGGTTGGAGGTTGGGTGGAGGTTGTAAAGGGCAAGCCTGCTCACTTACCTCAGCGATGAGATCAGCAAGACCAGGGTTGCAGAGCAGCAGCCAACGGCGGGGAGTGATACCGTTGGTCTTGTTCTGGAACTTCTCAGGGTTCATCTCCGCAAAGTCCTTAAACCTGTGCCAGGAAGAACAGATCAAACCGATGATCTACCGAAGTGTCAACGATGAAACTGTTGAGATGGGTACTTACACACTCTTGACCAGAATCTCAGAGTGGATGGCTGCAACACCGTTGACAGCGTGAGATCCAACAATGGAAAGATGAGCCATGTTGACTCGCTTCTCGCCCTCCTCCTCAATCAAGGACATCCGCCGAATGCGGTCAAAGTCGCCGGGGTATTTCTTGCTGATGTTCTGGAAAGCCGCAAAGATTGAGTCAAGCAACACGTGAGAAGCGCGAAGTCAACAAAAGGATGCCGCGACAAACCTCGAGATGGAGGTGGTTGATGTGGTAGATGATCTGCATGTGCCTGGGCAGGATGCTCTCCAGCATGGACGTGGGCCACCTCTCCAGGGCCTCGGGCAACACGGTGTGGTTGGTGTAGGCGCAAGTGCGGACCGTCACGTCCCAGGCCTTGTCCCAGGGAAGTCCCTCCACGTCCATGAGGATGCGCATCAGCTCGGGGATGGCCAGGGACGGGTGGGTGTCGTTCAGCTGGATGGCCACCTTGTCGGGGAACGAGTCGAACGAGGTGCGGACAGCCTCCTTGCTGCCGAACTTGGAGGACTTGAAGCGCCGGATGATGTCCTGAGGACAAGTCGGATTAGTACGCACGTCCAGCGCCACGCGTCACTGCGTCACGCACTTGCACCCCAGTGAGTGATACCTGGAGGGTGGCGGCGCACATGAAGTACTCCTGCTTCAGACGCAGCTCCTTGCCCTCGAAGAAGTTGTCATTGGGGTACAGCACCCTGGAGATGTTCTCAGCCAAGTTGCGGTCCAGCACGGCCTGGATGTAGTCTCCGTCGTTGACTAGAGGAAGAGAACAGTCAGCGAAGCCGCGCAAGTCAACGGGACCCCCACCAGAAAAACAAAAATACTCACAGAACTTGAGGTTGAACTCGACGGGCGACTTGGCAGACCACAGACGCAGGGTGTTGACGACGTTGTTGCCGTAGCCGGGGATGGGGTTGTCGTAGGGCATGGCGAACACCACCTGCAACACGCACAGCAGCACTGAGCCAAGCGCCTGGCGGGTAGGCCGCGGCGACGCACCGGCGTGTGGAGCACCAGATGTTGCCTACGCCGAGGGCCGCAGGCGGTCGGGGTCGGCCCTGACACGCCCAGCTCACCTGGGTGTCGACCCACTTCTTGCCGCGCGGGGTGTCCTCCACGCGTCCGTAGAAGTTGACGGGCAGCATGTACTCGGGGCGGGCCTTCTCCCAGGGGTTGCCGAACCGCAGCCAGTCATCGGGCTCCTCAGTCTGCAGCGAGGACACGACAAATTAATTCACTTCAGTCTCATTCGACAAGGACGGGGAGTCGCACAGTGGGCCAGAAGACCGGTGGAGGCGGTCAAAATACTAGACTCGTTTTGAGCTCCAGAGTCGCTAAACAGTACTCGAACCGAACGTGTGACCCCACCAATGGATTGCTCTCTGAACGAGAAATCCATTGGTGCGGTCACACGCTCAGCTCGAGCCCCGTTTAGCGACTCTCGAGCTCAAAACGCGTTCAGAGTTTTGGCCGCCTCCTCCGGTCTTCTGGCCCACTGTGCGTCGGGTGGTGAACAGACCTGCTCTCCGTTCTTGATCTTCTGCGCGAAGATGCCGTACTCGTAGCGGATGCCGTAGCCGTACGCGGCCAGGCCCAGGGTGGCCATGGAGTCCAGGAAGCAGGCGGCCAGACGGCCCAGACCGCCGTTGCCGAGGCCAGCGTCCTCCTCCAGGTCCTCCAGCTCCTCGATGTCCAGGCCGACCTGTCGGACAAAAACCGCGTTGAACACACAAAACCACACTGGTAAAACAAAGGCATAAAAATTACGCCCTTTAGGGCATAAATGCTCTTTTACGCCATTGCAAGGGCCTAAATCGTTTTATGCCCCTGGGAAGGGCGTAAATGGTATAGGAATTTCAAGCAAAATTTTAATGCCCTTCCCAAAGGCATTAACGATTTATGCCTTTGTTTCACCAGTGCAGGACCAAATCAGCGTGCTAGGTCGCCAAGAAGGACGCCTCACCTGGTACATGGCCTCGTCGCAGGCGCCCTGGATGCCCAGGTTGATCATGGTGTTCTGCAGGGAGCGACCCATGTAGTACTCCAGGGACAGGTAGTAGACGCGCTGAAACACCAAGGCAAGACATTGTTACAACCACATTCACACCAGACCACTTCGACACCGGAAGCTCAACAATCTCACGTTTGTCAATGCGGCAAATGCTAAGTTCAGTGTAAAGTTTATAATGCTTCCGCAAACGGCCTCGGCAGCCCAAGGCCCGCGCATGTTATCCTTGACAGGCCGGCCTTAGGCTGGCCGCAGCCCGCGCGGCCCAGCTTAGGGTAATCGGGCTATAGGCACCGCCGTTGCCCCATTCACGCCAACGGCGTCCGTCCGATAACGTTAACGTGCACGCACATTGCACCGCCACCGGCGAGACATCGGCGAGCCATCGCCCACCCTCCCGTAACCCCCGTGAACTTGGGCCGCTCAGCGCAGCCTTCCCTCGAGTGCACTGGCGAGCCCCGACGACCTCCAATCGCAGAACGCCCATTCAAACGGGAAAGGGGGACCGAGATAGCACCCGGACACCCCCGTCGCCAAAGGGGGAGCACTGCAGGGCCATGGCAGGGCACTGCAGCACTGGCGCCTACGCATGCAGGGGTCAAGGCTCCGTCGCTCCGTCTCTGTCGCACTCGTGGGGCGTCCCAGCGGAGCGAGAGAGACAGAGCGACGAATCACCAGGCAGGCGGTCTGTCTCCCTCGCACCCCCAGCCTTGACCCTCCGCGACACCCCGTGCGTGCACTCGCTTAACGCCCCTCTAGATCTCGATGATGTACATCGCTCCGTCTCTCTCGCACTCACGGGGCGAGCCGCGTGGGTGCGAGAGAGACAGAGCAGCCGTCCGCGGCGCCGCGGCCTTCCGAGGGCCCCGCCAGATAAGATGCACCCGGATGCGCCGAGTAACCTCACAGCGCCTATTGTGCAACGAGACGGCCACGCAGCCCGCGACATCGAATCCCAGTCGATCCACCGCTAAAAAGCACCGACTTCTAAAAATAAAGAGATTGAGTCATGAACACTTGGAATCGACATGTCACACGAAAGGGGTCGGAATGCGCTCAGGCAAAACAAGTGGAGACTTTAAAAACAGCACACGAAGCTAGCTCTGTGCAGTTGAAGTCCGTCTCGACCGGCCAGGCGCGCAAGAAGGGCCCCGCGAAAAACGCAAGCCGCGCTCTGAGGGCGCAAGTTGTTGACCCCTGTCATCAGCGGTACACGTTTATTAAACGCCCACCCCTCAGCCTTTCCCACCCGGCCCGCCATCCCCTTGATCAGCAGCGGCAGCCACTGCAGGCCCGTTCCGAACAACGCCCCCGTCGCTCTGTCTCCCTCGCACTCACGGCGCGCCCCGCAGCGGTGCGAGAGAGACAGAGCGACGAGGGCACCGCGACAATATCACCCGCGTGGCGTGCGGCTAACTTTAGCCCAAGCAGCTGGCAGAGCCGCGAGGCCCGCAGGCCGCAGCACAGCAAGCACCCCTCGGCGTTGGAGGGACACTGCGCACCGCCCGCGGCACCGCCGGACAGTGGCACTCTGTCTCGCTCGCACTCGTGCACAGTGGGCCAGAAGACCGGTGGAGGCGGCCGAAACTCTAGACGCGTTTTGAGCTCCAGAGTCGCTAAGCTGGACTCGAACCGAACGTGCGACCCCACCAACGGATTCCTCGTGCGGAGAGCGGGGTAACACGCTCGGTTCGAGTTCCACTCGCGACTCTGGAGCTCAAAACGCGTCGGGTAAGTACTTTGACCGCCTCCATCGGTCTTCTGGCCCACTGCGTCGTGGGGCGATCCGTTTGGTTGCGAGAGAGACAAAACGCTGCGCAGAATCACTCCGCTGCCCAAGCCCCGCGACGCAAAGCAAAGCAAGCAAATCGGCTGAGGGCGCGTGCGAAACGTCGCCGATCTGGCAATGCCTGGCAACCCCAGCCCAGCGCGGCAGTGCGGCCAGTGGCGGCCAGTCGCTACAGGGCCGCGTCCGAACCAGCGGCGCGCCCACCACCTGTCCCGCCAAAACAACGCCAGCCAAAAGCATTTGTCAGGAGGGGTTGACGACTCGAACCGCGCGGCGCTCCAACCAAAGCACTGGAATGCCGAGGTCAGGTCGGCCGTCGCCGCCGCCCTGGAGGTGGGCTGAGGGCATGGCACTCCCCCAGACGGCAGGCAACATGCTTGGCGTGCGCCCTTCGCCTTCCAACAACGACGCCACACCCGCCCCGAATCAGGAAGGGTCAAGATGCTGGAGTACTGACCAAGGAATTGTCAATCGTAGTCGCAGACGCGGGTTAGACACCAGATAGAGCCGAGTCGAAATTTGGCCCGCGGTGACATTCTTTCTGACCCTCACCTTGGCCGCGATGGTCGCACCGTCTCTCTCGCACTCGCGGGGCGCTTCGCAGGCGAGCGAGAGAGACGGGGCGACGCGGAGCGCGAAGCACCGTGTGGATCCTCGGGCAACTGGCAAGCGGCAAGCGCCACTTTTAGAGCAGTGCCGTGTACAGTAGCGGTGCAACAACACTCCTTGCGACACGCGTGTGCGCGCACCTCGACGGGCTGCAGCGGTGCCGCAATGGCGTGGTCAGTCCGAGCCCCACCGTCGCCCCGTCTCTCTCGCACCCCAACCGAGCGCCCCGCAGGCGCGAGAGGGACAGCGCGACGCCGGGGCCAACGCAGGGAATGAGTAAAAAGCAAGCCTTCAGTCCAATTTGGCAATCGGGGAGTAAAAGTGCATTCGATGCATCTCGCTCCCGCTTCCGCTGGCCGGGCGCAATCGTGTCAACACAACACAGCGACACTAGCACACTGCATCAGCAAGGCCGCGCGCCGAACGACGCCACCAGCGACGTCAATTTTTATTTTCAACAAGGAACTATGTATTAGGAACGACATTCGACCACCCACTGACGCACGCCCCCTGAGCGGAACGGGGAGGAAGGGGGGAAGGGGTGCCGGGGGTATCAGCATCAGCCGACACCCCCCAGTGTTGATACTGCACTCGAACCGCGAGGCAATCTGACAATCTCGACGGAAAATATCGCCAGAGTTACGCCACTATCGTATCGCTAGGTACCCGTCGTGGCGCGCGCACCGCGCAGTCGTGCGTGCCGGGTGGGGTGGGGTCAGCCGCCGAGGGGGCCAGCTCGGCGACGAGATCACTGTCTCTCTCGCACTCTTGGGCACACCGTAAGGGAGGGACAGAACGACGAAGCCGGCGACCGGTCACTCAAAGCGTCGGGCCTCTCACGCGAAGGCGGCCATCGAGACACCTCGTCACTCCGTCACCGCCAGGCACTAGCGGAGCGCCAAGGCCATAGATAGGGGTCCACCCGGCGCAGCATGGCACAGCATGTCCCACAGATACTGCGGAAGGCCAGTCATGCAACAAGGGCGCCGACGAGGACCGGTCGGTCTGTCTCTCTCGCACTCATGTGGCGATCCGAGGGAGCGAGTGAGACGGCACTGCGCGCCTCGTCAACAAGTCCACGGCGTCCACGGCCTAGGTGGCAGATTCCTTACGCACAGCGTCCCACCAAATCCCACGAGAGCGAGAGAGAATAGTAGGACCTACTGTCGCGCCCCTGTGAGAGCAACAGAGACAGCCACGCCGGCCACACCCCCGCGAACACGTGCTCCACGCGTGACGGTTTCGCGGGACTCGAATCCGCGCTCGCCCGAGAGGCTGCCCGGCTTCTCATTAGTAAGGACTGCACCTCAGCACCAAACGTCCTCACAAGGTCACGTGGTTGGTGACGTCACACTGACCGACCAGCCACTCCTGCCCGTGTAAAGATGGGCGAAGGGGTCCAAATGTCGCTTATCTTCTGTCATAAACGATCCAGCCCTTCTCCAGCGCCATGGCTCGGCCATTGCGGCGGCCAGCGCACAGTGGGCCAGAAGACCGGTGGAGGCGGCCAAAATTCTAGACGCGTTTTGAGCTTGAGTCGCTAAATGGGACTCGAACCGAACGTGCGACCCCACCAATCGATTCCTTGTTCGAAGAGCAATCCATTGGTGGGGTCACACGTTCGGTTCCAGTCCCATTTAGCAACTCTGGAGCTCAAAACGCGTCTAGAATTTCAGCCGCCTCCACCGGTCTTCTGGCAAGTCCACTGTGCAGCGAGGCTCCGCTCCAGCGTCGCTCCAGCGCCCCGTTCAAACAGACGCCGGCCCGGCGACACGGCGGCCGCGGCCGGCCGGCCACCGCGAGGCTCGAACCACGCGCGGGACGCGTGAACCGGTCGAGCCTCTAGTGCCAAGGCCGGGCCGCGGCTCGGCGCGCTGCTTCGAAAAGCTCAAGTGTAACCAGGCGGCCGTATCGCGAGGCACGGCGGCACGGCGAGACAGACGGAGACGACGTCCACGGCGCCGCCGCCCCTGCACAATCTGTCTCTCTCGCACTCACGGGGCGTCCCGTAAAGGTGCCAAAGAGACAGTACGGCCGAAATGACACTGGCCGCCCCCAGTCAGCACGTGTGGAGCAGATCGTCCTGTCCCCGTCGCACCGCGTCGCACCCCCGCGGGGCGCGCCAGCAGCGAGAGAGACAGAGCAACCCGGCGATCCGCGGAAATCGACCTGCAGGCGCCGCATTGCGACATTCACTTTCGGACAACTGCAGCCGAGAGTGGCGAGGCGAGCGATTATGCACAGGAAGTGCGGCTTATCTGCAGACTCGTTCCGGGCAGCGCTGTCTCTCTCGCACCAGCGCGAGCGGGCACGCCTCGGCGAGAGGGAGAGAGACAGCGACATGCCTGCTGGGGTCGTTAACCGGACACCGGATCGGCAGTGCACCTCGACCGCGGGGCGGGACGCGGCAGGGCTATCGCGGAGGTGTCACTGCCTGGACGCAACACGACCAGGGCACAGTGCATTTGTCAGAAGACCGGAGGGGACGGCCAAAATTCTAGACGTGTTTTGAGCTTTAGAGTCGCTAAATGTAACAAGAATCGAACGTGTGACCCCACCAATGGATTCCTCGTTCGGAGAGCACTCCATTAGTGGGGTCATACGTGCGGTTCGAGTCCCATTTAGCGACTCTGGAGCGCAAAACGCGTCTAGAAATTTGACGGCCTCCACCGGTCAGGCCCACTGTGCAGGGGCGCGGGGCGCGAGGCGTCAACCTGACCACCGCGTGACAGGGTGACAGGTCAAACGGGGCAGTCGGCAGCCCTGTCAAAGCAGGCCGGCGGCGTCCGCGGCGTCCCGGCACGGCGCGGTGTCGACCTACCGCCCTGGGGGCAACATCGGACAGGTGTCATCGAACACACGGCAAAGCCGCCGGCCGCCGCCGGCTCATTCCGCGCTTCCGCGCGCGTTGCACCAAAGGCAGCCAAAGACGGCCAAGACCCGGCGTGTGGACGCCAACAGCCCGACAGTCAAACGGGGTCACGGGCAGCGACGCGGCGACGCGGCGCAAACCGGCCGCCTGCACCTGCAGCCGCGCGGGGGGGGGGGGGGGGAGGGCGGGGGCACGGGGGCGTGGCTGCTGGCGGGGTGCACCGCCGCACCACCGCACCCCAGCTCGGCCTAGCGCCGCTTCAAGGTCGCCCAAGGACGCGGCATCGTTATCGAAGTCGGACGGGGGCCGACCAGGTTGGCGGCGGATGGCGGCCCCAACCCAACCCCCGGCGGGACGTCAAACGCACGCCGCACGCCGCGGCCACGCAGCGCCGCGCCAATCCGCGCCACGCCGTGCCTGCCGTGCCCACGCATGCAGCACGCATGGCTTGTAGGTTAGGCCCGTCGCCAGGCAAGGCGGCAGCAGCGGCAGCAGGGCAGGCAGGACACCGGCGGCCGGGTCACGGTCGGTGAACCCGGCGGCCCTACGAACAGTCGGCACAAGCGGTGGCCTGCAAGGCAAGGCGCCTACCTTGGGGTCCTTCTCGTAGTAGTACTGCTGCGTGCGGATCCATCGCGACGTCAGGTGGTCCTTGACGGTGTGGGCGAGGGCGAAGTAGTAATCCCTGGGAGTGGCCACGTTCCGGTCCTTGACCAGCGTGTAGTGCAGGTGCCGATTGAACGTCTTCTTGACGTTCGTCACATTCTCCACCTGCGCGATGCCGCGCACCGAGATCTGCTTCCTCTTCTCAATGTCCGTCTTGGGCGCCGACATGGTTCGGCCGTCGGGTTAGCACGGAAGCGTTGACTGGGCGACACGACACGGCGAAGCGCGGACTGCGAAGCGAGCCTGGTGTTGTGTCCCGCTCCTCTCTGAGCGGACTGTAAGGCTGAACAGGACGGCAAGCGGCAAGCCCAGCTCAGACAGACACTGGCACTGTACGTCCCAGCCAGGGAGGGTCACCTTGCACGCCCAGTGCACGCTACACGCCTTGTCGAAGGTCGCTTCGTTCCCTCACTGCGCCTGCGCGGCTAGCAGACGACGCGGGCCGCGGGCCGCTTCCGAGAGTCGCTTTCGTTGCTGTGTCTCTCTCGCACTTGCACGGCTCGCTTCACCAGTGTGAGAGAGACAGAGCGACGAACACGACTCTCGGAGGCAGTCCGCTGGGTGGTCCTTCCCTGCGCTGCCGCCAGGCGGCGCCTCCGTCTTTGTTTACGTCCTGCCTCCGCTCAGCTGAGCGCTACGTCGTCTGCTGGGGCCTTCCCGGTTCATTTCGTCCGAGTTCGGTGCGTTTTGAACTGTTGGATTCGTACGGTACTGATTGACTATTCGACATACCAGCTGGGAAAACTGAAGGACTTTCCGTGCGGAGCATCGACTCGAATCCCGTTACAGTGCTGTCCTTAAGGTTAGTTAGTCTAGGTTCTTATTTCTAATTTTATTCAATGGCAGTTGTCTACTCCCTGTTCAAACCTAAGTTGCGTTCTGTCTTATTTTTTTCGGAAATAATAAACGATGAGTAAGTCCTGTTTTTTTGTAAGTTAAATCAAGAAATATCAATTCCCATTGCTTCACCCGCACTATCAATTTCGCTTTTTAAAATTTTCGTTAATTTTTGCTCTAGAGAAAAGAATTATTTGACTCTAACTGTACCTATAAAGGTGATTTTGACATAATTTTTGTTTCACAGGTGCCCAAAATGACTAGGATTTTGAAGCTCATAACTTTTGACGTGACTGAAACCTTAATGATGTTTCAACCTCCTGTGGCGGTAAAATACGCAGAAAGTGCCAAGCAATTTGGAATCAATGTAGATGTTGCGGATGTTCTGAAAAATTTGAAAGGTCAAATGAAATTACTTACCAAACAGCATCCAAACTTTGGCAGGGACACTATAGGATGGAATGTGTGGTGGACACAAATCGTTGTTAACTCATTCAAGTTGGCGCAACCGTCTTCTGATGAGAAAGCATTGCACCAACTAGCAAAATTTCTTATTGATGAGTATACGACAACTAGGTGTTGGGCCCTAGCAGATGGAGCGATGGATCTTCTCAACTACCTCAAACAAAAAAATATACCTCTTGGTGTCATATCAAACTATGATGATAGACTAGAACCTACTCTCAAATCCTTAAAAATTCAATCATTTTTCAATTTTATTCTTACATCCTACTCAGCAGGTGTCATGAAACCTGACAGGAAAATATTTGACTTGGCAAGGGCTCAGATTCCAGGAGACATACTGCCTGAAAGTTGTTTGCACATAGGAAATTCCCTTGAATTTGATTATTTGGGAGCTAAGGGGGCTGGCTGGAACTCAGCTTATGTGGGACCTTCTACTGATGAAGTTCTAAAAATTGTAAGTAGTGGTGAGGTATTTAAAAACTTGGAAGAGCTGAAGAAACAGCTTAAAATTGTTTGAAGCGCCTTATCAATATTTTTTCAACCAACATGAAAAGCTAGATAATAAATGTGTAGTATAGAAACCTGTGGCATGATTTATCCTTGTCCTTAAACACAGCTTGGTTTTGGCTGAATATTTCTTGGTTCAGGTATGAAATAGTAAAGTCACACATAGTTTTAATGTTTATTTGTGTACAAAGCACAATACCAATACATCTGTAATTTACAGCTACATGATCGGGGAATTGAAGTAGAAAGAAAAAGACAGATCTACCTAATCTTTCTGAAGAAATTCATTTTGATGAAAATTTAATTATTCTACAAATTCTATTTTTAAATTGAGTAATATTGCAAACCTTGGAGCAACTTCTTCATAGGTAGCTGGACCCTACATTGCTCCACCCATGTAATTGCATTCAAAATATCACTGTAGTGTGCATGGTTGAAATTTTATGTTTAAGATCTTCCTGACTTTGTGGGTGGTAGAAAAAATAGAGAACGAAGCCAATAACCTTGTAGTACCAAATTGTACTTGGGCTAGAAACACAGCTAAGCATGAGGAGAATTTTGTGGTACATGCTCTCCGACTTCAAGGATCAATCACAAAACTCAGAGAGCTTCATCTCTCACTCACACATATATAGATGTCTATATATAAGTATATATAAATCTTTTTGTCACTTTACAGTCTATATAGATTAAGTCTTAATGAAAATGAAGTAACATTGATTGAATAAGCAACCAAGCTGTTTACATAGTAAGCAGGTAATTTAAGTGCAATAGAATGCAACATTGACAATTTGGCTTTTAGTTAATTAAAATCAAATAAAGATATAGTGTACAATGAAGGCATCAAAAGAACTTGCCATGCACAGACTAGCGCAACTACAGAGAATTAAATCACAAATGCGCCAAAAAATCTAACTTACTCTTAGATTGCTTCTTCAATGGAAAGATTTATAAAGTGACACAAAGTTGCCTGACTTTTCAAGAAATAAAAAGAAAAAGAAGAACCTCATACTTGTTCCACAACTGTTTTATCTTCCTTCTTCAAACTTTATACAACCATTTTAACATTTTACAATTAAAATTTGAAGATTTTTCCAACATACACGTATCACATAAACTATATGAATATGATCTGGTAAAAATCACACTTATATTCAATTTGGAGAAGATATACAAATACAAAATGCTTTCTTGAAGGAGAGGAAGGAGATCAAGGACGGGACGAGGAGAGGGCTAGGAAAGGGGAGCAAAGCAGGCACTAAGGAAAATTGATTCATTTGAAAACAGAGGAGAGGGAAAGCAGGAGCAAGGGGTGGGGGAGGGGGAAGGGGAGGGGAGGGGAGGGGAAACTGGGATACTTGCTTGGCAGTAACAGGAAAAGTGTGCGCTCACACACTCATCATTGCGGTACAATTCTTACAAATTTAATATATAAAAAAGAAATAAAGGAATTCACAAATAAATAAAATTAATGCAGTGGTAGATAAAAAAAAAACAACGAACAACAACGAGCTTTAACAGCCATATCATACAACAGATGTCGGACACTCAAGGAGTGTTCTGGTTGGACGCTGTTTAAAACAAGTCGAGCCACATTTGCGTTTCGTTAAATTAAGTTTCGTATTAAAAAATTTATAGCTAATGCTATTCAGAGGCATTGCAGAACACTGCCCATTAGTCCTCCGTTTCTGGTTCTTTTCACAAAACCCAATCTGGGCTTCTTCATGCTCCCATTTACTGCTCCTTCTTCTCTTCCGCCTTCTTGCCAATGGGAATGGCAGCCTTCACTCTGTAACAAAAAAAGAAGAAGGCCATGAGTACTTGCAGAAAAACTTTTATGAAATATACTTTCATACAACATTAAGAGCACTTACTTGGCTGTGATCTCGTTAATTTTGCCTGAAACTAAGGCGATCTTCTCATCAATAACGACCTTGTTGGTTTCGTACACCTTAGGGAGGGTGAACAGACCCACAACACCTGAAAACAGATGGAAACAGAAACAGTCAAGCGAAAGTCACAGAGCATGTGACAGGATCACTAGTTAAAACAGTTTCTTACCAAGAATGATGAGGGTCATGCCATTGAACCAGGATCCTAAGTAGGTGAGCATCCACAGGCAGAAGCCAAACTTGATGGAATCAACAAAGTCCTCCACAAGGAAGAGACGACGAAGCTCCGAAACAACAGCGTTAATGTGAGTGACAGCTAGGTCGCTCGTCGTTCGTACTTTTTCAGCTGGCAGGGCAAGATCCATTTCCAAAATTTCCCTGCAAAGAAGAATGATTATAGTCAGTTAACAGCGGGACATATAGGCTTTATAAAGGTGACCTAGCATGTTGTCTCAACGGGACTTCGACTATTGGATGCACTCACTTGAAAGGGTGTCCATCTGATGTCTTCTGGATCACCTGCTGAACTGACTTATAGACTCGGAAACAGAAGGTGGCAGCGAGGGCCAGGAGGGAAAGGTTAGCCACAACACTGATGAATGAGAAGAAGGTGAGGGAGAGGAGGACCACCATCACTCCTCCGAAGACGATGCCCGATTTCTTGGGATCCCTCCAGTACACCAGCGCCTCCACTGAAACACACAAACAACAAAAATTAAGAAACACTGAAGCCAGGACAAACACTGCCGGAGAGAGCCATATGGGTCTGAGAGCGAACAGGGCAGACAAGATAAACCAAATGATGCGGTCATAAATAATTGAAAGAACCGACTGAATGACATTAAAGAACAACGACAGCTTGTTCAGAGCCAGTAAGTGATCGCCCAGCAGGACAAAAACACTCACAGTGCTGCCATGCCTGTGCCAGCAAAGCACTCTTGAATCCTTTGTTACAAGACCCCTCACGCCAAAATCAGGGGAAATCCCCTTGACGCCAAGCAGCCCCTGTTCCAGTAGCTGCTCGAGGAGCTGCCGGGACTTTGAATCGTGGCCGCCGGCCTGGCCAGCAGGCGCAGCAGGCGTCCACGCAACAGCCCTGCAAGTCCAGCCTGGCGAAAGTTCCCCGCGGGACGTCAACATAACCTCACTTTGGACGGCCGTCCGGAACGGCCGACGGGGCGCCTTGCGCTCCCAAGGGCTTCGCCAAGGATTTCAATGAATTACAAAGGCTTCCCCGCTGGACAGCGCGGCCGGGCGCCGCGTCCACGTCACCAGCGGGGCGCGGGGGCGGCCGGACACCCCGAAACCACCACCAAGGGCCGAGCGGCTGACAGATGGCAACAAAAGGGGGTCCCCACAGGGGGTCCCAAACCGAGACAAATTCTCAGCTGTCTGCTTTCTTACCGGGGCCCCTAGGGGGAAGCTCGACCTCCTCATATCTGTTTCTGCGAACCATGTTGGTGATTCAACGACTAAGCTCACACGCGACCACAGGCCGAAAGAGTGAGACCGGGATCGGGGCTGCGAGGGAAACCACAGCTGCAGGGACAGGGAACCACACGTAGACAGTGCGGTGGCGGTGGCGATGTGTGTTGTGTTGGTGTTGTTTGCTGCAGCGGCAGCGGCGGAGATGCTGCTGCTGGTTGCTGCTACTGCCGCCGCGGCCGCCACCGCCACGGCCGCCGCAGCGCTGGCAGGCGCGGGGTAGAGACGGGCGGGGGGCCGCGGGGGGTACGTGGGCGGGGGAGGGGGCGCCGCAGCGCTATGCCGCTACACGGTAAAGGGCCGCCGTCACGTGACCAACACAAATGTGCGTGGCAGTGGACGCGCGGCTTTTGAACGTGGCACTGGGATCCACGTGGTTGGGTCGGGAGAGACGGGAGACGACCGTCGTCGGCGAAGACGAGCCCCGGAGGGGATACGGAGGGGGGCCCCGAGGCGGGGGCCCCGAAGCTGCGCCAAACCGCGAGTCCGCGAATCGTGTCGTCGTGTCACACCGCCGAGTCGCGAGGCGAGGGGCCCATGGTGCCCATGGGGGCCAGCCCGGCCAGCTGGCGCTGCGGAGCCCCCATGCCCCCTCGGGAGCCCCAGCGTACCGCCAGTACCGCCTGCTCCTGGCGGCCTGTCGTACTCGGACCGGCCTGGGAGTCAGTGGCCCGACTGTCAAACCCGAACCAAGTGTGAGTCGCTCCTTCGTCGCTCTGACTCTCTCGCACCCCGACGGGACCGTGCGGGACGCCCCGCGAGTGCGAGAGAGACAAAACGGCGCGGATGGCGGCCAATGATGAGGGACGGGTGGCGCCGGCGCCTCGCTGCGCCTCGCCCGTTTCCGGATCGGCTAACTAAAAGTGGTTCCGAGCGGCCGCAGCCAGCCGCGCCCCTGCGGCCTGCCCGTCCCCGTGGAGCCCCTCAAGGTCGCCCGCAAGGTCACCCGCTCCCCCGCAACCCCATCGGGCCCCGCCGAGCCCACCACCGGGCCCACCGGGAAGCAAACAAGGGCGAGGCCGCCCAGCCCAGTCCAGCGGGCAGCGCTGTCTCTCTCGCACTCGCGGGGCGTCCCGCAAGGGTGGCTAGGGTGCGAGAGAGACGGAGCGAGTGTTCAGCCTGCAGGGAGGGCGGCTGCAAATAATGAAAACGGACAGGCGGGGCGGGGGAGGACGGGGTGATGAAAGCTTCTAATAACACGGCCGGCCCGACTTCCCCCGGGAGTACTCTAAGCGAAAAATTAATAAAGCGCGGCGCAAAGTGAACCCCGCCTAACGTATCGCCTAAACAAGCCGTAGGGGTCGTCCAGCACACTGCGAAACGAAACACAAGTGGAGGGCAATTAGCGCCAGAGAGAGACGCGAGTGCAACCGTTCGGAAGCAGTGTGCTGGTGGCGAACGTCGAGGCTTGGCGGCGGCATCGGGAAGGGGGAGGGGGCGGGGGAGGGGCAGTGCTTTGAGGAGCCAACAGACATGCAAGCCGTGGCGGCACGGTCGGCACGGCGGCGCAGACGTTCGATGTATCGAGAACGGAACACGACGTATCGTTTCCGCCGCCCCCGTCGCGACCGAGCCCGACTGCAGCAGACTGATTCCAAACGTCGCACCGTCTCCCTCGCGCTCGTGGGGTGCTCCATACAGGTGCGAGAGAGACAGAGTGAGGCTGCAGGCCGCCGCTAGCGGTGTAGTGGCGCCTGCCAAACGGCTTGATTGCGAGAAAGCGGGCGAAGCGCGCAGCGGGCTGAATTTCAAGTCCCAGCTCCCAGGCCGCCGGGCCGCCGGGCCGCCGGGCTGAGGCGTCTGGCTGCCCTGACTCGCCAGCACACTGATTCCGAGAGTCGTTTTCGTCGCTCTGGCTCTCTCGCAGTCACAAGGCGTTTCGTGCAGGTGCGAGAGGGGCAGGGAACGACTCTCGGAGTCAGTCTGCAGGCTGGGCGATCTGCTCCCCACTCGGCACCACTCGGCCGGCCGGCACTGCACTGCAAGCGGCACGCCGGCCCAGCAGCACCGGACCGGTGCGCAGACCGGCCCGGTGCTGGCGGTACGCCGACGGGACTCGGTAAGGCGCACGCAGTCACCAAGTCACGCAGTGGCACGCAGTGGCACGCGGTGGGCGCGCAGACGGGGAGCACGGCCTGTAGGCTCACTCCGGACAGTGCATCGACGCTGTCTCTCTCTCCAGCACGGCGCGCCACGCGAGAGCGAGAGAGACCGCACTGCTCGGAATCAGCCTGCAGGAAGGCCGTGCAAGTGTCAACCAGATCCGGTGTCGCGCGCTCCAAGTCCGAGCACCCCGCGCCGCGCCGCGCTGAAATTCCAGCCCAGACGCTCCACTCCAACCCCGTCACCGTTACTTTCGCACGCGCCGACACGAGAAGCGGCGAAGACCCGGGAGGCCGACTAGCTCGCTGGGGCGCCTGGAGCCTCGGTGCAAGCAGTGCAAGCAGTGCAAGCTTGCAGGCGGCGACCGCGACCGTCGGGCGCCGACTGGCGGGGCGGCGGGGCCGCAGGTCGCAGGGCATGGCCCTTCCACTGCTAGGGGCGCCCCACGCCCTACAAGGCTCGGCCCGGCTAGGGGTAAGGCTGGGGCAAGCCTTGGACAGGGCCGCGAACGTAAGGTAGGGGCGGGGCTTCCCCCGGCGTGGCGTCGAGACATGGGGTGTCGCGCGGCGTCGCACCGCGCACAATGCGCGCTGTCTCTCTCCCACTCGCGGGGCGTTTGGCAGGGCCGTGCGGGTGCGAGGGAGACAGAGGCGTTAACAATGCTTTGGCAGCGACCCTTCAATATCGGTTCCGACCGTTCCGACGTGGAGAGCCACAGACATTATTCTCCGATCCCCTTGGAGAGCCACCAAGAGAACGGGGCGGGGCGGGGCGGCGGTCGCACCTGGCGCTATTTCGAGAGACAGCACTGTCTGCCGGCAAAGCGAGCACTGGGCCACGCCGCCACGCCGCCCCGCCCGGCTCGGCCCTCGCCAAGGACTTCATCGGGGTCGCGGGGTACATCTCTGCCTCCGCGGGCGCCGGCCGCGAGCCGCGAGCGGCGAGGACCCCAGTTACCCCCAGACGCCGGCAGGCCGCCAGGCCGCCGAGCTGCCACATCCACTTTGAAATCGGCCAGCAGCGCGCGCTCTCTCGCACCCTCCCGCCACGAGTGCGAGAGAGACAGAGCGACGCCGTCCGGAATTCGGCCAAAGCCTCCCCACCCGGTTCCTTCCCTTTCCGAGCCGCACGGCTAAATGAACGAAATGAATGACCTGCCGATACCCCGCGCGGCGCCGCGCGCCCCGTCCACCGGAACGGCGGTCTCTCGCGCGCCGAGTAGCGACGGCCGGTCCTTTCAGGCCGGGATCGCCCGCTACTTCGTGTCTCTGATGATTCGCGCAGCGGCGCAGCCAAGAGAGACTCCTTGGTGCTACCCTTTCGACAACCCTTTCGAAAAGCGAATACATTAGTTTCTGTCCTTGTTGCTCCTCATTGAGCGTCTTCGAGTGCGAGAGAGACAGAGGCGGCCGGAAGGAAGCGCAGGGACTGGCGGCCATTGGCCGAGCCATTGGCTCCCCGGCGCGGCGGCCGAGGCGGCGGCCGAGGCGGCGGCACGGTTGCCAACCTGGCCGGCCCTACACCCGCAGCGACCCGCAGGCGCAGGCCGCGGGGCAGCCAGTCAGTCGATCGCCGCGGCCGACGCCCCGCGCCAGCCGTCCGATTCCGAACACTGCTTCGTCGCTCTGTCTCTCTCGCACCCCTACGGACCGCCCCATGAGTGCGAGAGAGACAGAGCGACGAAAGCAGTGCTCGGAATCAGACGGCAGGCACCTGTCTCCCTCGCACCTGCACGCCCCGCCCCGCGAGTGCGAGGGAGACCGAGCGCGCCCGTCCGTACTGTCCGAGCAGCCTGGAGGCTAGGCAGCCGTAGGCAGCCCACCGCGCACGCTCTCGACGGGCCGATGCTTTCATTTTTCACGATCAACAAACAAAAACTAAACAAAACGAGGCTCTGCCGCAAAGCGGCTACGCTGCGGCGCTCGCTGCACTGTATGTCGGTATGGCACTGCAGCGCATAAAGTTGTTCGGGACTGCACCGGGGAAAAGGGGTGGGGGAAGGTCAAGCAGGGCCATCCGCAGGGCGCAGGGCACGGACACCGCCTTCTGGCCCTTCCAGGGGGCGGGGGCGTTATCTGCGGTCTCCAGGGCGTTATCTACCGCG